TTTCGGCTGAGTTTTTGCGTGTGCGTCAGACCCCTTGGGCGGCGCACCTGGAAGCTTCCCTTAAGGGGCCCCTTGACAAAAAGGGGGCCCTCAGGGAAATACTGCGTCTCAAACGCACCTTCAAGGAAAAAATAAAAAAGGTAAGGTCTCTGTCTCTGTGTGCATGTGTGTATATGTATATGTGTGCATGTATGAATGCATATGTGTGGGATTAACGGTTTTTGTAAAAGCTGTCGAGCTCTGCGCATGAAGACAAGTCTCTTCTTAAAGAGGTCGTCTCTTTGCTTTCCTTGGCTTCTTGGAGTAGCACGAGACAGAGCATGAGAAAGAGAATGACAGCGTGTCTGTGTATCCTTGTGTGTGTGTGCGTGTCAGTGTATCCTTGTCTCTGTGTGTCTCTCTCTCTCTATGCGTGTATAGCTTTGTCTGTGTGTGTATAGCTTTGTCTGTGTGTGTATCTTTGTGAGTGTGGGTGTGTGTATCAGTATCTGTGTCTGTATCTTTGTGTGTGTATCCTTGTCTGTGAGTGTCTGTGTATGCATACTTGTATGTTTGTCCGTGTCTGGCTGTGCAACCTAGTGTGTGTATCCTTGTCTCTCTCCCTCTCTCTCTCTGTGTCTTTGTGTGTGTGTGTTTATGTGTTGTAACAGGAGGAGCAGCAGCTCGCTGCCTCGCTTCCGAACCGCAAGGGTCTTCCCGTAGTTGGTTTGGTGGGGTATAGCAGCAGCGGCAAGACGGCTCTTTTGAACCGCCTGTGTGGGACGATGGAAGCGTCAGACGAAGCGCTCTGTGTGACTTTAGGAGTAATACAAAGGCGCTGTACCTTGCGCGGCTTGGCAGTCCCCCTGGATGTCTATTCCACGTCTGCAGACGAGAGGGGTGGATTTTCTTCCTGCGAGCAGGCAGAGAGGACGCCTGCGTCCTCTGCAACACCGCAAGCGGGCGAGTTGCCTCCTCAGCAGTACGGGGGGGGGAACTCCCCCCTTCCCCCCTCGAAGGAACGAGGCGGTTCGCGAGGGCAGAAGAGGGGCCCCCAAGAGGCTGCTGCGTGTACTGCGGTGCCTCGCTGTGAGTTTTTCGTGCTGGATTCTGTCGGATTTGTGGATGGAATCGCCCCCATGGCAAGCGACATCATTCATCAAGGTCTTCAAGTGGTTGCCGCCAAAAGCACCTTGTTGCTGCTAGTGGTGGACCCCTTGCACCCGCGCTGGCGGGAGAGGAGAGACTATGCGCTGCAGTCTCTGCTGCGGCAGCCTCTCCGCCTGAAGAGGGCTTGTGACAGCGCGTGTGAAAGCGAGTCAGCAACCCCTTGCAGCAGCTCTACCCCCGCCAACACCGAGGACAAAGGCAACACCCCCTCCTCTCTGTGGGAGGCCGTGCAAAAACGATTCAAAGGTCGCTTGCTCGAAGTCTGGACGAAAGCAGACAAAATCGAGACGCAAGAGGCGCTGGAAGCCATCCAACATCAACTCCCGCCAAACGCCGTATTGGTGTCTTCCGTTGACGGCACTGGAATCTACGAGCTCGCCCACGTAAACCCCAAGGCCTGAGTTCTAAGCCCTTAAGCCCACAGGCATTGCTTGTCGCAGGCTAAACATTCCCACCTTCATAGGAGGTCTAGCACCCCCCTCGCCGTCTGGCCCTTCAAGGCGCTGTGCAGCGGCGAGTGCTGCTGCTCAGCGCCTTCGAAATCTTCTACCCGGTGTGCCCTTAGGGGTGTTTTAGATGGCTCTGCCCCCTCTTTCCCCCCGCCAGGCAGGCGGGCAAGCAGGCATCAGCGGCCATGCGTGCGCTCTGGTATCCTATCCTTACGCAGCTCCTCCGGAAAGCCTTCGAGCATCTGGAAGGGCAGGAGGAGGCGCTTGTTCTTTTCGACGCCGAAGCAGCTCCTCAGGCTCTTCAGTACCTCCATAGACATACCACGGTGAGCGCCTCCGAGAGGCATGCCACATGCAGCGGCATCATATTACATCGCCAGAATCGCTCCAAGGCAAGCAGTGTCGCTAATAATGACTGATTGAGCGTCCGTCCTTTACTGGAGTAGTGTGGCTTTGTGCTATAGGTGTACACGCAATCTCTGTGCGCTACTCCAGATGGGCGTGTCTCTCTGCGGGTGACTGCGTCTCGAGACACCCTCCTGAAGGCGGCAGCGGCTCTCTCGTCTGTGAGCATGAAGTTTTTAAGGCAAGATCAAGAACACCAACGCCTAAGAGAGGCGCGAGGCACACAGGCTGACGAGTTGCCAAAGGCCTAGTTCTTCAAGCGCGGGCTAGATGGGGGGGTTGGGTTGGAGGCGGGGTGAGGTGTTTTTTAACTGCGGATGCACATTATTTACGGGGAACCTGACAACTCCTGCATTTAGCCGGCTCAGAAAGCACGTGCCTTCTCCTTAAGAAGGATGCCTTGGCTTTCGCTTAGTCTGAAACCTTAGAGGACGCAGTAAGACCAGTAAGGGAGAGACAGCGAGCTAGAGTCCACGGAAACCAAGCCTCAGCAGGGCAGCCAGTTTCTCAACTGAGAACCTTGCAGGCCTTCCATCTACTGAATAGGAGAAGCCCTAGAGCGGCAAACTTGGTGCGCACTGGCCTCCCTGGTAGGTACACGTTTGACCCCTTACGGTGCAGCGTCTTCAGTAAGGGCCTTCACAAGAGAGAACGCCCCCTTTAGCTCTCGATGAGCGCGCAGGCTTCACAAAACGTGCGGCACATCGCTTCACAAGGTCCTTCCTTCTCTTCTGGCCTTCACAACGCCACAAAGGATTGCCGGAAAGTGATGCAGGAAGCGTAAGATGCGCGTTGTTGCACCCTCTAATCCTCTGGAATACTACTTCTTCCCACCGAGGGGCGCACAGCAACTTAAGAAACAGGCACAAGGATAACTCACACGCCGGTGGTAGAAAGCTAACTGACCCCGTACTCTGCAGCAACTAGCATATAGATATATACATGTGTATGTACAAACAGGCAAGCTACCGCTACAGAGTCACTACTGGGCTCTGCTACATACAAGCCTGGTGTATGACGGGGGCTGAGCGTGTACCGTGCCCTCCATAGATACATCTACGCCTGGGCCGCAAAGCTACAAAGCGTCACCGCGCAAGCATCCTCGCGCAGCGTGTTCCCTGCGAGCTCATACGCAGAAATTGCATCTGCTCAAGAGCTGCACAGAGCCAACAGGATGTCCAATCCCTAAGCACCTTATTTGGTGATGTAGCACTTTTTATAGGAATCCCACCCCCGGCTTCCCCTAGGAAGGAGACACCTGCCTGTAGCCTCAGACCAAATATAGGCAACTTAGTCTAAAACCATGAAGCATTCCTTGTCAAAGGGATTGTAACGGGCTAAGCCACATGTAAAACGCGCCGATACTCATGTCAGATCTAGTTAGGACAGTGAGAGATTTAGTTTTCATTGTTTTTGCGGGTTTCTAATTTATCGCGAAGCAGCGTGAGCTCGATGCAAGAAAACGAAATGCTATGTGCGGCCTTTGGAGATGGTGCTGGATGCGGCAAGCTGTGACTGCTCAAACGCCGTGCATAGAGGATGCAGCAGCTATAGTCGGGCGGCTGTCCCTCTCTCGGTTACAAGGAATTCTGCGAGCCGCAGGTAGCAGGCTAAGATGGGGGGCTGTTCTGAAATGCGTCCAACAGCCTTCTATTAAGCACAGGTTGCACCTGCGGTTGTGTCGAGCCAACAATACGCTGCAGTAACCTAGATGAACGTACGGGCAAACCAGGTAGGTGATTCTCTAATTCATAGCTAGATACACCCGGGGTACTAGACAGTAGTGTATGCGCTTTGCTTAGCCCAGTACTTTGTTTGATTTGAGTCTTACAATGTCTGAGTCCTTAGCTTACTCTGGCCCCCATAGCAGACCAACAGGGAAACAGGCCAGCCAAGCATTCAGTTCTTCTATATGCGAGCTCGCATTCAAGTACACCCAGTGTTACGCAAAGTGCCTCTAGTTTCGCTTGGGCGCGCACGCTCCCTCGGTCCAAAAAAAATCCAAAAAAAACGCAAGAGTTAGTCGAAGCCCCAGGAGGCGGTGACTGCACGGCTTTTGAAGAGGTGATGTGCAGACAGCTATTTGTGTATTTACCGCTATCTTCTAGCTCCCCCTGCTGCTGCAAGGAGGAAAATCGGCTGTCCATGCTAAGGAGAGACGAGCAACATTCGCAATTCATCTATTTTTGTAGGACGCTGCAAACCGTTCCGATGCTGGCATTCGCACACACACGCTTGAATGACAGGTAATCCTACTCCAACATGCTGGTTATACCGAGAAAGCGAGCTGTCATTTTCCTCGAGCACGTGTTTCAGGGGTCCTTTTGCACTGCTTCCCATGCCATCCAGACTCGCAGCCCCGTCAGCATCGGTGAAGCCGCAGGTGTTGCTCGAGCAACCCCTCCAATAAACACCTGTTCGCTCCGGCCTCCGGACTTGAAAGCCACTGAGGAAAATGCTTTATGCGTTTTCTTGCTGCAAATTCACGTGTTCCTGCAGCAGGAACCGCGAAAAGGAGCAGGGGCATCACCAACCCCCCTTCTACCCAACGGCAACCCCGCCACACACGTCGAAAGAGTCTCTCGTATTCACTCAGAGGCCCTCTACAGAAAGGCATGCACGCCTTTCTGCAGCTGCTGCATACCATCCCATTTCTCCAAAGCCTCCATTTTGATCCTTCGAGACATCGATCGCGAATCAGCAAACACAGCTCCCTCATATGAACCCCTCTGAGGAGGGGCCCCCAGACCACCCTTGTCGGGGCACTTTCCAGTGTATGGCGACTCCTTCGCCTCTTTCCCTCTCTGCCCTCATTGCAGGTGCTCGAGATCTGAATCTTTTGAGGGCCCCCGCGCCTCGCTGGGTGTGCGTGCCCTTCTCGAGGGGGCCCCCCAAGGGCGCAGCATGCCCTGCTGCTGCCTGCTATGAGTAACAGGGGCCCCCAGGAACTCCGGCAGCAGCAGCACCACCACCATCACCACCAACCCCACCCTCAAGATGGTGTTGGTAACCCCCGAATCGTTCACCAGGGAGGCGTACGGCCCCGCCACTCGCAGCAGCCAGAAAGAGCATCTGCCCGTGTTGCTGATCAGCGCCTGCACTGTAGATGCTCTGTGCTGCAGTCATATGCTGCAAGTGCACTTCTGGTCCCGTAGCTACTTCACCGACAAACAAAATGCAAGAGGCGTTGCCGTTGATCTCCTCTTCGTTCGCAGTAAGGCCTGCGCTGCCGCCAAACTGAAACTCTTCCTCCCTCTGCTGCAACTAACGGCGTCTTTTGTGTGTTCCCACTTTAGCACCTCTAACAGATCAAGCGCCTCTTCTCTCGTCACCCTTCTTGCCGCGTTTCATCAGGCCACATTTGCAAGGGCTGCCCCTGCAGCAGCTCTCAAAGAATGGCGCTGTTTGCAAGCAATAGCGGCTTCACCCTGGCTGCTCCTCTTTTATTTGGCTGAAGCTCCTCTAGCTGCCATGCATATCCCAACAACTGGCAAAACCCAGCTCCTCTCTCTATCTGTTCATCTGTCTATTTTCATCTCTTTGTTTGTCTTTCTCTTTGTTTATCTTTCTGTCACCCTGGCGGCTGCTCTTTTATTTGGCTAAAAGCTCCTCTAGCCACCAGGCATATCCCCAAAACGGGCAAAATCCAGCTCCTCTCTCTATCTGTTCATCTGCCTATATTCATCGCGCTGTTTTCTTTCTCTTTGTTTATCTTTCTCTTTGTTTATCTTTCTCTTTGTTTATCTTTCTCTTTGTCTATCTTTCTCTTTGTCTATCTTTCTCTTTGTTTATCTTTCTGTCTGTTTAGGTATCTATCTATCTCTCTCTATCCGTCTCTCTATTTATTTTTCTGTCTCTGTACTTATCTGTATTTATCTGTGTGTGCGCCTTATGCCGGTCTTCGCGTATCGCCTGCAGGCGCTGCGGATGTCTTGTCGTGGCTCGATAGGCAGGTGGAAGTCTCGGAAGGGGCAAGCGCCCCTCTAACACCTGTTTTTCTCGCACACGACAGTGCCAGAGGAAGTCTTGCTCGTAGCCGCCTACCGTATTACGAGCGAATATTCCTCCTTGGACTGGGAGCTTTCCCCGATGAAGCAGCCCCTCCTGGTTCTGCTGGCGGCATGTGCTCGCGACTGTATGCAGCTTTGACGGATGTTCTCTTGATGAGGTCACCTCAGGCGCGCGCTGTTGCGGAAGTTTTGGAAAGCCACGGCTTTGCCTTTCCCAGAGTCACTCCCGAGGAGGCTTTGAAGCTCATTCCTTCGGATGTGAAAGGAAAAGTCGAAGTCGAAATCGCAGACAGAGTGAAAAGCCTCCGGCGGAACATAAGGATTGTGGTGCTGGATGCGATGAGGCCGGTGCATCCCGCGCTTCTACGAGTATGCTGATGCTGTTTTTGCTGAGCCTTCCGCTGATGATGCTCTTGTTCTTGCTGATGATGCTCTTGTTCTTGCTAAGGATGATCTTCTTGCTCTTCCTGATGATGCTGTTCTTCCTCCTGTTCTTGCTGATGATGATGCTCTTGCTCCTAGTCATGCTACAAATGCTGTTCTTGCTGTTGGTCTTGCTCATGATGATGTTATTGCTCCTGTTCTTGCTAAAAATGCTGTTCTTGCTCTTGTTCCTGTTCTTGTTCTTGCTGATGATGCTGTTCTTGCTGATGCTCATGGTGTTGTTGTTACTGTTTTTTTGCTGATGCTCTTGCTTTTCTTGTTGATTGCTGATGTTGCTGCTGATGTCCTCGTTGATGCTGCTCTTATTGCTGTCGTTGCTGTTGTTCTTGTTGATGGATGCTGTTATCATGGCTGATGCTGATGCTCTTGTTGATGCTGCTCTTGCTGTTTTCGCTGATGCCGTTGTTCTTGCTGATGCTATTCCTGTTGACGCTTATGCTGGTTTTGCTGTTTTTGCTGGTGCTGCTCTTGACCCTTCATCTCCTGCTGCTGTCGCTGATGCTGTTCTTGTGCCACTATCCCTCCTGCTGCTGCAACGGTGTCTGAAAACGGTTCTGAGGACTGTCTGTGCAATTCTTTTTCGCTCTCCCTCTACCCTTTCCTGCTGGCTACAGAAAAAGAACTTTCTTCATAATGCGTGACGCGCACAGATCCCCTTAGCTCTCCAGGGAGCCGGCGGTTCGTCTTCTGCAATTCGCTAGCTGGCTAGCTGGCTAGCTCGTCGACGGGTTGGCTTTCCATTTTCCTCCCTGCGCGTATCTGCTCCTCATGTATGTATGTGCCCTCTAGGAGGAATGGTGGCTACTTTTGGTGGAAGACAATGAGATCGAGGCACTGGAAGCTGCAGTTTCTCAAATAGAAGCTGGAGCTCCTAGCAGAGGCCTCTACCTTGCGAAACCTTCCGCGCTGCTTCTTGCTGCGGTATGCGAAAGTGCATGCCTGGTTTCAACGTATCTCCTTGGAAGAATCTTCTTTCTTCTTGCTCTCTTCCTCCTTTCTCTATCCTCGCTTTCTCTGTTGAGGCCAGAGTAATACTGGTGGTAGTGTGATGTGAGCGCCGCGTAGCACTGCAGGCGCTGCTTCGTGCGTAGGCTACTGTCTTTACGTGAAATGAAACGTGTACGTGTGTGTGGTGCATATACAGTGGCTGTTGTGTATGCGTGTATGTGTATATGCGGAAATGTGTTGTGTATGTGTATATGTGTATGTGTGTTATGTAAGTGTGTATGTGTTTTATGTATGTATGTGTATGTGTTACGTATGTGTGTATGTGTTATGTATGTGTTATGAATGTGTTATGTATGTGTGTATATTTGTAGGCCTTGAATCCGTTGTATCCAATTGAAGGCAGTATCTACGCCTTTATGGGGGCAATCTCCTCTGCAGCATTCCTGCAGTTGGGGTTTACCACCAGCGACGAATATAACGACTGGATTCTCGCAGTTCGCTCTGTGGATGCCTCTTCATTGTCAGTGCGATGGCCGTGACAGCGTGCGAGTTGCGAATTCGGGGAATCTCCTCCTGTGTTGAGTTTGCGTCTGCGTTTGAAGCAGCGCTTTTCCGAGTCGTGGTTTTATGGGATCTTCTTCTCCTCCTTTCTGCCTCGTGCATTGGCGTTCGTGTGTGCATGCAGCCCCTTTATTGAAGACGATGCCAACGCCGGTCTGCTGCCTCTCCTGAGAAACGGGTAGGATAGAGGGACAGCAGGGAGGCAGGATGTGGGGGGAGGGAGGCTGCGAAAAGACGAGACAAGACGTTTTCCGTTTCTCTCTCCCCTTCTCAGAGGTTGTTGCCAGTGCATGGGGTGTTGTTTCTGCCGCGATAGTGTGCAGCGGAGGCTGCGCATGCCGGCAGAGAGGGTGTTGTTTGGCTCTTCTATTTGTGGGGTACACATGCGGCTTGCCTGTTCACCCGTAAAAACAGCAGCAGGGACGTATTTCTGCGCCTCTTTACGATTGCCGCACCCCTACGCTCGCTGCCCCCTCCCCTGTGTCTCGCTCGATGAGGATCTCATCTGTCACACACGCCTCTGCTGGCGTGCCTGAAAACTGCTGCAGCTGCTGCGCATCCATGCCTGCCTGCCTGCCTGCTGCTTGCAGCTGTCTTGAAGAATCGCTGCGTCTCTCGCCTGACGTGCTTGTCAAATCGGCAGTTCAAGAAGGCTCAGTTGGAGCTCCCTGGCGCCAGCGGCTGCAGCAGCTCACCAACAAGCTCCGCGTGAGCTGTGGTATCGAGTGTACTGGAATGCAGCACTTCTTCAGTGGACTGTCCGCTGTAAGCAGCGCTTGTCTGCTGCTGCTGTTGTGCGCTTGCATGTCTCGAAGAGCTCGTCTCTTCTTGCCTCCTGCTGCTGCAACGGCAGTAAAAAGCCTGCTGCTGCTCCTCCTCCTCCGAGTGCTCGGCTTGCGCGCACAAGTTCTATCGAAGCCTTTTTTCTGCCTTGTCTCCCCAGAAGCAGCAGCAAACAGTCTTCGGATACCTGCGGCAGCACTTGTCTCTTCCAGATCGCCTCTGCATCAACTGGATTCGCCATACGGACGACGTAAGACTCGTCGGACCCTTTAGAGCGACAACAGCAGCAGCCAGGCTAGTGAGAAGGGCAACCCCCTTTTCCTGGGAAGAGAAAATGAATCTCTCATTTTGCCTTCTTCTTTTCTAAAGGCCGTATCCGCGTGTCTTCGTACGAAGAGGCAGCGCCCGCTCAATGCGCTAAAGAGGCTTCGAAGGGGGGTCCTTGGTGCCTTCTAGATCGAGGCATGCGTCTCCTTTCCGTTCAGTGCTGTTGCTGCTGCGCCTTCTGCTGCAGACCAAGCACCGCGGAAGCTTTTCCTCCGTACCCAACACAGATGCTGCATGGCTGCTCGCTGCCCTTCTTGTAAAGGCTTGCGCTGGTCAGAATACACGCGCAACAGCAACAGCACCAGCTGGTGCTGTTGTTGTTGTTGCAGAAGGAGGCACACCCCCCAACCCCCAAGCCCTTCCATCCCCCGCCCTCTCAACACACGCAATATAGGAACAGTTTGAGTTCCTAAGAAGAAGTGCTACCACTATCCGGCTCGGTTTTGCAAGTCGTCTTCAGCATCTACGTGTGCTTTATGACAGTGCATCCTCACAAGGAGACACTCTATGACACGCCCCAGAAGCAAGGCTTCACGTCACCTGCGGTGATCAGCATCTCTCTCTATGTGCGTGCTTTCCGAAACTGCACTCAGGAGAAACGCCTCTCCTCGCTGCCAGGAAAAATGCAATTGACGCACTCCAGCTCCTCAAGAGGTACCGCATTTTGGAGCGGCAGCAGCAGCAGCGGAAGTAAGTATTGGGACGCTCGTTGCATCGGGGAAGCGCATGCACGGATGCTGTGATGCGCGTGCAGGCTGACGACAAGTTCTTTAACAGAGAAAGCGGCGGCATTACAGAGTCTTCAGGAGGCGCAGGAAGCCCTTAAGGGACAGTTATCTCGGCTCTTTCTTCAGGTAATAACGCGCTGGTCTTGAAGTCCAGAGTTGAGCTTGTTCAGGAATTTCTCTTGAAAATGTGCTTTTTGAGCGGCCTGTCAGGCAGCGCTGGTACATATATCTGTCTACATTTTATTTCTAATGGTATAGTCTTTATCGTAATCTATCTTCTGAGTACAATTAGTTTATTTAGCGAATAATTAGTTTTTATGAATAATTTCAGCATAATATGCATGTATATGCGTGTGGGTGTGTATATGTATACATACATATGTATATATGTGTATGTGACTGTGTGTGTGTGTGTGATTATTTGCTGTCCGAAGGCTGATTTGATGCGATCGAGTGTCTCCCAGGGGTTGTTGTTTTTATCCCTGAAGCAGCCGCCGGCCTTTGTGTGGTCTTCGCACTACTTGCGTCTTCTGTGTCTTCTGGGGTCGATGCGGCAGAGAGGAAGTTACGCTTCTCGCTGTCTTCCCTGTCTGTTGCTTGTGACTGAAGAAGCGACGTCAAGGGAGGCGGCCTCTCGGGTGCCTGAGGGGTCAAACGAGAGTGGTGCGAAGTGCGTTTTGTATTGCGTGACACCTGGAGCAGACAAGCACTCTCCGGATTTGTTTCCAGGCGTGCTTCAGGCCGTGGAGAGGCTCAGCAGCAGCAGAGGCCCCCCCATGGTTTTTAGAGACTTTCTCGATCCGCATTTGCTGCATATAACTGCTCCCCGCTTAGGGCTGGACGTACAGAAGCAGGCGGGCGTTCTTTATAAGGAGGCTTTGCGGCGGAGAGAGGAGATGGACAATGATGAAGAAGTTTTCGACGGGCTGCCGCAGACTGGAGCGACAGCACAAGGTGAAGCGACTGGGGCCCCTTCGGAGGAATCGCAGGGAAGTTCGACGGAAGAAGAAGACGAGGCAGGAGGCAGTGGAGAAGAAGATGCTGAAGAAGAGGAAGAGGCACCAGAACAGCTGCCGACAGACGAAGAATCCTTCAGCTCAGAAGCTGAAGAAGAGGAAATTTCAGAGGCAAGTGACGACGCTGACAGCTCGAATGGAGAGGTTCACCCTTCGCCCGAGGCACTTCGAAAGAATGGCACACCCGGAGGCCTAAGAAGGCCTAAAGGGAAACGGCCTCGTCGGGCAGCAGGAACAGATAATGAAAATGAAGAGGTGCGTCTTTGTGTTGAGCCGAAGCAAAAGCTTGGGCTTGTTTTTGCCCGTACAGCATGCAGGTGTGCATATATGTTTGTGGCTATGTGAATACGCATGCCTATCAGCGTTTCTCGGCTCGTTTTACCGCTTCCCTGTGCAGGGAATGTGCGTCCAGCACAGCTCCGCATGCAATTACCGTCGTAGAGAAACGCGTGCACTTGTGTTTGCATCCCCTCTGGGGGGTTGCTTGGAGGTTCTGGCTCCCTTTCCGCTGCCGCCGTGCGGCACGGAATCTAAGGGTTCGCCATTTGTTGGTATCATATTCTTCGTTTGCGCAGGCGAACTGCAGCGGCGGAAGCTCTCCCTCCAGTTCATAGCCAGGCAGCATCCCCATCAAGCGTGGGCTATCCCACACTTTCCCCCCAGCGCCACTCATCCCCTCTTGTCGCTTGCCTATGTAGTCATTGACGAGCCTTTGTTGTACAGCTCGTTTGTGAGCTGTATTAGAGGCCAGGCCCCCCTAAACCGTTGGCCGTCTGCTTCATCGTTTGCGCTGGTGGCCTTCAGCGATTGTGCCTTCATCGCACTGTTCCAACTCCTAACTTGTTTTCCCGAAGCGATTACTTACAAGGGTGGACACACCCGCAGGGTGAACCCTGCTTGCCTCTGTGCCGTAGCTCTTCGCAGACGTTTGCTACGCTAGAGCCGATGAAACGCTTTTGCACTAGTCGCTTTTCATGCTCTCTACTCCGCACTTCTAGAAGCTGCACATCCGAGAAGAAATCTCATCCTGTAGTGAAACTTCCAGCTACTGAAGTCTAGCTACACAGCAGTGTTGCACACCGTTTTCGAGCGGCCGAGATCCACGGGGATCACAATGATGACTGCTCACCGCGAAATATACCTTTGAGAGAGAACGCAGTCTGACAACAGGTACATTAAATGCACCAAAAGGACGGAAGTAAGCGAAGGAGCAGAGAGCGCAGCTGTTTTTTATAAACTTGGAGGTGCCGGCGAACCCTCCCTGAAGTAGACTGATAGGAGCGATGTGTCATGAGTACTTCTTAAAAAGCTATTCGTTGGGGCTGGAGATACGAAACGGCTGTAGATCCCTGTCTTCAGTCTTTTGCGCACCAAACTGCATCCAGTAAATTTTCACGATGGACACAAACGTTTGTCTTACACTAGAGTGCCCGGAGGTTATTGAACCTACTTTCTGGGTCGCATTCGTCCATGGCAATAACTCTAAGCGCCACGATCACTGCCTTGCAGGCGGAACACTCCCTTTCCTGTGGTCACCTCAGAAGAATCGGCGGAAAATAGATGAACTTCTGCAATTGCTAGAGATATTTAGCCCTCATTCAGAACTTTATGTCTGCTTCTAAGCCATATCGAAGCCCAATTCTCCCTTGATCTCATGACTGAGAGCTTGAAATACTCTGCTACAAGGTCACCACACCAACGGACTGTTGCGGCCGGATCAATCGAACATGCTGCATTATTTGCACGAAAAGCTGCCTTACTGCTCTACAATGTCAAAGGGATTGTTTTTACATTCGTTTATGCCGTAAACAGGAGGTTCAGATAGACGCCATACATCCGACCGACTTTGAGCCAAGGCGAAGGAACGTTCCCAGAGGCGCCGCCCGAAAGAGGAGCTAATCGGGTAAGCTAGCTGTTGGACAAGAAAAAACGAGCAGGGAACACATCTATCCAGCAGAATTTATCAGCGAATAGGATTTCATGTTGCTTGGGTTGAATTCTCCAGCCCGCCGATCCAACAGCGTGGTGCGGAGGGATGCGGACGTGCTCTCCCTGAAGACCAGTCGTCTCTTCTCCACGATCACCAAGTTCACCTCACAGCAGAGACTTTTAAAAAGTATTTTTAATTTAAGAGGGGTTTTTTCAGGTCAGCAATGTCATTCCGAGTTTGCAGTATGCTTATAGTGCACAGGACGCTCTTTGGTAAAGTCTTGCGTACGCCCTGAGAGCTTGGCTTTTTTCAGCCTCGTTTGCCGACGATTTCACTGCCTTTAAGGAAGTGTTAGCAGAACATTTGAGTGCTTACTTCGTTTTAATTTATTTCAACAGCAGTTTTACTTGGGTTGCCCCCTGGTATCCCGCATTTGTGCTCGGCCCAATCAAGGCCCCCCTAGTTGCGTTCCTTGTCGCCTTATGTCCGCGACTCTTATCATTTTCCACCCGCACAGCAGCTCCGAGAACGCTACGTTTGAACGCGGTTTGATCAAGCAGTGCGTGGTCTCTGCGTGAACGCACCCGTGAGACCTACCAGCACGTCTGCATACATTGAAAGAGCCAGCGCACCAGTCTGCGTAATCCTATTCAATCCTGCATTTTCCGCCCGCAAAAAGGCCGATTCCTGTTAAAGGACACTTCTCCCCTCGCAGGCTTGTCAATTCCGCAGTCGTGGGTTGCTGTACTCGCCAAGTACGGTTGCGTTTGTTCTGGTGTGGCTGGGACACGGAAAGCTTAACGATGGACCCCCAACGCGTCACCAGGTCCAAAAAGCACCCAATAGGGGTGCAGATATTTTACTGAAAAGGGATGTCCCTGCTTATTCTGGCCCTTACGGTCAAGAAGTGCGACCTGGTCGTGGCACCTATGATCCCATACTGGGGAGCTTGCTGTAGAGGTGAGGCTAGACAGGGTGGAAAAGCCATGAGAGCGAGGGAGGGGAGGGGATACGGTACGAGAAAAACAGAAAAATGAAGGGCGAAGGCTGAAGGAGAGTGAGGAAGATCTGGCGGGCTCGTTTTTTGGATGAGACTAAGTGCACGGGAGGGGCGGTGGTGGTGAGGGACACGAGGGGATCGCGAGTAGCCAGACCAAGGCGACAGAGGGAGAGGGGAAGACGGAGTGGGTGAAAACGCAACTAATTGATGGATTCAGGCACTGGCAAGGACACATTGATGGGCATTCCATAGACAGTGACGGTTGAGCCACCATAGAGCCTACAAGCAAAAAATCGGACCTGTACGATTGTTTGGTGCAGCTGGTCGCTGTGAGCGTTACCAGCTTGTGCATAGTATTTCCCATTTACGCCACACAAAAGGCCATGTACGTAGTTGGCCCCAGGACGCTTTAGCTTGAGCGCTTAAACTTGGGGGAGTCCTGCCCGACTTGTCCTATCGATTAAGCCTTCAAGACTTTGTAGAGCCGGGCGTTTCGCACACGACAAACACGAGCAGCACATCGTGATCGGGGACAAGTCTTGCAGTTGCTTATCTGTAAACGAATAAGTGTTGGTATTGATCAGGAACCACGCGAGTTTGATTGGCTTTTCTCGCGGTTTACGGGGAGGCCATGGAAATGGAGTTCCTGGAGCGAACTCCCTTCTTCTTGTCTCGCCTGTTTGCATTTGCGCACAGATGTGTAGTGGATGTGGTGATTGGAGTCTTCGTCTTGCTCGCCAGTGCCACCTGCCAGTGCCTTCAGGCTACTAAGAATTTTTATGGGCAGAAGCTCTGTTTTCTCGGCGGTAGCTCACACGCTGTACAGACTCACGTTGGCTCTTCATCAGCATCCATGTAACTGGGCCCCCTTTATTTTTTGTCCCGCATCCGGTTACTCTATTTCAATCGATAGCTTCCTCTCAAGCTATCTATTCCGTTGGATATATTCTCTCCGCCCTCTGTGCTTCCAGGAGAATGTTGTGAATTTTTCCGATTTAGCTGGTGGCAAGGGGAATTGCACTATTGTGCATGCTGCCCAAAGGCTGAATCTTGACTGGTCATTGTGCGTTCAGTGGCATCGAGGGGACAATCTCTTCTCTGTAGCATGCATGTCAGCCTTGATTCTCCATCCCCTAGAAGTAAGCCGTCACAACAGGATCGTTACCTTCGCTATTTGTCTGGTAGGAACAAAGCAGGAGAATTTGCCAGGCAGGAAGGTGCAAGGGAGGAAAGCAGGGTGCCGGGAGCAGAGGGCGATGGAGTCAGCCAGCAAGTAGTGTGCCAGGCCACGAGTCAGACCAAAAGTCCTACAGCACCAGAGAGGCGGGGGGAGAGGAACGTAGAGTTACGGAAACAAACTCCTCTCTCATAAGGGTTTCAGTTAGCCTGTGCTCGCCCATTATGAAGCATCGTTTTTCGTGCATTCGATTGGACACATATGCATGTCTGTACGCAAACCGGAACACTACTTCGACAATTAAAAAGTTAACTGTGTGCTTCCTTCGGTATCTGGCAAGGCTCCTTCTGATCGCGGCTATTCGCGGCTTATGTGTGTTCTTCTCTTCTAATTCAAAATTTTGCTGGAATGTTGTTAAGTGCTCTTTATTCAGTTGTTTCTTGAGTGTTGGTATATCATGGCGGGTGTTTATTGATGCAGTTAACGACTCCGGCGTCGCTGGTTGGACTTCAAATAACCTCCGCCAGCCTCGCGGCTGCAGCGCAGTGCGTAAACCCCTGGAGACTCTGATGCGTGCAGGGCCATAATGGGCATATAAGATGTCAAAAGAGCACGAGAGATGGCAGATCGAGAGGGGAGGAAGGATGGGCGAAACAGGCAGAGATGGAAAACCAAAGGGGCCTACGCAAGGTTCCGGGGTGAAGGTTAACGCAAAGCGTAAGGGGGACAGAAGAGCATAGGTACAGGATGCGGCACAGGGGTGAGGTGTTGGATATGTATAAATATGTATATGCCACAGGTTGGGTTCGGGTTACATGGAAGCCATAAGAAACAGTCAAGAGCGAAGGCAGCAGTGCTCGAGAGGGAATAAAGAGCAAAGAGGCAGGAACAGGGTTCAGCGAGGGTAGCGACAGCTTGCTCGACAGGTTTTTTATGAAATATTGTCTGGGAGTGCTGGCGAACAAACTATGGATATAGATGCATTACCACCCTGCTGCCCCTACGTCTTCCTTTGGTGGAACATCCTGGATTGTGTGTGTGCTCTTGCGTGCTTGCTTGCTTTGCCTGAGTCAGGGGGCTATCGGTCTCTGCTCTGTTTCTGAGCGGAACTTTAGTGATTGCTGGCCTTCCACTTCGCCTATGGCTTTAGCGTTGGCACGTGCTCCGTAGCAAGTGTTACATTGTAGGGCTGCTCGTCAGCACACCCCTGGCATTTGTATTCTTCGCCCTCGGGCTGGATGATAGCAAGGATTACCTGCGGCTTAAACACAGGAGAGGAAAGAAAGAATCCCTAGAGAATTTACCAAAGCGTTGAGGAGTACTTGTGGGCAGGCCGTTAGCTAAATAAGTTTTAGTGCAAGCTAGTAGTGAGGCGTCCGTCAGGTGACTGTGTGGAGAACGCTCGAGACGAAAGAAACACGGGGAGCAGCGTGGCGCGAGCATCGAGCCTCCTGCACGAGAATGTAGCCGAGTAGAACCCTGCAACGAGCACTAGTGAGATAACTGCCCCCATGCACTCAGATTGCGTCCTTCTAATTACAGAAGTGCCTTCATTGCAGCACGCCTGAGAAACCGACATGTGCATTTAGCGGATATGGGAATGCGGATTTCCCTAGGCGCAGCCGCTAACCCCGTAGCTGGCTCGTGAAGGCATCATGGCTCCGCGATCGACTTTAGCGTGTGCTGCTGCTCCTCAGGCCAGTGAAGTGTACTGAGCATTGTCTGGCACTTATTTCCTGCAGGGGAGGCTTTCCTTGGGGCCCCTCCTCACTGCATGAGCAGACACCTCTTTCTGCCTAAACATGCAGGAAGAAAGAGAAGAGAGAGAGACTAAGGGCGAGCTTTGGTGTTGGGAATGGAGGGTGCAGCACCCTCCCCAGAGTGCTCAAGTAATAGACGTGGCATCTGTAGAGAAGGATTACTCGCTCTTATCAAATGCAAGGGCAGAAGCGGGGGTGCAATGTGGTTGCCTGTTCGGGGTGCCATGGGTGCTGAGGTGATTTGGTGTTCTGCAGGATGTGGCATATGATTTTGTTGAGTGGCTGTTGTGTGACGCGCGCCTTCAACCCCGCTTTCGTCGTGTCTCGGCGCCGAGCCTTGATGTTGGAATCCTCACAAAACGCCTTTGCGTGTGAGAGCCTCTCGGCAAGCAAAAAGCCGACACCTCTCCCCTTGGAGGAACAGGGGGCGCCTTCTCTGCGCGAGGCCCCCATTTGTGCCGTTATCGAGACTATCTCCAAGCCTGGCAACTAGTGTGTACTATTTTTACGCCGTGTCTTGCGCCGCACCCAGCCACGCCTTGAGCTGGCCATGGGCAGCGAGCACGAACACGCATGCAAACGGTGAGGAAGGAAGGTCTGGAGCCAACGCAGTGAAGGTACCCATCCCTCCCCCCCTTTCTCCCCGGCCCCCGCGTATAAGGCGCGCGGAGAGCAGCAGCGCAGGTGGGTGCATGTATGTCTGCCCGTTTGCCTCTCGCTTTCTCTCCATCGATGGTTGCAGCCCCCCGCATGCCGAGAAAGAAACAGCACGTGCCAAACGGCCCCCATGCGGTGCTGACAGTCAGTCAATCGCAACCCCGCAGGCGAGCAGCAGCAGCAGCAGCAGCAGCAGCATTCGACGCCAAGCGCGGCGCTGAGCTCCTAGACTACACGCACCAAACCATCACTGCCAGTTTGCAGTGACACAAGAAAACGGAGAGCATCCAAACTCTACGCGTACACTGCAGCTGGGGTGAGCCGCAGCAGGTGCGCTGCTGCGGAGAATGCAACAGAGGGCATGCTGCTGAGGCCGCTGCAGCAACCACAGGAACAAATAGAGAGACTGCTCCCAGCCAATCGTACAACGCCAAAATAGAGAGCAGGCGGGAAGCTAAGGCAACTACTCCCTGGGGGTTTCGGCCCAAGGCAGCACAGGTTGCAACGGCTGCAGTACCTGCTGCTGCTGCTGCTGCTGCTAAGAGCCGCTCTCACTGTCACACCTGCTTGAACAAATGGACAAACTCCAAACAGCAAGCAACCGCCACTTTCCTAAGCGGCCTCCTCTGCTCTCGGCGTCACACATGGACCGTCTGAGCCTCTTGCTCTCCCACTAGCTGCTGCAGTTGCGGCTCCTGAGGCTTCCTGGCGTCTCTCGCCGGGGTGCTGGAGATAGGGGTCTAAACACATAGGTACAGTGCATTATACATGCATACACATATACATACACTCACACACCAACAGACAGACACATTCATACATACATCCACACATGCCTACATACACCCGTATATCGATACATGCACTCGTGCATCCATCCATCCAGACTATCAGCCACACATGAACCCATGGATACATGCGTACCAGCATGCAGCCACGCATACATCCCAAAGCAAGGGAGTACAAACCAAGGTAGAGCGTAAATAGACCGGAGAAGCGCAATCTGTGGCCGCCAACCGCCCCCACCCTGGCACCTCTTAAAGCCGCCTTTTCCCGTTCGCTCACCTCCTTTCCGAGCGAAGCACATGCATCTAAAGCTCCAGACTGCAGGCAAGTACGCAGAAAGAGTGGCAGCACACATCCAGAGCAGCGTCGCGCACAGGAAGGATACCACCACGCACTATCCGGCTACAATCAGGAAGGGCATTGGACGAGCACCGGGCTGCCGTGGCTAGCCGGTATGCTCAGGTGCGAAGTGAGGGCTAGGAGCGCTCAAAAAAACTCAAAATGCAAAAAAAACTGACAGTGCTAGACGTACCGGAATCGGGTCGACCACGGGCGCGCAATTACTGACATCGCGCAAGTCTTCAGCGGCTGCTGCTGAAGCCTTTCGCCGCGCTCGGCGCAGACGCCTGCAGCACCCAAGAAAAAATAGTTTTGATTGGGAAGATCCATTGTGAAAGGCGCTGGTGGACATAGTTGGTGTGTGTGTGTGTGTGTGTGTGTGTGTGTGTGTGTGTGTGTGTGCGTGTGTGTGTGTGTGTTTGTTTGCTTGTTTGTTTGTTTTGTTTCCAGGCGTAAGAGTCTACGGCATGAAACTCTGAAATGCCACACGCGAACATCGGCAGAGAGCGAAAGGCATAGGAAGGCACTGGGAGAGGATGCCAGAGTTGGTACTCAAGGCAGGCAACGAAGCCGCATGAAGTGAACTGCAAAGCAGAGATGGAGGAGGCGAGAAAGTGCGAAAAAGCTTCGGACAGAGGCAGGGCTGCTGGCAAGCAAGGCGAGACGAGAGGCCCCAAGGAAAAGACATCTATTCGTATCGTGTCAAGTGTACAGAGAGACGCAGGTGTGAAGGCAATCCGAGAAGTTGCAAGCGTGCATGCGTACTTCTTGTCTATGACGATCCACTCTGTGCAGGCTCGATAGCGGAAACGGGGGCTTTTCTCTTCGACCTGAACACGCATTAGGAGGCCACCTCTGGAGTGTATGGACAGTAAGGATCGGGACGACCCTGCCGCTGTGACAGGAGGCGGCACGCACGGGGGCGCTTCTGGGGGCGTCTGTGGCTGGCGCTTGCGAGAAGCAGCAGCAAGCCGCGTTTTAGCCAGCATGGGGAGGCTAAAGTGTTGTGAAGAGGCGCGATCCTGTGTTTGCTGACCTCTTCCTCCACGCGCATCGTGATGTAATCGAAGGTTGTCATGTTGTGATAGAGGAGGTACAAGTGCAACAGCAGGAGCTGCAGCACCAATCCCAGGATCGGAAAATTTAGGGCGATTGGAATCGCTGAAAGCACGTAGAAAAGAATGGCGTTATAACCGCCGTACGCCTGAGAAGCAAAAACGTAACACTGACAGAAGCGAAAACGAGGATGTGCCGAAGGACAGTCGAAGGTACTGTGCAGAGCGAAAACTGTGTGCAAGACGCGGCAGGTGACATGCCAAGCAAGAAACAACCCCAGGGAGGGTAGGAGCATGCGGCTTGAAGCTCGAGGCAGACTTACATCTGTCCAGTGAGGCGCGCTGCTGCCTGAAACTGCCTGACAGATAATTTGATAGAGGCAAAGCGCCATTAACAGCGTGACCATAACCGCCGCAGCAACCAGCATGGCAACAAAGGCCCTGAAACCACACCACAAGCAGTGCATGCACATGGCGCTGCAGAGACAGCGCATGCCGAGGACGGACGGCGGTATAGATCCATCGAAGACAACGAAATCGGCATGAAGAAAAGCATCCCTGGCTGTCACGCCACGACCCCTGGCAGCTCCCGTACCGCTGGCATACCCGCATCATCCCGAGTATTGTGCATGCAGCAACAGGGACTGCAGGGAGCACCAGCGACCCCATATCCAACAGGCAGGTACATGCACACACCGCTTCGCGTCATGAGCAGCACAGCAACATAAACTCCGCTAAGACTGCTGCGAGCGTCGGCATCAGCGGAAGCTGCCGGCTCAATTCAAGAGCAGCATCACCGACACCCCCAGCAGGAGCAAACGGAGCACCAGAAGCTGCATGAGTTAAGCGCGTCATCTTCGTGAGCACGCAATACACAGTAATACCCTACTGAAGAAGCAGGAAAGCAGCAGCTTCAAGATTGGTTTGCCTCATCATCAATTAGCAGTGTCACGAGCATCGCGATCTTCATCAGCATGCAAGAAAGTCGAACCTGTAGTTAGCTTTTCCAACGCAGTTGTTGATCCAGATACAATGATGATCAAAGACATCGATGCATTTGTTGCACGACCTGCAATGTTTGCTCCGTTCTTGAACGCCCCCGCAAATGTTGCACGTTCTTGTCGCTGCTGCTGGCTCCGTTTCTACTCGTATTTGCCTCTCTTCCGGCGTCTCCCCTTCAACGTGAGGCACCCACGGCCCCGACATGAAGGCGAGCGGATCGATAGGATCTGCTCTAGTGCAGAAGTAAGCGAGGCAGAAGAGCGCGAGCGCAGAGACACCAAAGAGGACGCCGAAGACGGCCTTCAGCGCGACGGATACCGCGGGAACCACCACCAGATAGAAGGCCAAAATATCAAGGCCAAAGACAGCCCACGATGCAACTTGGTAAGCCTGCAAGGGGCGGCTGAAACCATGCCGTCGAATAAACTCCCCCGGAGGACGCGAATCCGTTCTATCGAGGGCAGTGCAACTCCGGTGCGGCTGACGCTCGACCTGGAGGTAGACAGCCTCTGCCTTGCCACGCACGAAAGGAACGGCGTCTTCAGGGAACACCTGAGGACGCCTCTGACTGGCAGCGGAAGACGCCAAAACTCCCGCCTGTCCGTCAGGAGGAGGCACTGGGGCCTCTGCAGGGGGCGCAGCGGCCGATCCCACAAGCGGCGGCTGTGCGCTTCCAGAGACGGCACCGGAGGATACTGCGGGGGGGCTTGCACGGGGAGCTCCTCCCTGGGGGTAACGACTCTGCAAGTGCACAGCCATCTGGGGCATTAGGGGGCCCCCATGATCCCTTAGGGGCGTGGAGGAGGGCGCCTGGGGGGCTGCCGGCTCTGAAGTGGGTGCGGATGCCATATGGGGGGCCTTCCACGGTGGTCAGCCTGGTGCGGTCGGGCGGTGGCCCCTTAACTGCTCATGTGGTGCTCGGTTCAAGACTGTTAGGGGCCTCCCCATGAGGCGTGCGCGCGTCTGCGACTCGGGAGGCTCGACGCAGCAGCCCCAAAGCGGCGCCGACAAATGTGCACACGGGGAAGGGCGGTGGAGGGAGGACGGCGTTCCCGCACGGCGTGTGTCTGTACAGCAGGAGGGGCGCGCGCTGCTTGAGCAACGACGCCAGGGTGTCCGGAGCCTGAATTGGCACGGGAGGTGCTTCGAGGCCCCGCGAGAAGCCTCTCCCACCTTTAAGGCTCAAAGTTTCATAGGCAGACACGGGGGCTGTCGTCCTGTGTGCCGCAGACCGCGCGCGTTCCGGTCGGAGCACTGGCAGCAGCAGCGGCAGCAGACGGCACCCCTTCGTATTGAGCGACAGGAAGCCCTAACGAAGTGCAAAAACACGCTGTTCGAGAAAAATGAGCACCAGGTAGGCACAAAAGAAGCTAGCAGCAGCAAATATGCCGCAGGGCGACACAAATGGATGGTCAAACGAGACTTGCGCCACAGGTCCTCAGATCGCTACCAACGGGTTCCTACCAACGAAGAGAGGGCCCCCTTTGCCCACTGGTGCATTCTCGTTGGTTCGATACCACGAATTTCAATGGTTCGAAGTCTCTCACACTGATTCCCTTCATTAGTGACTGGCTTTCGGCTCTCCCCAGGGGTTCTCGCTCTGGGTGGCACCCCTGCGCGTCTGATAACCTCTAGGGCACCCCCTTTGTTTCCGGTGGACGTTTCTGTTTCGCCCTCTCTCTGGCTAGCAGGTTACCCCAACTTTTCCTCTAAACAACACGACATTATCTCTGCTCTACGCGCCAACGGACGCCTTGCCATCCTTCTCCCCCTCGTGCGCCGCGGCACCATTACCCCTTCCCCTCACTGCCCCCATGGAGTGTGTGTTTGGCCAGTAGTGGGCTGCAGTGCACATATGGGGAAGGGGGAAGAAATAACGCCATGTGGAACGCCTACAACAGAGCGCTCTTCGGCTTAGTGTAGATACGGGCACCTAAAACCATCCACCCTGCTCCCTCCAAAAGTCTTTCCTAAATCCCGAGGCCCCTCACTAACTGCCAGAGCACACAACCCTAAAACTAAGCACGTGGCTGTTCTTACCCTAGAGGCGGAGCGCTAAAGTTAGTGGGCGCTGGGTGGCCTCTGCAGGCGGGCTCGCAGGGCGTGCTCACCTTTGGCCACTTCACACAGAAACTGCTCGTTAGAACTTCTTCTGCTAGAGAGCGTGTATAGAGCCCAGAGCTCAAGATTTAAAAGGCTGTGAAACTTAGCGTTTCGGCTTTCGGTAAAAAAAAGTCTCAAACAGAGCCGCATCGTGCGAAAACCCGTCCGTCACCTCGATCGAAGTGGCACCCCGCTGTGACCCCTTGAGCTATTTGCCCGGCACCGAAACTGATTAGGGGGCCCTTGACAGCGCGTTTGTGCTCCGCCTCCGCCCTCCATCATCTCTCACCTCTATGCCAAAAACGACACCAACATGTACACCTACGCCACCGAATAAACAGGCTTATCAAGCACGAAAGCAGGCCCGTGAGGTCGTCAGCTACCTCAAAGCGGCGTGGCAGTGTGTGCAAGCCAAGGTCCCTCATAGATAGCAACTGCCCCAAGGGTTTTGTCTGGGCTTACTGCGGTTCGTTGCGGACCTACCTAACACACCCTTTAGAAATATTAGCAATTGCGAGACAGGAGGTGGAGGCTAGAACGTGTAGCATGCGTTCAGTTGCTTGGATCAATCACGAGGTTATAGTCTCTCGCATACGCGGACAGAGCTCTGTCTAGTCTCAGAGTGGTGGCCCTCTGCAACATATGCAACCCAAACAAATGCCTTTCGCCCGACTGTGTTCTGCTACTCCCCGCTCCCCAAATGCCCTCTCCTTTAAGCAACCCCACTGCGCCACCACCACACCCACCGTCACACCCTGGAAGGCTTCGCATCTCCTTTCCAAATCCGGACCCCGCCGACAAGATCTCCTCTCCGGCCACAGATCTGCTTCGCCCTTGTACATGCGGCAAAGGACTCCTCCTCGAAATACACGCCGGAGGAGAAGCCTCAAGAGACTGCTCCGAACGGCTGTAACACTGCCCACGTCTCGACCGTGCCGTACGCGACCTTGACAGCCTTGCGCGAGCCCTCTTGGCTCTTGCCCTGCGCGACCTTAGCCGCTTGAGGTTCATGCCAGCGGTGGGTGTTGGAAACCAAGAGAGGACGGAGGCACAGGTGCCTAATGTACCCAGTCTTGCTGTTGACGCCCTCTTTTTCATACCGCGGTCTATCGTGCCCACACGTCTCTCCCCCCCGTTAATTGGGGTGGCGGACGACGCGCAAGAGTTCCCCCACATAGTTTCCGCAGACGAGGGCATACGGCCAGACTCCACACCTTCTGCCTTCCCGGGATCTCCACGCGCATTCCCTCGGGATGAGCCCCGTTCCCTCGTGCACCACCACAGACCCGCGTACAGTGCAACAATACCGAGGACACTTAAAGCTACTGCGACCAAGAGCGCCTTTACGTCGAGTGTCGCAGGATAGAGCGGTGGTTCCATCGAAATGTCGTTCTCAATAGCAGGAAAAGGGTTTCCTGGGGGCAGAGAGCGCCGCAAACGCGCCTGCTCGTTCACGTGCTGGCGCACATGGCGATCCAAGCACGTGCGCCTGCCGGGGGGAAGCGGGGCGGTTGGCGGCAAAATCTTGAAGAAAAAAGTTAGGCGACAGTGTCCAGCAGACAATAAAAGGGAAAGAATGCCCTAAAGCAACTACAAGTGAAGTCAGACGGTCGACAGGATGCACAGAAGCATGGGTTGCAGGTCATAGAAAAGGGGGCAACGGAAGAAACCTCCTGGATACGCTTCAGCATTGCCAATAGGAAAGGATGAAAATAGGAATTCAAAACAGAATCCGTATTAAAGACGCAAATTAATAGCCCCAAGCATGGGAATTCAAAGAGAAAAACACGTGCAGGGCACTGCTCTGGTCCATTTGAACAGGGGGAAGCAGCTCCTCCCCGAGACAGTATTCTGCTCTGAAGAGAGCGATATCCCTAGGAGAATAGAAGCAAGGGGCATAAAAAACCAAAAGTGCTTATGAGTAAGCCCCATCCGCCCTGTGCCGTAGCTGCGCTTCCTGTTTAGCTGATTCTTCAAATGCTAGAGCGGTCGCAGTGTCACCTGCGTTGCTACAGTGATTGAATTTGGAGCGCGGAGTCAAAATAAAGTTGAAATGCGCAGTAAAGAGCGTTCCTGCTCATGGGCGGGAGCTAAAATACCGCACGGCACTGCCGCTTACAGCAAGCACGATGCAAATGCGAACCCAGACATCAGAAGCAGCGGGTGCTCAGCAATGTGGGGAGAGCAATTATGGAAAGGAAGAAAAGGCACTGTTTACAAATAAGCTTGTTTGGCTGGGAAGGCAAAGAACGGCGGGTGAACAAGGCACAGGCAGGCACCTAGGTAGTGGTGCTGTTGCTCGGGCCGCAGCGGACGCAGAGTGGATGAGGAAAAGGGAAAAAGCAGACAAGGGGAGACAAATCTCAGTAGCCGAGTGCAAAAGAATAAGTTTTGCTGCAGGCAATAAAAGGTCTTTGTTCGGTAGAGCTGTCCTTTTTGCTCAGAAGACAAAAGAAACTGATCCCTGGGAAAATCGACGCATGGAGGTTCTGTTCCTGGTCGCTCAATGCATCATCGATTGACTATTCTGATGAATAAATGAGCAACCAACGAAACCTGTTCTGTTACTTCTTTGAGTTTAATCAAATTATGCTTCCATTAAACCCGTAATTGATCCTTTTGTCGTGAGACATATAAGCAGGCTTTGTTTTGCAGTGCGTGCCTTTCGTTGATGTGCCCCAGGGCGGGGAAACTATGAAAAAATTAAATGCAGCACTGCACGTGCTTCTTTAGCCTGTGGTGTTTGTAATTTTTTGAGGTGACCGTTCTTGGTGCTGCGTTGATGAGTGCTTGCACTTTCCTCTGCTCGGCCCTAACCCAGAAGGATCCTCTTTGGCGCTGCCTCCAAAAGTGGCCGAGATCCTCAAAACTTCGGGAAGCATCAATTAATACATCGCTTCATAACATTTTCCTGTCATTTTTCTATCGACTTCTGCGTTATTTTCTACCTTGCCTCCTCTATTGTCACTAACTACCAGCCTCACATTCGCAAATGGCCAGGAAATCAGGGTAACTAGCCTACCTTTTAAGACGTACAGCGTAGAAGATAGAATCAATTGCACAACAACAGAATAATTAGACTGAGCAGCAGGCAGATACCTTACCAGGTATTCATGTCAAAATATGCACTAGAATAACCTCATCACTGCGCCCTCATTACGCAGCTTCTTTTACCTGCATGCCTGCTGGACCACATACGTAGTTCCCTAGCGGCAAAAGGGATGCAAACAAACAAGACAAGTCTGTCTTTGTTGCCTTTCACCCTTTTGTGTATTTACCCCTGTTACCGGCTGTTCGCAATACACACAGTCACCGGGAAAGGGAGGACCGGTGATCTGATGGCAGCAGACGTGAAGAGTCCGTAGCCGTTTGCCGCCAAAGCTGCGATGTAAGCCTAAGACCAAATTGATAGTTCCAGTTACTTGGTTCAAAACTTTGAAGCATAGAGTCAAACTCCACAGTGTACCAAATGCTACTGCTCTGAACGCTGTGGAGCCCTAGAAGCAGCCGCCTTGCTGTGAAATTCAAGTCCGGGATCCTTAAGAAGGTCTCGTCAAGTAAAACTTAGCAAGTAGCATGAAACAGGTAAATGAGCGTCAAGTTAGTCTCATGGAAAAATTTCGCCAGAGGTTCAGTATCGAGGGGCTTTTGCTCGCTGTGTGGCTGCGTGGAAACGCAGTACAGTAGCACAGAAACAGAAGCAGCGCGCAGCGCAAAAAGCGAGACAGATTTAGAGAGATCCCTAAAGGAAACGGATTCAAAGGGAGGGTCGGGAATGGAAGGCAATTAGAACCTGGGGCCGAAAGCAAAAAGTCGTTCACGACACATCGACACCATGCACTAAAGCCCCGAACGTGAATACACGCACACGGCTCCGCAGTAAACCCCCCTTTTCCGGAGCCACAAAAGGACGGAGAAGGCTCTGCGACCGCCTTTGCTGTCTGTTTCAAGTGTGGTATTTGAGAAGCACAGGGAAGAAGGAATGGAAAACCTCTTGAATCTCCGCAGCCGTCTTGCAGCCGGTGATCACAACTTTGCCGCTGACGAAGATAAGCAGGACAGCCTTGAGAGATGGAGTCGGGTTGTAGCGGTAGACAAGGCCTGCGGACGACACGGCAGCAGCCCTCAAGTGTAGAGACACCTACGCACCCCAGCTTGCTGCCTGGGTCTGGAATTACATGCAAGAAGGGCAGAAATGGAGTGAAGTTTGGGTACACAGACAAAATGACGGGGCAGCACCTAAAATCAGCTATGGCAGCAGCCCAGCAATTCGCGGAAAGGGAATTCCTTCTTGCGGCGGGATTTCGCTGGAAGAAGCCAACCAAGAGAATAAAAGACCACGGAGACAGAGCGTTACCGCGAAGCAAAGCGCGAGTAGCAGGGAAAGATGCACCAAGGTAAGAGTTGCGCATGAGCGCCCAGGCAAAAACTTCAGTTGACGGCGAGCGAAGGGGAGAAGCGCCCTAAAGCGACACAAAAGGGGGGCGTGGAGGCCATCGAATCGAGCAACAACGCACGAATCCCAGCAGCCACCTACCAGCAAACAGTTCAGGTTCGTAGCTGCAGAATTCCTTGTGATCAAAAGCCAAGCCTTCTAGCCGCACCGGCAAGCCACAATCCGCCGTCGCCACGATATTTTCAATGGCGAATTCGGTAAGCTGAATTTTGGAGGCAGTGCGACCGGTACGGCCGTTGGCTTGAAGGCCTCCGGCTCCGTCACTGCTCTCAGGGAGGCACTGGGAGTCTGTTTCTTGTTTTCGTGCAGCAATCGCGGAGTTTGTGAGACTGCATGTTTCCGACTGCTCAGCACCCACAGCACTCCAAGTGCTTCCTCCTCCCCCCGCAGCCACTGCTGCTTTCACAGAGGCCGTCTCTCCCGCGCCCTCCCCATCCGGAGAAGAGCTGCCGGTGTCTACTGAGAGTGCGCGCAGCCCGCTGTCTGCTGCTGCATCTCCCAGCGCTGTTTCTCTCCGCCTCTCCGCCTCTCCGCCTCTCCCCTCCTCTCTTGCTGCCAGTGCTGAGGACCGCGTGGGAGCGCCTAAAACGGCTTGCAGCATTTTCACGAGGAGTCGTGCAGCTCGGAGAGCAGCGTCTTCGCTCTGTGCACCCGTCACCATTACCCGCCCTGCAGGCCATACATATATGCAAATATACATATATACATACACATACACATAGACACACATATACACACATACACACACATACACATATACACACATACACACACATACACATGCACACATATACACACATATACACACATACACATGCACACATATACACACATACACATGCATACACATGCACACACATACACACATACACATGCATACACATGCCCACATATACACACACATACACATACATACACACAAATACACACACATACACATACGTACACATGCATACACACACATATACACACATATACACATGCATACACACACACATACACATGCACCCATGTACACACACGTGGCATACACAGCTGTTCCTGAAGATCGCGCCTGGCGCGCCAGCAGCGCTCCGGCTTACGCGGTGCGCCTTCAGCCTTTCAGTACTTACCCGACCTGAAGATGAGACCGGTGCACTTTGGCTTCCTGAGTCGAATGATGCAGGCATTGACTTTACGGGGGTTGTATTCTGCAAGGCGGCAGCTGACGGCAATGCGTCTCAAGTCCAGACAGGCGCTCCTCCGCCCCTCAACAGACACTCGGCCGCTTGCGATCACATTCTGCACCCTGACAGGGGGTGCCTCTGCGGCGACGGCTGCAGCACTGTTCTCTGCCGAAGCTGCTGCTGCCAAAACATCGGCTGCTCCCAGCGGCAACAGCTTTCCCGCGGCAGGCAGAGGGGGCGAGGAGGCGCGAGACGCAGAAGTGCCTTCGCCTTCGCAGGCAGGCGCCTCTGTGTGCCCTTTGGACCCCGAAAGTCGCTGATCAGAGACTTCCTCAGCTCCGGAGGGGGGTGCAACACTGCATGCATTGGGCAGCAGCAAGGCCATGAGGCTGTCTTCGAGAGCATCGATCTCGCCTCCAGCGTGGCGGCGTTCCTGCACGACAGCCTTAAGGCCAAGCGGTTCTTGCTCAAGAGCCATTCTTGTCGAGAAAGAGGCCCCTAAGGACTGCTGCCGCGCGCCGTTCGAGAAGGCGTCTTCCCCTTCGGAGGCATCTGTGCGCGCAGACTCCCTCCTTCTTCTCCCAGCAAGGGGCTGCTGATCGTCGGGGTACGCGCGTGGCCTCTTCGCTGTTTCAGGCGCTGGCAGGGACGAAGAATCCACCAGCTCCGCCATCGTCAGCAGCGCCAACAGCAGTGGCAAGCAGCGGGAAAGGGGGAGTTAAAATCGAGATCTACGAGCACCGCGCAACAGCGTTGCAAGGAAGCGACGCCGGCATTCTTCCACGCTCTAGAACGATCCGGCGATGCAGCGTGCAGGAGAGCCAGGGAAGGGAGTTGGCTTCTTTTCAGCGAAGCGCAGGCCGTGAGTGCAACCCAGCGGATTTTGTGGAGCTCCCGCGACAAACTGGAGCATCAACATCCCTGGACGTGAAGCAAGGAGTCGTCCGCCGCTATAAGCCTTCTTCTCAATGCCTTCAAACCCCCAGAGAAGAAAAAGTTGATCCAGCGTGCGAAAGGCTTTCCCAGAAAATCGATGCCCAACACTGCCTAATCCCTACGGTATGCCCACTAAGAACACAAAAGACGAGGAGAAAACACCACCCGATGGTTTCAAATCCTCAGGGGCGCCGTTCATTCGTTTCGGTGCCTCTAACTTATCAGGCTCGATTTCCAGGTTCTCCCGCGCATGCGCATGCAGCCAACGCACAAGGCAGTTGGGACATGCACAGAGGACTTGGCAGACAATGATTCTTTACGTCAATACATCATTACATAAAAGGCATCTCTTGGACTGGGCTGAGTCGCAGCCAAAGCGAGGAGTGCAGACACTGCAGGACGTACAACACAGCCCCATCGTCGAAATTTCTTGAATATCTTTGGCTTACGTGGACGTCTCATGTATCTCTTTTCCTTCTGACGCCTTCACTTCCCAAAGGACTGGCAGGCAGAAACCAGCTGAGGTGTATATTCTCCATTGTTTTGGTCAACCTAAAGTGCAATCGCAGGCGTCAGTTTCTTGAGCTCCAGCCTGTTTCCAGCGCTCGAGAGTATCCCAAAATCGTTCGATTTGCATCTCTTTTGGCCCTAGCTAACGAATCGCAACTGCTTGGAGAACTGCCGGGCGCCAGCTCTCCATCTGGAGATGGAACGCGGCAAGTGATGCAGTTTGGCGTGGCAAACTCAGCAACCCTGACAACTGCAGCGACTGAGAACGGATCCGGCGCAACAGAAACAGCAGCCTCAGCGCCTGTGGCCGTGTAGAGTGCAGCACTCGCCATCTCCCCATAGTTGCCAGCATTAACAACGTGGATCAGATGCTCTCTGTGGCGCACTGGCGGCTGCTGCCGCGAGCAGTCCTGCGCATGCACGGTCGCTCCGCAGTCTCACTGAACGCTCGCGTGCCTCGCAGATGGATTCTCTCGTGTGTTAACGGAGGAGGAACAGCAGCAGCACGACCTTGGCAGCCTTTTCCAGCCTCGGGAGCTTGTCTCTCACTCAACTGGGCAGCCTCAGCACCACCACGCGCACATCCAGCCGCGGCTGGAGCCGCAGGAGGTATGATCCGCCGTTTCGGATCTTTGAATCCTTATGCCAAGGGCAAAACGGGAACGGATATGTATGTACACCCCGCAGACGAAGTTGAGGCTCAAAGACCTCTGGCGCCAGATCCTTATGACGGGACTTATCAAAGACCACAGGGCGCTCCCGACCCTCGCAGCATCAGCAGAGAGCAGTTTCATCAGTTTATGTACGGAAAGCCACAAAGATTCTCAAAGGAACTCAAGGTACGAACAGCGACACAGATGCGTGAAGCCGCACTTGCAGGGAGGCGGAAACATGTACATATGTATATGTAAATCTAGGTCTAGAGTCATGTTCGTCTGTGCCGACCTTGCAAACCTTTTCGATCTGACTCTAGGAGCAGCCAGCATGAGCCTATGCGTAGCATGTGTATAGGTTTGTGCCTCTCGTCGCACACACGTCGACTTATTTGTACTCTAGGTACAGCCAACTCTGCTTGTCTGTGCTGAACTGTTGAGAAAAATGCATAGGGGAGCTTGCAGATCCATGTCGCCGTTGTTGCAGGTTGCGGTTATGGGTTGTACGCTTGCTGGCTTTGGCATTGGGATTACGTGGCTTACTGTCTACATCATGCGACCGGATGACTTTGAGTGGGTAGAGGAGGAAAGAAAAAGAATACAAGAAGCAAAGCAACGGATCCAAGCGAGAATAGATAAAGCAGACTCTGTAGGAACAAGCGCAGCATAACATGAGCTGCTAGAGGCAGCACGGGGGAGGGGGAGGCAGAATCGAAGGGGTCCAATCAGTCGTTCGAAGGTCAAGCAGCAAACTTCAGCAGAGCAAAAGGGGAGTGAGCAGAAAGGGGGCGTAGAGGGAAGGAGGAATTTCAGGATGGCGAAGAATGAGAACAAGGACTCACCGCAAGCTGACAAAACGTCTTGAAAATAAGGACTTTGATCAGGCAGAGCAAATAATATAAGTTTAGAAGAGGGCGTACAAAGTACACTGGCCGAAGCAATTCGGGCAGTGCCTGAGGATTGCACCGCACCGAAAAAATGAAGCAGCGAGAGAAAGATTTACACTACTCAAAGAAAGAGTGTGCATTCTTTCGTGCTGGCACCCTTTGATCATGTCATTCAACGCTAAAAGGAACCTGCTTCGGTGTTTCTGTGAATGCTGAAGCTCCCTGCACAAATAGGCCGCCTACTAAATGGCCGCGAGCACCTTAACTCACGTAGTTAGCTTCCACATCAGCAAACACAGGGAGATCTCTACATTCCAGTTGAACTATCAACTACAAGTTTCAAACGAAAACTCGCTATTCAGTGTTTTCTAGTCACAGACGGCATCCCTGTATGCTGTGCAGCTATGATTTTATTTCACTGCTTTATAAGCCAAAGAAAGAGCAGATAGCTATAATGTTTAATGATTCCCCTCCTTTTCGGATCAAACTGCAAGGCGGACGTATTCCTAGACGCGTGCCGAGACAATGTACAGTAAGACACATAGGCGTAGGCTAGTAGATCTGCAAACCTGCTGGCTATCGCCGATTTAACAACACATTCTGCGCTTTGCGATTTACTGCTTTCCACTTCCATTGTACCTCACCCCTTCGGGAGAGTCGGATGGCGTTATCCTCATGAATGCTTGCACTTTCCGAAACTTTGAATTCCTTGCAGTTTGCCTTCGCGTTTCCGGTGAAAGCGAATCGATGGCTTCACCTACCCCTTGTGCAGGTGATTTGAACCAAATGGTTTCATAGGAGTGAGAAGCTCCAGGAGCTTGTTCCTCGAATCTCATTTGTAAGTGGCCTTCACCGCGTCTGGAATACGGGCATGTCCATTATGCTGTCCACTTTCGTCCCGTGTTTAGCCCAATGTGTTTTGTCTTCTATTTTAAATTAATGCACGCTGAAATATTAGGTTGGCGCTTCTACATTCTAGATTTCTTGACTGCACTGCTGGGGCCATTGCCGCTCGTGAATTCAGCCTGCAATTCTGCTTCTTATATACTTCCGATCTTGTTCAACCATCTTGCTCTCATGTGTGGACCGAATCATTATGTGCTTTCTAGCTGCTTTTTTCCAATTCGTATACCCTTAGTAAATCACCTTCCTATTTTGTCGTCTATGCATGCATCCTCAACATTTTTTTGCTTTTCCAGTTTATTTTTTGTTCAATGCGCCTTCCATGGCTTTTGCAGTAAAAGATGCCATCCCTGTATTACATAGCTGTGGTGCGAAATGACGCCCTTCAAGTGAACATCTAAAAATCCTCGAATGTACGCAGCGAGACATGAACCAAACTGTGCTGCATATCGTTTCACTCCTGCTTAGATGTCTTAAATTACCGCAACAATATTCCCCCTCTTCAGTTTTGGTTTCATCTGAGGAGAAGAGGCGTGTTCTATTGAAAGAGCACCTTTCAAACTTTGTGTATGCAGCAATGGTTTCCGGCCTGTGGAAAATCAGCATCATACACTTTTCAAAACGGTGGATGTGGGTTTTCCCTGTGTCGTAAAGTACTCAACGGTAAGGATATAATGGCATCCTAGTCCGGGTGCCCGAATGTGTAAACTAGAAATTGCTCGTGGTGTGTGTACATCTGAAAGGGCATTCGTAATGCACTCCATGAATTTCTGAACGTTCAACAGCCACCACAGCTACCGAACTACACTTTGCGAGTTTTGTAATTGGACGGCCCTTTTGTGCTTTCTAATTGAATATCCGAATGAGCTCATCTACCACGCCAGGCTTAACGCAGCCACCGACAGCCGAGCTGCCTCCTGTAAGCGGAGGAAGCAAGAGAACCATGACACAGAAGCAACCACGGAAGAAAAAGACAAAAGTAGACAGCGCGAATGCCTGCACAAAAGAAGATGCGCCTTCCCCCAGCCATCTTCTTCTTTCTTACATGCGGCAGCAGAACAGGCCTTACAACGTGCAACTCGTACGCCGCCCGCTATAAGAGAACACGTTAGATGAGCATTCCACTGCAATGAAATTCTCTCAGATATTTGACAATCTGAAACGTGCTATTAAAAAACCCGAGTTAGAGCGGTTACTGGACAAGCTAGTAGCCGAAGATTATCTGATCTCCAAGGATCTTGGAAAGACAAGAGTAAGCTCCAAGGATTGCATACCTACAATGCTTGTTCATTTACGTGGTTGAGTCAAATATATGTGATATGGGATTGTTAAGGTGAAGTCCTACTTATGTTATTCTCTGAACGTAATCATGGTGGCAACAAAAAGTGCAGGTCTTTATGTATTCTCAAAGACAATTCGTGTTGTCGGAAGCGAATCGGGAGGCTATAAGCACTGGGATTCAAGGTACTCGGCTCACACCGCCTAAAACTATGTGGCACTGCTGCATTATATTGCCCCCGCTATGCATATTCGGTTCGGTTTCTAGAGACACGCGAGAAAGTAAAGGAACTGGAGCGTAAATACACCGCTGTTTCTAATTTCATCAGATGGTACTGCACCGCACATTGCCCTGTACAGAGTTCATAAAACAAAAGACAGCAGAGCGACAGCGCCGAGAAGAAGCGCGTGTTCGTAGCGGCATGTTAGAGGGCCTCCAAGCCAAAGTCGTCTCAGGTGTGTCGATCTGCACCTGCAGTCTGCGAACACCCTGCCTCGTAGCACACTACTGACACGTTGTTATGTCTCTTTCTGGCTGTTCTAATTCTTTGATTCGTGTGTCAGCGGAGATGCAGCGCAAGGTGCGGCTGCAGCAGCAGCGCAGCGGCGAGCCGGTGAGCGCAGCTGCAGCGGCGGCAGCGGAAACTCTCCATGCGAAGCTCCACGCCGCCTGGGCCCTGCAGAAGCGCCGGTGTCTGCAGCTGATTCAGCTTCTGGCTGAACGAACGCAGACAGACGAGAAGCAGCTGCAAAGCGAACTCGGTTTGGAAAGAGATGAAGACTACATCCCTGCGGACGCGTATAAGTACTACAAGTAGAGAACGAGGAAATCAGGGGAGAATATCCTTGAAGCAGAGCAGCTCAGAGCAGGCTCTTGCATGGCGGCAGGGGGTTGGGTGGGGTGAAGGGGGGGCGAAGGCTTTGCCCTGTCCAAGGCACCGCGTGGGGTAGCCGCAGCACGCTACGCAACAAATGCAATCTCGCAGCCGCTGCTAGCCAGCAAGAGAAGACATGATGAACAGGATTTATTGCGCAGATGAGCCCCTCCCTCCCCTCCCCTCCGCCTGCGAACCTGTCGCTGTTGCTTCTGCAACAGAAAAAGCTAGTGTATACATAGCTCTGACGCGAAAGCTGCCTCTATGTGCTTGTTGTGCACTCTCTCTAGCTCCTTTAAAATGATCCCTTTTTGCCCACGTGAGGGCACCAGCGTAGCAAGCCTGACGGTGCCCCCCCGTACGGCGCTGGCGCTCGCAGGGGCTGGCCAGGCCTTAGAGCCTGTAGTGTCCTTATTAGCGCGAGCCGTTGTTTCCTGCTGGCTGTCTGAAGCTTTACTCGGTAGCAGCGAGGCTCGCGCAAGAAGCGTAGTCGCTTTCGTGGAGCCCCTTCTTATGAGATGGTTTCATAGCCACTGAGTGCGGGTGTCTGTCCAGTAGCTTGCGTTGCCTCTGCGGCGTCGTGCACGCCTGGGCTAAGGTCTTGGCAGTCGATCGAATCGGTCCAGTCCCACTGGACGCCGTCGTGGGTGAAGTGGCTGCTTGAGAACTCCCCCGCTGCCCCTCTCCGTCCAGAGTATCCGTGAAACACACTTCTGCAGAAGTTCTGAACACCCATAGAAATAGCATGCGCGCGGCACGCCGCCGCGTCTAGTGTGTGCGGCAGCCAAACGCTGACGAACCGCCTCCCCGGGGAGGAGTAGAGGCCCCTAAGGACTTTTCTTGGGGGCCCTGAGGCCACAGCTCCCCCTGATACATCTCCGGAGAAAGGCGCTGGCAGACCTGTGTATTTAGTGGCGAGTTCCAAGGCCCTGCCGCTGCCTTCCGCCGCGTCCCCCCCCACGCGGGTGACCTCGGCTAAGGCTTTAACGCAGCTGTCATAGGAGTTTAGCGTGCCAGAAGCGCCGGCCATGTCCGATTGCCCTTCTTCTGGGAGGCAGGAATACTCCATTTTTGTCTGCGTCCAGTCCCTTATCGCGTAGATGATCCATGCGAAGATCAACGCACACAGCGCTATGCGAATGCACAGCACCAAGACGAACGACAGGGAGAGTGGCCACCGGGCCTCTTGGCCCTTAGCGGAGTCCCCGTTGCTGTTGTGCGTCTGCTGGTACAATGCGGGGGAAGTTCCGCCACCAGAAGACGACGAAAACGCCCCAGCTCCTGCTGCTGCTCCCACATGTGGGTTTTCCTTGCTGGAAGAAGCTGAGCTCGAATGCTCGCTGGTGCTCTGTGTCTGAGGCTCCGAAGGCGGCCTGTTCTGCTTCTCGCTGCTGGCGTTGGTTTGCTTGTCTTTTGATTCGGAGTGCTTTGGGGCCGTCGCTGCCGCCACAGCTGGCGCTGCTGCTTGGGCAGCAGGGGGCGGTGCAGCAGCGCTGTGTACTAAGAGTTTTCCCGTGTAATCTACGACGGCAGGGCAGGCTGCTTCTGTTGTGAGCTCCATTTTGAAGTGGCAGGGGTCTACGTGCTCGCAGTTCGTGAACTTGGTGCTGTCCAACGCTGGAGGGCGGGGGCACTTGAGCACAACGTGCGTGTGCAAGAAAGAATCGGGGCAGAAGATGTGAATATGGCGGAAGTTTGCTTGAAGCCCCTGGTAAGGATCTTCGGGATCTAGGGGTTCCCAGGGTGTCGGATCATCCGAAATATCGGGATCTGACCACAGGCCCCCCAGGCTATTGCTGTTGGGGTGCTGCTGCAGCGATGCCCCGTGGTGGGCGTACAGCAGCGTGGTGTTGGTGGGTAACACATTCTGTAAACACTCCGTTGAATCGAGCACCTCTTTCGCAGGTGGCCCTTCTGGGGTTCCACCGGGAGCCTCCGAGGGCTTATCGGGGAGCTTAAGAAAGAGGGAGAGCAAGTGATTGATCTCCTCTTCAGGGTCGTAGGGCTTTTCCAGTTTTGCTGCGAACTTGAACAGCCGCCCACGAGACCCTAAGCACGTGTGAGGCAGCAGTCTGCAGGGGTTGAAGGCAAAGAAGACATGCTTTTCCTTGTGCTTGTGCAGTGGACGGGGCGTCTTTTGTTCCTCCGGCGTGCTGTCGTCATCGCCAAGAAGGATCGAAAAAAGGTTCTTAAATAACGGAGGATACTCGTCTATGCCGAAAAGGGGTTCGGAGGCCTTGCAAACCCAGCCGTTAAAGGGCGCGTCGTCCACGGGAAGCATGAGGTCATAAGTCGCACGGGCCTTAAGCTGAGGATATTGCAAAGTAATGGACTTGTAGGATCCACAGGTAGCTTCCCAAGGGTGTGCAGGGTGGTTGCCAGCTTCCGTTGGCGCCTCAGAAGAAGCTGCCTTCTCATCGTTCGTTGGGACGCTCTTCGAGACGGGCTCGTGGAGCACTTGCAGCGCATGCGTGGAGGCCTCCGACTCCTTCACCTCGCACAGAACTAAAGCGGTCTGTAAAACGAAGAGCAGCAGGGCAGGGAAGCTAATTCCTGCCAGCGCTACTAGGCAGAAGCGCCGGCAGCCTCTTGGGGTCATCCTGAGCGGCCTAGCTAGTTCGCTGTTGTGCCTTTGCCTGCAGTGTGGGTGTCAACTAGGATGACGCTGCCTTGGCACACACTAGTCTGGCATGAGAAGGCCGAAGCTGAGGCAGCCACCAAAGCGAGCAAATCCTCAGAGCGCCCGTGTTAAGTTCAGTCCGAGGTTCTTTCCCTTGCTCGGGGCATGCAAATCATTTTCCCCAGAAAACCCACGCAGAAGAAACAATACCCCTAAGCTTGAAGGAGCTATGAAAGCTTCCTTGAAAAAGTGTGGCGCCCGTTCTTGTGTGCAGTTACACGAAAGCCGAGCAAGACCACCAGCACCAATGGACGGCGGCGGGAGACAGAGGTTCGATTTCTGCTACTTATGCTTTTGCTTGCAAACGCATATGCTTTCAAGAAAATTGAGTAGAATAAATCACCAGTTATGCCCATTTAAGAAGTCGCAGAGGGAAGCAGACAGCGAGAGAAGAATGCGAGGAGGCTCTAGCGGATCCGTGGCGGGCCTTCCTCCCACTCGCATAAAACTATGCAGTGCCTCGTGATCTGTTTTCCTAGTTTTATATGCTGACAGACGGCTCCACAGCGTATTTATTAGCACTTGTTCAGGACACTTGAGAGGCACTAAGGGCCCTATAGCATACGATGGCAACAGGCTCTACATGCAGTTGTGTGTCACCCTGCACTGGTGCCCACTCCTGCAGCAGGCAACAATGGGAAAAGGCAAAAAGACAGCGAACAGCACACAGCACAGTCTTACGAGTAGGAAGAACGAATAATCAAACGACTGCGATTCGTGCATTATGCTTGCACAGCCTTGTTGCGCACAGCATTCTTGGTACCACTCAAGAAGTACAGCAAAAACTGTTTTCTGATTTGAAATTCGAATCTAGTGTGTGCACACATAGAACATATAGCCTGCCTTGCAAAAAATTATTGTTCACACTAGCTCGTTCTCCTCTCAATCTCTATACCTTTGCCCAATTTTTTTGTTTCCCACATACCGGTGCTACCTAAGCTTGGCTAACTCAAAAAGGGAACGCTTCCCTCTATGGCCTCAGTAAGAAAAGCTTTTCGCTAGCTCCATAGGAAGGTTTAAGGGGGAAAGCATAATGATCCCAGTCCGGAAAGGTAACCCCCGCACCCCGCTATCCTTGCGCCCAGTGTACAGGGTGCCGCCATAGGAGCCGAGAGGAAGGCAAGAATGTACACTGCCGCACCATTTGAGCACTTTGAGCACTCAAAGCCATGTTCAGTTGGGTACTGGCTCTTAGGCGCACAGTTTTCAGTCTACCTCCTTGAAGGAAATCCTGCTGTGCAACAAAGAGAACATACACCCCTGCAAAACAAAGAGTCAATACTGATGCAATCCTTTGTAAAACTCAACTGGTGAAGCGACAAAAGTCAAATTGGATCTGTTGGCCAGCCACACAAAGGCTGGTATGTGAATCAATTAAAAGTCACTTGAATGCTTCGATCCCCCTTTATGAAACAATGTCTGTACCCAGGTCCCCTACACTTGAACTGAACACTTTCTACTACACTTGTGTTATTCAGCTTAGTATCAGTGAAGAATTGACCAGCTGGCTTCTCTGTTCATTTATTTACTTTTCTTGTCGAGTATAGCGTGAGCTCTTTTAAGGAAACGCAATGCGTTGTGTCCATAGGCGCTAGATGCAATGTGCAGCTAGCTGTAAATGCTCCAAAGGCTTACAGGATGCAGCTTACCTCACCCTAGCGGCCTCGTTCCCCTTATTAGGAATATTTAAGGGTCGCGGCGAGGGAACGCAAAAGTCATTTGAAGGAAAACTCCATCAACTCCAGACTCAGAACGAACTTCAAACGAAGTTGTTGCTTTCCTGAATAGACTTACAGAGCGCGCTACAGTTGGTATCACCTCATGATTCCGTGCAGCTATTTCTGCCCATCGACTGGCTATGCATACAGTGGAATGTCAGCTTTCCTTACAACATTCTTCTGAATCTAGTCAAACCAAATAGTCGTTCAGTAAGGTGACGTTCATTGTGGGGAAAAAACCTCTGGCGACGGAAGTTCACATTGCCAGAGGTTGGGGGCCAAAGGCCGGTTTGCAAGCTGGTGTGATTGCGATAGCTTCATACCTGGTAGAAAGCCTTGACCTCTCAGCCAACAAAATGAAATTGGCTTCGTCAAGGAGGTGATGCCGTTTGGAAAAGTAGACGAAGTTTTCGAAGATTTCCTCAGCCGGTTGGTGATGTACCAAGGTGTTTTACCCTGCGTTGAGGAGAAGCGAATGGCATGCACGGCATGGTTAGTGTAGGGAAAAGCGTGTAAAGGACAGTTTCATGTATGTAGAATGAGTCGTATTCCTGCAGATACCATTGCAGTTCAGTCCTCCATACAGGCCCTGACCCATCAGTTCATGCGAGATCTGCTCAACAGCAAGCTTTGGGAGAATTGAGAACGCTAAAGGACAAAAATTCACCAGTAGATATACAGAGTTCAAAGCGTAGACAAACGACTTCATCGTTAGTGACGTGTCAGTTCTTGACGAAGTGTTACATCAGGGAATCGCAGCGACTCAGCGATCAAACAGCCAACCTTTGCAGCTTCTGCAAATGATATATAGCTAAAGTTTTAGGCACACACCACCTCAGCTCCTGGGCCTTTGGCTAGCAAGGTGCTTTAACGCTCAGATGGAGCTGAAAAGAAAGTCGGAGGAAACTGGTGTTCTTCAGCAGCCCCCGATAGCCCCCCACCAACCGACCTGTGTCTGTTGTAAGATATTGGGTTGTAAATTCCGGAGGTTCAAGCGCAGGGAAAAAGCCACAAACTCCTGAACAACGGTACTGGGCCTTGCGGAAGCAGGCTGGCTGGCCAGCAAAGGAGCCAAACCAAGGAAACGACAAACCCCTCGACACATCTTGCGCGCCAGTGAAAGGACCACAGCGCATCGAGCTGCAGTTGGAGACGCACCACGGGCCGATACTGCGCAGATGCAAACTAGCTTTAATGGTCAATAATCTCTAGAGTTACTTGACACTCCTATTGGGTGGATCTGTTATGCGAGGAGACTGCGCAGAAGCGCTATCTGGTTTTCCCTCTTAGGTACAGTCCGTAATTCCCACGTTTGCTGATGGGCAACAGAACGCAGGGATTAGCAAGGCTACGGATGTTAAATGCTACCTTCAATCAAAAGTTGGATCTATCAACACGTTTCGTGACTTCTCTATAGGATTCCTGCCCCATGACGTAATCATTCAAGGGTTTTGTCATAAAAGGTGTAAGGGTCTTGCCATAAAAGGTGCGCACGGGCCACAGCTGCGCGCTGGAAAAGTTAGTGTGTTGGGAAGCGCTAGAGAGAAGCAAGTCCTGATTTTCTAAAAACACAGTTATATATCTATGGTGAGCAGGTAGATTCGGTACCTCAACAACGCAATGCAGGGTCCTCGTGAGGGCTGCTGTACAGCGCAGTACGAGAAGACGGTTCTGAGCACGCATCCCGTGTTATCGGCTATGCAGCTGGCCTTTGTTGGGATGTTGACTCAACACATATCCAAAAAACAGCAAGAATACACAAAATTTATGAAAGAGTTTGCAATTATGATAAAAAGCGACGAGCTGCCAGCAGGCAGGCTATCTGCTGGTTATCAACCACATCGTATTGAGCTAATCCCCGGGTGAACCTCAAGCAATGTGTGGCGGTATCGGGACCCCACAGCATAAAGTAAAGATTATGCAACAGACACAACATTTTTTGAAAGGAGATAAAGCGAAAAAAATAATCGGCACCTTTAAGAATACTGCGGTGTTTGTGGCAACAAAGGACGTCAGATTTTAGAGAGTGTCAAGGAGCAGTGCATGGCTGTCTATATAAGTAACGCCTTATCCTACTGCCTAAAACTTGAAGAGTACCTATAGCACCTGCGACACGGCTCTTAGCTGTTGTCAGGAAAGCGGTGGTGTCTGAAGGCACGCAAGTGTTGAGTTTCTATGAAGATTGTAGCATGTTGGGATTCCGGTTTTTGGCAACAAGAATTGGGCCAGAACCGCCAGCTTGGGCTCTGCCATTGTGCACTTCCAAGGAGATAAGGAAGTTGTCTAAGCTTGCATGATGCCACTGAGATTTTGCTCTTGAGTTTGATCGGATGGCTTGGCTGCTTTAGTTGTCTCCTTCAGAAAGCGCCGTCTTTGAAGTGGACAGCGGATTTTGTTATCGTGGTAAAGATGCTCATAGGCAACCTTCAAACTCCTCCAATACTCCCACTGGTTGACTAGGAGCACCATTTTCCTCACAACCAACGCTAGTGGCGTATTGATCGGTGATCTTCTCTCTCAAGAGGCTACGGGCTATTCCACGTGCCCCAAACGATGGCTTGTTATTCTCATTGCCTAATCAACACCAAGCAGCGGTATCTACTGCGGGAAAGACAATTCTTTAAGGTCTAGTGGAAAGTGCAAAAGTGCCGACACTAGTTACTGAGCTGTCATTTTACTGTCCGGACCGATCACCAGCTTTTACTGCCCCTTGCGAAGAGTTCTTAGAAGTTTAATCATACTAGAGTTGTTCGTAGGCTTTGGTGTCCCTTCCACTTGAAGTAACGTATGTACAGCGCATTACGAAGTAGTGTCCGACGTGCTCACGCAAGGTCCCGTCGCTTCACTATTGCGCAGCGCAACCGCTCTTATCTGTGATGATCCATAGTTCAAATCGAAGCTGCTTGGGCCGTTTGCTTTGACACCCATGGATTCGTCACGCTTGCCAAGGCTAAGAACTGCACAGGGGTGAAGCACTACCCGTGGCATTGCTATGGAGTGCTATTTTGCAACAAGCACCTCGTCATCCTCTATCGGGCCGTGGGTGGGTGCGATTCTCATTGTAACTGGAAGGCTTTCACAGTCACTGTATAAGGCTAGAATGCATCTTGCGGGAGAGGAATACGCAATGCCATACTCAAAGTGTAAGCGGCTGAGACCGTGAAATGTTTTGGACCTACTTGAATGTGAATTTCGTTGCTGGAGTCCTTAAGTCAAAGATTAGGATAACATATGCATCCATGTAGGGCTAGTCAGCAAATGTGTACACCTTATCCCTTGCTCAAGCATTCTCAAGGCCTAAGAAGTTGCTCAATTATTCGCCTTCGATTAAGAATAGCAATCTAAAGCTTGCTACTGCCTTCTGCTGGGCCTTCTTGATTCGCCTACTGAATGACCTTAATGTGACCACTACAAACCACCGTGGGGCAGACGGAGAGACCGAGCGCACCAACCACTTTTGTTTGCATTACTTGTCAGTGCATGTTGGCAACGATCCAATTCCCTGGTCTTGGTTTCTTCATTGAAATGAATGGGTTCATGATGGAGCACCACTTTCATCTGCCCGCTGTCCACCCACATCCCTGGTGTATACGGGGGAGCTTCCCTCCAATCAATTCCTCAAGCTGATGGTCCTGAGTCAGCGGTCACCCTTAACAGCAGGTGATTTTAGAGAACGACTAACGTATGTACGAAAATATAGGCGTAAAACTAAGTAGAAATATGCAAAAATTATGAGTGGCGGCCGCCTGTGAGTTCCGAGCGAGGAATTTTAGTATTGGTGGATCAGCAGGCTTTATGAGGTGCACTGGACGGTGCACCAGACGGTGACCACGAAAAGAAGTTTGCGGCTAGATGGCTAGGATCAAATGCTATGCTCTGACAGCTAGATGCGCTGCAGTAGTTCATCCTTGGTACCTAGTTCGCTGCTGGTTAATGCGTGTACCTTTCACCTTCTCTACTTCTCTGTATAGATGCCCACATCGCCTTTTTCAAGCGCACTGCTTTTGTTTTTCTGCTTGCTTGGGAAATGACAGTAGAGCAGGAGCTTCTCCGGTGTCCTGCATGCATTTGATGCAGACCCACAGGGATGGAACATGAGGGCGTGGTATTTCAAAAGGGGGAAGGTAAAGAGATAGCTGGGCAGGGCACTCCTCCGCATTTTTCGCTCCACATACCAAAACCCAAGAATCAGTAAAGACCAATGCATTTAGCTTGATTTTCCGCAGATCTTATTTATTGCCGAGCAGCTTCAGCTCAACAGAATAGGAAGCAATGGTATGTGCGTGAGATGCTATGTACAACTAGCTGTGTATGCTCGGACTGCACAGAGGGTGCAGTTACGCGTACCCTAGCTGTCTCTCTTTCCTGGTATCGGGAACTCTGAGGAGGGCAGGCAGAGAAGGCCATAGGTGTCTTTTTGGAAGCAATGAGTAGATCACAGTAAGTTTGTAGTAAGCCTGGAGTTGAGTGGCTTCCTACGGCGACCTTTATAAAAACGACACGTTCCCTCCCCCCTCATGTCGGGAACTGTGTGGGACGCGGGCAAGGGAAAGAAGGCATTTTTCTGAGAGCACTCAAGAGCGTTCTATGAAGTTTGTATTAAGTGCGCAGCTAAGTGTCTACCTTCTTAGACCTGATACGGGAAGTTACGGGTTCACTTGTATGGAATAACGATGAGCTCGGGCACTGATGGCACATTTCGGCCCTTTGATTTCCTACTTGTTGCATGGGATAGTTGGTTCCATACTATAGCAGCTTCTGTTGCGTGTTGCCCCTGCTGTTGATCCGACTGTGTGCGATTGCTTAGTGTGCACACAGCGTCGAGTTGCACGCACCCCCGTGTGCCTAAAGCCCTTAGGCCAGAACCCGATGGGCTCCAGGCACTGGGAAAGAAAGGAACTTTGGGAAAGCGCATAGTCATCCCGTTTAAGATCGTTTAAGGCTTGGGGTGTCAGGGCTTGCTCTCTTGGCGGCCCTTCGGGCAGATCTTCGGGGTGTGCGGTAGGGGTCCTGGAACGTGTAGACTGCATGAGGCCAATTTTTCGGCAATTTGTCGCCTGCATTTCCCCCCACAAATCCCGAGTTTAGTGCTTGTTTTCAGCCCAGAAGTAGGTGCAGAGGCCGCAAAAGGCTTCCACCCGGCGCTCCTGTGGCTTTAAGGTGGGCACCAGTGACATACGCCCCAGCACATGAGGAAGCACCAGTGACACACGACTATGTGCAATGCATAATCAAACTTGTCAAGCGCATTTTGGGAAGCGGTGGAAGCCACTGGGGTCCTGAAAACCCCGGAAGAGCATCGCATGATGTGCCGGCTTCAAAGGGCTTTAGTCTTTTTCTCGCCACCAAGCCGTGAGGGAGCAGTCATACGGCAGCCTTCCGTGTGTGTTTTAAGCCGCTATGCGAGCTTTCGCGGTCTTTGGCTTCAAGGGTGGGTCTTTGATGCGTTGGGCGATACTGGCATTTTGCAGGGGGAAGGCTTGCCTGAATTCCTCACAAGATGGTTTCGACCATGAATTTGCGTTCATATGCGCACCAAGTTACATTCGACGGAAAGTTTGTTGGTTTTTGTACACCGCAAACGGCGCAGAAGCTGAGACTCGCACGCTACATCGTAATAGGGGGCGTCGGCGGCGCCTGTGGGGAACTGCACGATTCGAATGGCCTTCATCCCCGGCCCCCCCTCCCCCCTGAACCTCCACAAAAACTGCTTCTCTCGACTCCTTCAAGAAATTCACTGCGTGCATAAGGGAGCAAGGTGCTCGTGATACAGCGGCGAGCGCTCGGGCATGCTGTGCCTCGACTGTCCACGTCCCTCCGCTCCGAGCTGGCTACGCCTGTCTCATGACTTTGCAGCGCCAACCCCGATTGCGGTCTGCCTCACTCTTCCATTCTTTGCATAACGGCCTTCTGAGGCTTGCAGTATACGTCTGGCAATGCAGAAAACGAAAAAGGCCAACAGCGCAGCTACGGGGGTGTAGGAGGGGCTGCTTCCGAGCGAACGTACAACTTGACGGAAGCTCTGCCCTGTGCTTTCCGCTGGCGCTCCTGATACAGAACACTTGCCACCACCACTGATAGCGACTAGGACTTAAGGACTCTACTAGCGGCATTTCGAAGCCGGCTAGGGAGCCCGTTCGTCCCTTTTTAGCCTGTTTGACCTCAGTGTTGACGCAGTGTAGTCGCACGTTGTTGGCGGCGTTCGTGGAAGGCCGTCCCCGAAACTATGCGGAAGGCGCGATGACTCGCGTGTGGGGAGTTCTAAGTCTCGCAAGCTGTCTGCTGGGAGCTTCTGCGTCTCGAATCCAACCAGGAGTGAGCCGGATCTGCCTCTCCAAGGCCATGTCTGTGTACAGCCTAGCTGCCCTAGGCTTTTCTCGGCAGCAGCCGGCAGAGAAGCAGTCACTCACAGACCCTGTAAACCTCAGTTTCCTGCTATTTTCCGTGCTGCATAACTATGTACTGTGTCTCTCAGGACCCCCCAGTTCCACCGCCTCTGACGCCGCTACCCCAACGTCTGGTACGTTCTCTCGTTAAAGGCCCTGCCTGCACCCAATCTTCTCCGTTCTGCGAGAGTGGGTATGTGTAAATGTGTGTAAGTGAATGTGAGTGTGTGTATGTATGTATGTGTGAATGTGTGTGTGTGAGTGTGTGTGAGTGTGATTGTGTGTGTGTGTGATTGTGTGTGTGTATGTATGTGTGAATGTGTGTGTGTGAATGTGTGTGTGTGTAAGTGAATGTGTGTGTGTGTGATTGTGTGTGTGTGTGTAAGTGAATGTGAGTGTGTGTGTATGTATGTATGTGTGTGTATGTATGTGTGTGCGTGTGTAAGTGAATGTGAGTGCGTGTGTAAGTGAATGTGTGTGTGTGAGTGTGCGCGTGTGTAAGTGAATGTGAGTGCGTGTGAGTGTAAGTGAATGTGTGTGGGTAAATGTGTGTGAGTGAATGTGTGTATGCAAGTGTATATGCACGTGTATATGTATACGTATGTGTGTATGTATGTGGAAGCACCTGCACATCTCCACATCTCGTGAGCGTGAGAACGTTTGCTGCCTCCTGCAGCCCCTGCAAAGTCTGAGCGGTCGCACACGCGCAGAAGCAGCGGGAACTGTTTCAAGACTCTTGCAGACGCCATGGAGCGTCACGGATCTTCCAAGATCACCCAAAGCGCGGGAGTCTTCTCCGCCTCTTGTGGTGGTGTTAACGAGACCTTTTGAGCGCATGACTGCGCGACGGCTTTTGAGATGTTTCTGCGAGGGGGCCTCTTCGAGTGACTCCAGGCAGGCACGGGAGCTCGACTTGGAAGAGACAGATTCAGAGTTTCTCAGCAAAAGAGGCGAGACACCGCTGGCCCTTAGCGGCTCGCAGAAAGCGTCCTCTGCCTTAGGTAGGTTCCGTTGTTAGTGGGAGTCTTGAGGTTTTTTTGGAGCAGAGGAGGGGAAAGGCGGGGGGGATTAGCGCGCGCTAATTTCCCTCTCTTCCCCTTCCTCCCCTCCCCTCTCCCTGCAAGCTGCCTGCCTCAACGGCAGAACGCCAGGGCAGGGAGTTCGTGGTTACAGCGAACCCCGCTGCACAAAGTACAGTTGCATTTCCCTCTGAAGGACGATGCTGACGTCGGCAGCCAATGTTGTTTGCGTGCCAACTGGCGGATATTTGTTAAGAAATGTGGGGTGCGTTCTTTTGACTTTAGCCGTAGGATTGGAGAGGCTTCGCTCCGGCGCCGTCCTGCTGACTCTCGAGCTGCCGAGCATTCTCGAGGGGGCTAATATGCTTCCACAGCGTCACTCGGAGGGGAGTGACGGTGCGGCAAAAGGTTCAAAAGTGCTTTTAAGGCCTTCACGAGGCTCCCTGCATCGCGCCAGGCAACCTGTGCCTTTTTTTTCTAAAAGCTCCGGTGTGCCGTCTGCCTCTGAGGGAGCACCCGATGCGCCAACGCACTCTTCAAAAGACAACGACGGTGGTGCAAGCATCTTCTCCTTAGAAGCTTCTCTGCTGCATCGCCTTGCCGCGCCGCTGGTGGAAGCAGCCGACGTTCTGGTGATGCCCCTGCTGCACCCCCGCTGCTTTGCAGCGCAGCCTAGTCAGGACGCTTGGCGGGCAGACTCGCTCGGAGAGATGCTGTGGCTTGGCGACGGCGACGGCGAAATGAATAGTGACGCATGCTCCGAACGGCGTGCCAGCAGTGGGGAGCGATCTCCAGAGGAAGCGCAAGCGGCGGCGGCAGTTTCCCCCGGACCCTCGTCCCCTGCAGCGCTGCGATTCCACCTCTCAGAAGAGGTCGCGCTGCTCTTGCGAGCGATGAAGGAAAGGCTGCAGGCACACGCAAGTGCCAGTCCGCAGGCGGGTGCCAGGCCAAAAGGAGAGCCGAAAGCGTCGCCCATCGAGAGCGCGAAGGGGGAGGGAGAGAGCGGGGGATTCTCCCAACTGCCGCGCTTGCCACGCATTGTTGTACTGCTGGGGGTGAGCGGCTTAGAGCTTTTAAGCACGCGGCCGGTAGAGGCCATAGGCTTTGTTTCTAGTTCTCTGCGGCGTTTGTGCACACACATGCCGCGCATAGAACGCTGCAACTGCCGAACACGGCTGTCGGCTCACGCTGCGGAGGCTTGAAGGGCCTCTCACGTCGGGAGCAAGGGGGGAGGAAGAGGGGGGAAGGCGGGGGGAGAGAGAGGGGCACCGAATCTGCTGACGCTCGAATTGTGGCAAGGCGAGGCTTTCGCGCTGCTGCAGGAGAAGATCTCGCCAGCACTCCAGGAAGCGGTCAGAACCGAAGTTGCTAGCGCCCTCGGCATAGATGGAGGTGCGTAGAAGCACACAAGCAGTCTTTCGTGTCTCAGCCGAATCCGGCCTTTGAAAAGGGGCTCTGCAGCGACGCGTTGAACGGCCCCGCAGAGAAGAAACCGATGATTTTCGTGACCCCTAACGAGCCATTTGACTTCTCCAGGAGCTCGCATCTGCTGTTTCACTGCAGGGGCCGTTGAAGTTATTGCGGTACGGCTGCCGGGAGAAGAAGCGGAGGCTCAGGCAGCGCTTGACCGCGTGATCCAAGCTGTTCGGCCTCGCAACCGTTCTGCCTTGCAAATCGCAGGTGGGCTACCCAAGCGGCGCTCTGAAGCGTGCTTTGAACAGGCTTTTCCCTTCTTATTTCGGATTCTTTTGTTGGCCTGTCGACGCCCGCAGTATGCTGCTTCGCTCGCTTGTTACCACTGCACAATGTGCATCCATGCTGAGGGTGCCTGATATGCCGCAAGGCGTAGATTTTTTGACATGTGGGATCGCGTTACGCGCGCAGACGCGCTGGCGGACTTTCTGATTGGAACGCCCCCTACGGGGCCTCCAAGCTCAATTGAATTCACGACGCATGCACTGGCCACTAATGCTTGCGCAGCGGCCTTCAGAAAATGCCTGATGGATGCAAAGGTCGGCATTGTTTCGCACGGCGCCAGTCACGCAGCCCCCGCCATCCGACATGGGAGCCAGAAAAAGCTCCCGCGTAGGAGACGCTTTGACAGATGCTGATTTAGCAGAGATACGAGCCTGCAGCCTTTTCCGTGTCGGTTTTCAGAAGCGGCTTTCTGGGTTTCAGGAGCTGCATGGGAAAGAGGGTGTTTCGCACTCTTTTGGCGCGATGATGCAAAAGGTCTTGGCCGAGGCGTTAGCGACCTACGACCACCAGACTCGGCCGTATCAGGTGTGGAGGGGCCTTCAGGGGCCCCTTCTTCCCCCTCCCCTTGTCCGTTGCCGCAGTGGCATAGTTGCAGCACCAGCTCTGCGCAAAGCCTGCTTAGAGGGAAAGGTGGTTCTATGCCAGGGCGCTGTGATCCGTGCAGCTCTCGTCGGAACGCAGTGTGTTGCGGGACGAGCTGCGGCGATCTGTGGAAAGGGCACTTCGCCTTGCTTATTTGAAGTAGGTGGTGCTTATGAGCAGTCCACCGGAGGCCGAGGGTCAGAAACAGCGATGATAGCGGGGAGGGAGGGAAGGGGGTGTCTTGCGGCAGTGCCGAGATTAACGGACAGTGTACGCTAGACGCTCTCCGAAGGACGTCACACGTGTGTGCTGCGCTACCTCTCTGTATGATCCAGGGAAGCCGTATCCATAGAGAACGATGCCAGATCGAGGCTTCGAGCCCAGCTGGTGGCTGCGCTGCAAAAGGATGCAGAACGCTTTGAATCCTTGGCCCCCGGCATATTGCGGAAGGTTCGTCCGTAGCAGTGCCTTTAAGGCGGGACTGAAGCTCGCAGTATTTTTTGTTGAGCTCTACGAACGGTATTCTTCAAGACGCACACAACAGCCCTGGCGCGCCATGTAGACCAGGCTATTTCCCGTGCTGCTCTCGCACATGCACGTTGTGGCGGTCTGTTTCGTGTGCAGGCCCTAGAGGCGGCCGACAAGCGCCTGATGTGCTTGCTGCCTCCCGCGGCTGTTGGCATGACGCGAATTCGCAATCAGCAGGACACTCCGAGCCAAACAATGTTTACCGACACGCTGGAGCATCATTCAGACCGGGAGAAGGCGTTACAGGCAGCCGCCTCGGCTTCCCGGGATGCTTGGCTGTGCCGCAGGTTTTGCGTCTCCCTGCTCGAAATACACTTGGTGCTTCTTCAAAAGCTAGCGAAGAACTTTTCGACCATGGCCGTGGAGATGTCGCAATCGCCGCTTGCCGCCTTGCTCAGACGACAACATGTATGTGCCGTATTGGGATACGCGACGGCTACCTGCCGCACAAGGGGTGGGGGGAGGGGGAGCCGGGAGGAAGCGAAGAAGGAGGGTCTTTCTTCCTTTGACGAATTTTCCTCCTCGCTGCGGGCAGCTGGCCGCCACACTCATTAGATAGGCCTCTCCTCGCGAATCAAAGACATGTACCTTCGAACTAGGAAGCATTTGTAAAAGTGCGCTTCTTGTCAGCTTTGTTATCTGCTACGCTCGCCCACAGAGTCGTCCGTGGTTGGGTGTTTCTCTTCGGCCGGCCCTCTCCATTGCGAGCCTCCTTCGCATGCGCGGAAAAGGCAACCTACAGGGCTATTCGCGGTACAACGCAGGTCCCGTGCAATTGCTTTTCGGGTAGGCTTGGGTTGCTGTATCAACGCTTGCGCTGTCTTTCACACTTCAGATTCTTTAGCAAAAGTGTACGCGTATACGAGCCTCTGGATCGGTCCCTAATATTCATTGTCGAGTTGCTCGTATGCGTGTGCGGGCTTCAGCTTCACAAACGATGGCGAAGGGCTGGCAAGCGGCCGCCCCTTTGCTTTCCGCCTGCAACCCAAAATTCATTTTGACGTGGAGGTAGACTGAATGAGGCCGACATATCCCGGTAGAGTGTGACTGGGGCAGCTGCGAAGAGGAGGCAATGCGTTGTGTTTGTCAGAAGATAGCACACATGCATGCAGCACAACCTACGAAATGGGGATAAACGTTTCCTCCAAAGGTATAGAGCAAACAGGGATTGGGGTGGTTATCGTGGCACTGATACACACAGTGAACTAATGAAGCCAAAGGAGCAAGCTCCTTAGCGATCCATAGTTTAGGCCTTCCGGCCAGTAGCATGCGATGGTCTCTTGTCTTTTTTGGCGGACCCAAACATGCAAACCTGCTTGTTTTCGATTGTGTACCCTGGATCTGTAATTGCCAGTAAAACCTCCTTTATATTGGGCTTCTTTCAAGCTGTATCTGGCAGCAGTTATCGTCAGATAGGCATTTCTCCCAGGAGGTAAAAGCTAAGAGAGGCCTAGCAGCAGCGCTAGACGCAGCGCTGCACCCTGCGTCTGCCATTAAATGCAGTTGGAACAGGTCACTAAAGGGCAAGTTGGTGCTCCGGTGCGAAGCGTTAAATAACAGCGAAGAAATATCTGCGCCAACTAGTTCACAGCTAAAATTGGGCGCTCTGTCGGAAAAGGCTACTCTCTTTGCATTGTTTATCAGTACAATTCACTTCATTTCGCCTCCACCCTTATAAGGCCTATGGATTGAAGGCCACCCGTCGTGGGGGTCTGAGGCTTATAGGGCTTGTAGGTGGAAAACGTTGTTTTGGGCGTATATTCGCAGGCCTCTTCTGGCAAGCCGCTTCAGCCTGGAGGCATACGTTTGTTAGCAACGCAGGAACTTGTTCCTCCAGGGGTCATGGAAGAAAAGAGAGCCTGTTATTCAAACACATTTGGTACACTCTAGTGGCGAAACACGCGAACCAATAGGCACATCACTGCCCTCCAGTAAACATCGTGTCTTGCAAAACGAAACCTTGGAGCACCGTTCGGAGAGTTAAGCTGGTACCATCTCTCCTCCACTGGGACATCTGGTCTGCCCCTCTTTCTCTGTATTCCACAACCTTTCAAAGAATCCACTTTAGGAAGACCTTGTGCAGAGGGCTGCAAATTGCACTTGAACCAACAAAACGATGAAGTGTTTTCACCTCAAGTTGTGGGGATGTGCAGTTAAGTGCGCTTGCCCTCCGCCTCCACGTTATTACTATGGGTCAAAAGTGTCACTTATAAAGTTGGCATCTAGTTTAATGTGTGCTGTTCGACTGAGTTCTACAACATCCTCTGATTTTCGCAGTATCGATGTTCCTCCTCGGAAAGTTTGGTGTGCTGCGTACCTACAGCTTAAAATAAAATAGCAAGGGTTTTCTTTTAGCTGTTTAGTCTTCGAGTAGAGAATTTTCAGTGTTGCAGAATCAATGTGGGGAAGACTACGAAGGTTGTGTCTCGATCCTGATTGCCAGTGCTGAGGTGGGTGCAAGCGAAATTCGAACGGGATAGCTGTGCGCTGAAAGGCAACACCCATGTGTAGAATTATACGTATTTCTTACTGTGCTAAAAATCAAAGTCTGTGTTGTGGCATTCAAGGCTGGGAAAAATGCCCAACGAGAGCAGCACATGACACGGTGCAATGCTGCTAGCCACGAACGCTGCCACAGCACGCGAGCCACCCTGCTGTGCTTTGCCCAGGTGTCGCTTTCTGGTGAAGCTTCCGACCATACCAACAAAACTCTAGCCAAATAAAGAGGTTGTAGCATTACATTAGAGTGTTGCTTACGTGAATAAGCTCCTTTCCCCTCTCCGACCAACCCGGTGTCCAACTGATTGCATCGTCCACTACCCTTCCACAATGGCTCGTGTCCTCTCCATTGTTGCATTGGGCCTGTTTTGCAGCCTTCCATCCACTTTGGCTGTTAGAACAAAACTTACCGGTGAGCAGAATGAAGAGGAATTTATTGCTTTCCGTTTGCTTAAGGCGAGCAATGGAGTCTCGAATTAGTTTGCAGTCGAAGGCTTGCCTATGGGATGCTGTCGGGGGAAGATATTAGGCTGCGGGGTGCACTCGTTTTCTGAATGCATCATTGGAATTTGACTTTTAATAGCCTTGGTAGGGTCATTCATGACTCTCCTGGCCAAGATTTGTTCGTGTTTCCGACTCCCCACACAACAGTGGACCACCATGGAGTTCATGAGGGCTTGGTAGCTTGTTGGCCCTCAGTGGGTCATTCTTCACGCTTTGACCATTCACATTTCAAGTGTCACTATGTCCTGCTTTTGTGCAGAGGATGACAACTCGAACTCGGAAGTGGCATTTGACGGGGACGGGTCCGTCGAAGAGAGCAGTTTGTCGAGTGAGTAGGAACTGTGGATTTCCCTCTATGGGTTGCTGCACGCAGCGCAAAGGGTAGATGCTGCTTGTGGTGTGCTTTTTAGATTTCCGCTCTAGCTATTCGAATATCAGACTTAGCCAGGAAAGTTGGAGGCTATGCCTTCAGATATGTCCTGCTACCACTGTGCTGCAGGCAAACCGGAATTTATCGAGGCCAACTGTGGAATATTGACCGTGCTTGGCGGGCTTGCGATCGATGAGTCAGTCAAGGTAACGGCCAATGGGTGGGAAAATGAGACGTTGGACTTCATTGTTTACCTCGTCAGCGATGATACTTCAAGTTCTGCCCAGTCAAGACTTGCCAAGTCCAATACTGTACAACAAGTCTCGGAGGAAAGCGAAGATGAGCATGTTGCTGAGCCTATACTCGCCGTGCGTATTCCCGGTGTCCAAGGCGATAAAGAAAAATCTAATGAGGGACCCGCTGTCTTACTATATCAGAGCGACCCCTCGAACCCTACGGAGATTCCCTTGGATACTCCAGCAGGCCCCACTACACCGTTCATGATTATACTCAAACAGTTGTCCTACACAGAAATGCAGGTTACAGTTTACACGTGGATCTCTGGGTGAGCTTTCCTCCACGCAGTCGTTAATTAGCAGTGCGGGCACTACACGCAGCCGCAATTGCGCAGCAATTATTTCACCCGTTCGAACTGACAATTAGTATTTTCCGTTGTCCGCATCAGTCGGTGTCTACCTGTGCTGTCTTCCTTCCGACTTGCCCCTGGCGGGAACCTGGAGGCTCTGGAGCGTAAGTATAGGGAATTGCAGCAGGACATGTCGCTCCGGCAGCAAGTGCAGTGCTTTTTGCGTTTGATTACTGTGCTGTGCAGGAGGGTTTCGAGGAGAAGTGCCACCGGTCGGTGGCACTCAACTGCTGTCAATGCGGGCACCGGTATGCAAGCGCGAAACTTCCGGCTTCACGTGAATAACAGCGCACCTAAGGCTCTCAGGGTTTATGGCCCCCGTTCCGGTAATTGGCTGACTGCCGAAGAGGGCACATGTGACCAAGTTGACCCTCCCTTGGTAGAAGTCGTTCCATCGACTGAAGCGGAGCCTGAAGTTGTGCTTGAAGCGGAGCCTGAAGTTGCGGCCGAGGCGGAGCTCCTGGCGAAAGCGCATGTAGCAACTTCTGCCAGCCAAGAGGAGCCATAAGCATCAATGAAGCGGACCCGTAAAAATTAAGGCTAAGGGCACTGATGAGAGTTACCGCCCTGCCCAGAAGCGAAGCCTTCGAGGGAGAGTCAGAGGCAAGCAAGAACGTCTCAGAAGGAGCAAATGAAGGGTCATTTGGTATATTCCTTGTTTGCTGACTACTAATGCCTACTGGGAGAGGCGCGGCATCTTTGGTCCATGCAACATTCCACGTGCAGCGCAGTTGTCGTGTCCATCAATCAGCCTCCGTATCTCTACTATTGGTTAAGAATAACATTGGCAATGAGTGGGACCAATATTTACACCATATGGCTACAAAGCAGCGCCGTTGGCGGGGGGCAGGCAGACTGCCTTCGTAACAATGAATGCCATATTTTTTGTAGAGTGAGAAATGGTGCATGCGGCGGTTCATTGGGCAAGCTGTTTCTTCCCATATCTTTTCTGCAGGTCTCTGTACCATACGAAGGAAGGCATTCTATAAAACAACCGAGTGGTAGTAGACACGTAGTGAAGAGCATGCTAGCACAAAGTTTGGTGCGTACTGTTGAGATTGTTGGTTGGGCGCGTACTCTGCGTACCGGGGTATAGAGATAGCGAGCAGCGGGAATTCATCGTGGCGTGCAAAAACTGGAATTGCGGTGCAGCATCGTGAAAAGAGTTCTAACGAGGCTTCCGTTCCAGAGGAAGCCGAACATTGCACATCGTGGCACATACATCCTTAAGTTTTTGCTTATGTGCTCTGGCTGTGCTGGGGGCTAGTGAGTGCAGTGCTGGAAGGTCGTCCCCACAGCATGCTGCGTGCGTAACTGGAAACTAAGCTTTTGGATGCCTTTACGCACTCTAGGCTGCAAGCTAGAATTAGACCAGGGGACTTTCGTTAGAAGACTTACGAATGCGAATCTGGGCACCTTCGGTGTTGTATCAGCTTGTTTGCAGTTTAAGGCAGTAGCGCTGCTGATCCACGGAGTAAAGCAGGTGGTATTAGATTCTGGAGGGGTGGGCTTGGCGTTTAGGGTATTTGCGAACATGTTCAGTGTTTTCAGGCTGGCGTTGTGCCTCTTTTGCAGTGGTGATGCCGAGGGGAAAGACTCATAGGGTGCCGTCATTCAGTATGGGGTGTTGCTTCCTGAAACGCAAACTGCCTCCAGGAGGCCGGTTCGCGAAATACGAAATCGCCAGTGAATGCGCAATATAACGTTCAATGAGGCACTGTTAGTGGCGGAAGGCATGATAGTGTGTGCAAACTCGCTGAAGACCAGCGCCCAGCATCCCGTGTTACCTTACTTTAATCCCACACATCGAAAGAAACAGCCCTTTCGGAGGCTTTCTCTGTGCCTAAATTGTGAGCGGCAACACGTGAGTTTGACAAAAGTGGTTTCTCGAGTGCACTGCAAGTGCCTCTTCGTGGGGAGGTGGGACACCCCTGAAACACGGGCGTTGACAATATTGACTTACTGCTTTCAAATTCCGCAAATCTTTATTCTACCATAACCTCTATGTGGTAGCATGACTATAGAGCGTCCAGCCGCCTTACGTCGTGCTCTCAGTGGAAGCCAACGCACTCCTACAGCGATGTGCAGCACAGCGGCCACTGGAGGTTCCAGGCCCGCAGGTGAGAGGAGATGCGACTGCTTTTCCAGTAGTGGATCTTCCAGTTTTTCGGCTTTGTGAACGTTATTCCTCACTAAGTGTACCTGAATCGATCCCAAGGATCTTACTGTGCCCTAGTTGGCGGTGGTTGGCTTGCGATTCGGCCAGGCCTCAAGGGGACCTTGGACCATCTGCCACCTTCACTTTGCAGTTTCCAGATTTGCCACACCCTCTCCGCAGGTCGTGCGCAGGTGAACTTCGTGTGAAGAGATTTTAACCTGCTGGATTCAATTTGTGTGATCCGGGCGCCTCGCGGATCCGCTGATATGTGTCGCGTAGCTTTGTCGATTGCCATAGGCTAGAAGCTGTTGGCGATATTTTCGCGGTGTAGGAACTTCTTTAGGACTTCTTCCTTCAGGGTACGTTTGAATGATTCGCTACTCCTTGTGCAAAGCGTATACACTTTTTTTCGCGTAAGACATGAACTTGTCGGTACTTTCGCAGTAGCACCCCGCTTTGAGTGCCAGAAGAACCAAGGGGCTATCTGGAGGTTTTTGCGCTCTTTTCATTGATTCTTCTTTTCCCCGTCAAAACGTGCTATCTCAAGCATTAGATTAAATTGAGTAATAGGGAGGAACAGCTTCTTGCGGCTCCCAATGCAAAGGGGGTCCCTGCGCGCCTAGCCTTATTGCTGGTTCAGGGGTGTGGAGGGGGGGGGAAGGAGGGCGTTCGGTACGTCTGTGACCAAGCCTTGCTTCCTCCTCCTGCTTCTATCCCAGTAGAGGCTCAATATGAAAGTGGCGTTTGCCGTATGTGTAGATGTTTTACACTGAAATCCGTAGAGGAAATAACAGCAACCGCAGCATTGTGTATCGACTCCGGCTGCCACGGTAATGCCCACATCCAAATCCTCCTATCATATGCTAAAGGACGGCTTCTGCATCTGCACCCAATGCCCCGTGCTGTCTCCTGGAAGAAGTAGCCGTCAGTCAACTGGCATCTTCCGCAGGGCTGCTGGGGACGCGTTCCGTCTGCGTCACCACTTTTAACGGGATCACTGCGCTACACGTCGACAAAATGTTCATGAATCACTTCCTTCTTACCTTAGCCCGGAGCTGGTTGTATCTACTTCCGAAAAAATTGGCAGTGTAAAGCAGCACGCTCCAAAAGCAGCAGCTTCTGCGTATCCCATGAACACCCTGGACGCCCCGTCTCACGCAATCACCACATCTTACAACAGCATAACGCTCTTTCTAAGGGGAAAGCGGGAACCGCACAGCAGTTACGTTTTAAAATACTCCACAAACAAGGTTTTCCCGTAGTGATTGGTACTCCTCTCACTAGCTCTTCATAAAAGTCTCAGCTGTTGATTCAAGGTTTCTTGAGCCAGCTGCAGGTGCGTAAACATCATAGCAAGATGCAGTCACTTCTGTACGAATCGGTATTGCAGGACACAACGACTTTTGGGGCAATGGGAGTTTGCTCATCAATTGGGCCTCGCGCCTCAGTTCTCGACGACGTAGGTTGGGATAGAACCTGCTTGGCACGTCAACATGAAAGACTAGAGATGCAGACGAAAAGGGTGTGCTCACGAGGCATGCCTCAGATGTGTTCGTAGCACTCAAGGAAGAACAGAAAGACAATCAAAGAATTCCAAGCTTTCGGAAGCAAGGTGGAGGGTGGTCAACCGAACTGCGTGCACGAGACCCCTTGTTCGGGTAGGTTCACTATGGAGGAAGGCCTTAAGCGTATACGCAACGTGTATTTAATGCAGTTAAAGCCTTCACCGGGCCGGTTGGCGACTGATACTGGCTTGGCGCTTGTTTCTGCATGTGCGCCAACTGACCTCATGGAAACGTATGCTGTCATGTTTTCAGGCGGTGTCTGCAAGTGGGTGGGAGTCTCCTGTAGATGCCCATGGAGGAATCTCCTTGTCGCAAGCGCATGACCATCCCCCACAGGCCACTGTACCGCAAGACGACATTGGACCCAGGCAAGTAGGGGAGCTGGAGAACGCTGTGGAAAGGGCCCTGCACAAGTCTGACTCTCTCTTTGAACAGCAGTAGATTGTATCATCCGCAGCCGCTAGGCACCAGGCCTCCCTCTAGAAGTACTTCCCAAGTGGTTCAATGAGGGATTCTATTAATGTCATCACTTCAGCTAAGAAGGACAGTTTTTGCCGACCCCCTGTCCGATAGTTAAATGCTATCTGGCTCCATGCAGCTCCGTCAGGTGCTCCCAGCGGGATGCTATACTTAACAGGCAGTTGTGTGGTGACACCTTAGCGAAGCAGTTGCTGCCTGCAGTGATGGAGGAGGGCGTGGCCTCACGGATAGAACGTTCCATCGAGCGCCTGTATGACGACTCTGTGGCCGACCTGAATTCCTCTTTTTTGAGGCACACAGTGTGCAAGGAAAGAGAGCGACTGCTTGATTGGCAACTCGGATAGCCTTCTGTGGAGGGGCGCAAGAGCAGACAGTGTAGTGTCCTTCCGCTCTTCCAGCCGTACGACCACCGCAGCGAGAAACCCGCAGGAGGAGTTACGGGTTGATGGAGAGGAGGGCGATGACGGCGGGGGAAAAAAAACGCGTAGCATCGACAAGTGTGCATGGACTGCTTTAGGCGGCTGCACAGGCTAGGGGTGCCTTGTAAGTGGCGGCAACCGAGAAGAAGATGTCTTTCGTATATCGAATTCTCTGTGCGTAAAGCGAGAAATATCCAGAGCTCTGAGCAGTGACTCTGAGGGCGCCCTTTCCATGCTTAGAGAAAACTGGGAAGCTTTCACGCCGTGCGGTCCCCCCTCCTACACGGTGTGGTCTCCGGCCTCAATCGTCTCCGGACGGTACAGCAAGCCGCAGGAATTTCGGCGAAGCTTTCAGCAAAGTCCAACGGGGGCGCAGGCTGCCAAGTATGCAGTACTCAGCTATTTGCCCCACGCAAAAGTTGGCAGAGGTCCTGATCATGTGGTTGCGTTCCACAGTCACGACAAGGGATCGAATGTCTTTGAGCTGCACTCTCCCTTTAGGCTCGCTGTGCTGCGCCTTTCCACTTGACTCTGCGGCTAATGTACGGGAAGAGCGTAACGCAGCAGACCAGCACGAGCCCGAAATTACGTGCAGGGGGCCATACAGGTGTCTGCAGCCTCTTCTTATTCTCCGTGGACCGCCCTTTGTCTTCCCAGAGCTAAAACCATCGTTTTCGAAAAAAGGTTCCACGACACCGGGTCAAAGTGATGCCCGTGGGGAAGCGCAGTTTTCCATTTCGTATGAAGAGAGCCGTGCATCAACCGTTCCTTATTCGAGTGTCTAACAGAAGACCGGAAGAGCGCGTTGGCAGAAGCGTTGCCTTGGGAGGCCCATAGCTCCTCTTGCATGTTTTGAGTTCCGCGTAAGTGGAGGATCGGCATTGCAGATCACGGGGGGCGGCTATCGCGCTGCCACAGCCCCAGCACTGCTTTCGAGCGCCAAACTTGCATTACAGCTTTTGCCTGTCTCAGCCAAGGAGTCAGCTTCGGCCTGCCTTGTGTCGACCGATGGGAGCTTTTTAGAGAGGGCCAGCTGCAAGACTTGCGAGCTAAAGCGGCATTTTGTGCATAAAGCACTCCTTATTCGGCCGAGAACTGCCCCGCTTGGTTCGATCTCGGGAAGCAGTCTGACTCAATTGATAGGAGCGAAAAATTAGACATGATCGTATCGTCACTTGAATAGGAAACGGGCGAACAGTTGCATTGTCATCAAGGTCGGGGACCGGATCTCGCTAGACTTGATGTGATGCGAAGCAGACTCTCCTCCCCCCTGGCTTATCCCTGTGACAATTTTGAGGGGTGGCGTGGGCTCATGGCCAGGCCTATTCATAAAAAAGACGTCTGGCCACCCCCTTATTCGCTGTAATTCTTCATCCTATGATTCGATGGCCTTCTGGTGTGTTGCTGCGGAAGCGTGTCCTGCGTCGAAAGGTCTTGGAGGCACCAGAGCCATCCACGATGCCTATAACCGCCAACAGCGGGCACCGCTTACAGAGCGTAAAGCGGTTGCGAAAGACAGACGCGGCAAAGAGGCTCATAAGGGTAGCCGTAAGGGAGGCCGGCGGCGGGCCGAGATGATTCTGGCCTTGTCGTATAAAGACCGCAAGGATGGGGTTCGAAGGACCTTGGGATTTTGGTACACAACGTGTGATCGGACTACAGGAAGGAGGTAGCGGCAGAGACGCAGATAACTTTTGGGGAACGTGCAGAGAGGAGCACGAAGTAGCCAAGATCATTCAGACTTTCTTGGCTCTACTGGCACCTGAGGTGATTCACACGACTTGCAGGGATTTCCCCAAATACCCCCGGCAGACGAAAGTCTTCACGCGGGATACCTCTGGAGCCACGATGTCTTCATTTTCCAACTGCTTGAGGTTCGGAGGGCACATAAGTGGGAGTTGTGCTCGACTCAACCCCTGATGTACGCTTAAACCTGTGTTTTAACCCGTGCGTCGGTCGATATGCAGTACACACCAGTTCTTGGGGGCTACAGTAATTTGTTCCTGGCGTTGTGCATGCACTTGGGTTTCCATGACCTCATCTTACAAGGGTGCATGCAAGAGCACGCTCCTTCTAATGAATGCTGTGACCAGAGAGAGGAGGGTAACTGTTACCTACAGAAGCAGCTGCTTCCCTGCACTTGTTCGTTTGTCATACAGGGATTGGCGAGCTACACCGCTCCAGTGGAGGCACTGCTGACTCCTTCAAGGGCCGTCGCAAGGACCGATGGATTCGAAGATGCAGCGTGCGCTGCGCATTTAATGCGCCAGCTATGAAACGGAGACCTTTCGGGATACGGGGTTGAGGGTGGGATGATAAGGTAGGAGGTTCTGTAGCATCGCATGCAGACGCGGCATTCAAAAGTCTCATTTGTAGGAAATGATGACTTACCAAGCTATGCTTTCCCAGTGGCGTTGTTGCTGCATCATGAGCGTTTGAAAGTGAAGGGATTGATTTCGGAGGCTTTTGGATTTATCTTGCAAAGGGGAGGTGCAAATATATTGCTTTGAAGCCTAAAAGTCGCCGGTGCCCTGTGAGGACACCGGCCGGCATGGATCTTCTGTTGCCTAACACTGGTCCGTGCTGAATTTGATGGAGACTGGGCATGCACTGTACAATGTTTGTTCTTTACAGCCAACGGCCCATGCAGCGTTCGAGAAGTACTCGCGAACTCTTTTGCTCTGTCTCGGATATAAATTTGCGGTGCGCCGCGCAGTAGTGCCCCCTTCTCCCCGTCTTGCTGTGGAGAGAAGGGATTATCAGGAGACGTTACTTTGCCATGCGGCCGCTGACATTTGTTTTGGCAACTCTCCGGGCGCGTGGTTCAGTATTGTAGTTAGCTTGGTGGGCTCCGTAGAGTGCAACTAGAGTGATCTGACGGTTGACTGCTCACCATCTGCTGTGACATTCGTGCGCCGGAGGCGTTTCCCAGCTGCATTGTCCAGCCACGCGCCTATCCCCTTTTCCCGTCAGATGCACTGCCTTTTGTTCATGTCGAACATTTCATACTGCATGGCTGTGAGTGAAGGGCACATACACATCCGCTACTCTCCGGAGCGCCCGCAGGCCCCCCTGCGACTGCCATACGTACGTAGCCTCTTCTCTGTACGGGCACGCGAATGGCAGGACATGAGTGTTTTCTTGTTGGGGAGTCTCTTGTAGGCCGAATCCTCACGGATATCTGGAGAACGTTTCTCTAGTAGCTTCCTTGGTCTTTGTTGCTGTGGAACCTTCATATCGTACTTTTCTAAACGCTGCTCCCAGAGAAGCACATGGAAGTGTTGCACTGAGAGAGGCAGCGGGTAGCATGTAAAGCGTAAGATAGGCATCTCGGAAAAGTCCATCACTTGCCTACCATAGACACCGCGGCCGAAAGCCTCAGGGAGAGTGAGCATAGCGCTAGCTGCGCCCAGCAGTAATGTCTGCCGCAATGTGCTATTGCGCATTGGCAGGGACATCCCTTCACCGCAGTCTACGGGCACCCCAGAAGGGGGCATTATTACTTATGCTAGAAGTTCCTCTTTGCCGCCTCTCTCTCTAGAGAAGCGAAAAAGTCATCTTCTGCCGACGCCTCAGATGCGTTAACTGCAGCGGCCTTGCTGCCGTTGACTCCGTTGGTAGCAAGGAGTCGCTCGGCGGCTGGGGGCCTTCCAATGCCTAACGCTAGAGTTGGCGCTGGCCCTTTCGCAGGCTTGAGGCGCATGCTAGTGTTGTTACAGTTTGAGACGCCGGATTTGGAATGGCGAGACACTGACATGTCTTTTGGACGCAATGAGGCCGCCGCATTTGCCGCATTGCCGTCCTTCGCACCAGTGCTAGGCCCACCCCACTTCCCTGTACAAGCGCCGCTACCTCTGCCAATTGCCCCTTGCGCGGCTGCCAGACTCTTACCACGGAGGACAGGGGAAAGACGCTCAAACTCTTCGGTGGCAGGCACGGGGGCCGTCTCCCAAACGTCGTCTGGGATTTCTGAATCGTCTCCTACAAAACACGCATTCACGGTACACGACTACCAGGCATGAGACCAAGACATCCACGCTTAGAGCGTCGAGAAGAAAGGCGAAAGCCCCCTTTTAGCCCGCAGAATCAGCACTCGAAATGCAGACACTCGCAACGCGCTCGCCTGGGCGCCGCCACACGGCGCACACTTTCTGCACGCAAGGTCTCAGCATGTAGGCTAGCAAGCACCAGTACTGACAAATACCTCTCTCCCTCTCCCTTCCCCCCATATGACAGTCCTGAGAATCGAAGCTCTTGCCAAGCACCAAAGCAATACGACACGCTTACAGCCGCAAGCTCCGCGTGCGTGGGTGAGGAGCAAACGGTTGCAGCAGGCAGAGGTGTGTCCGACGCGTGCAGAATTTTTCATGCACACACAGAAGGTCCACATAGGTGTGCAGACAGCAAGGAGCAACACGCGAGCACATACCCCACGAGCCAATTGGTCCCGCAGCTTCTTTAAACTCGTCTGTTGACGGGCAAACGGGAGAGAAGGAGGTGGCGGAAGCAGATGGCGGCTGTGGTGGAGCTCTTGGATGCCTTGGCGGGGAAGGAAGCCGTTTTTCTCTCGCCGATTCGTCAATGGGAGCTGCGGAACCCTTGTTCGAGTAGTAGCTGCTGCTATGGCTGCTTGTGCAATCAGAAAATCCTGCGCCTTCGGCCCCCTTCTTAGCCAACCCTATGATGTGGAAACACAAAACAAGACGCTTTAACCGACGCTAGGGGGGAGTGGTTCGCGTTCCAAGAGAAGCACTTGCACGGCCGCACAGTCTGCCCTAATCATCATGCCTTTCTAGGACGAGAGAGACAGAGAGAGCGAAAGAGAGAGAGAAGGAGAGAAAGAGAGAGAGAGAGAAAGAAAGAAAGAGAAAGGAAGAAAAGTGAGAAAGAATATCCTGTTTCAAGGCTATCTGCTCTGCCACGACTGCATGCCCCGCTAAGCCTGCATCACGGGGTGCTGTGTGGCCCTTGCAGATGCCTTTGCGCGGCATCCATCTCTACGGCAGCTACTCTTGCCTTCTTGCCGATTTTAGAACCCCTGCCTCCTAGCGAAGCGCTACTACCGGCCCCTCGTGAATCAAAGGGGTGCTGCCATCTTCTGGCTCTTGCCCGTTGCTGTATCCATCAGTCAGCATTTCTACACGAACTGAAAATGACGCCTAAAAACTGCATGCACAAAGCCCCTCCCCGCTTGCAAGTGGACATCCCCTTCAGCCTACCCAGCGCTGCCCCCAGGCTCTTGACGGTCGTCAGCCACCCCTCTGGTGGCTTGCTGCTGCTTCCGCTAAAGTTAGAGCTCTCGCCGAGATCTGCATGCAACTCCAACAGTCTACCGCAGCAAATACAGGCTTCCCAGCTTCTCCCGCTGCACGCACCAAGGCGACCACGTGCCCCTCTCTTTGGCAGTCGCAGTCCTCAAGGCAGCAGGCATCCTCAACTCTCGGTGAAATACGACCGGCGCTTTACGCTGCATGCCTTTTCCATGCTATCATCCGTATCATCCATCATAGCAATGCACTAACAGCACGGCAAGAAGGGGCAAGGGGAGGGGAAGGAGGCGGCAACACAGTCTCTCTCACACTCACGCGCATCACCGAGGTGCTGCTGTTGCTCTTGCTGCTGTTGTTGCTGCTGCTTCTCAGCTGTCTTCGCCTTCGCTGCCTCTGTCAGCGCATGCAAACAGGTTGGCGCGGCTGCAACAACTGCGGAAGATGGCGAAAGAAAACAAAATGCAGCTGCACTAAGCAGTCCTACCAAATCCGGGAGCGGCAGCAGCTCCCCACTATGGACGCTTGCCTGCACATCAACTCACGGCATCCCAACTAAAGACAACCTTTCCTTGCGGCAGAAAAACTGCCGTAGCACCGTGAGCAGTTGCAGCAACAACTACAAGGGCTACAGCACTCTCAGGCACAGAGGAACTACCATCACCACACGCGGAGGTGGAGATCACGCGTAAACAAACGACAACACACACAACAACACACAAAACTACACACAAAACCATACACACAACTACACACACAACTATACACACAAGTACACACATGACTACACACACAACTATACACACAACTACATACATGACTACACACATGACTACACACACAACTATACACATGAGAAACAGATACATACACCCAGCTGGCAAAAGAATTAACATAACCAACCGAAGGGCTACATCCGCAGTAGGACAGAGAAATTTCCAGAAAAGCGAGAACTCTCAGGGAGTTGTTGGACTAGATGTATCCCTATTGTACATCCATTCGTATACATGTATGTATGTATGTTTATGTGCTGAGGGAAAGAAGGCGAGAGGCCCACTTACCTCTAATCCTGCAAGCCTAACGGCGTCCTCCGGATCTTTCAGAGCAGCACCAAGAATCGCCACCAACTCTGGAGGGCAGTTGCATGCGCTTCTACTGCTCATGGCTCTTGCTGCCGCAGTCGCTGCTGCAGCAACAGCTTCGAGACGAACGCCCCCCGACACGTCTCGCATGCGTTGCTCCAGTATACCAAAGAGAGCAGTATTCTGCAATAACACGGAACCCACCAACCCCCTCCCTCCCTCCGGAAAAAGCGCATCAACCTCTCTTGTCGCTTTCGCTCCTTCCCCCCAAAGAGCAGACCTAATTTAAGCCCGCATGTGAGTGCTCTCGCTCGCTTCTTCTCCGCGCTGTCTCGTGAGTCTACCGCACAGTATGTGGCTGTGAACACGCCGGATCGGCTGCGATTTGTCCACTTCTAGCCGCTACCGCATGCGCAGCGCACACTATGCAGCGCTCCCACTTTAAACACCCTGCCCACCCAACTTCCGAAGCTCTCCCCTCGAGTTTCCTGCGCCAAGAGCAGCTCCCTGCAAGACTTACCGGGGGACCATCCACAGGCGTTCGAGCAGCGTAAAGCGGCAGCGCGCGAGTGGTGAGCGCCCTGATGGGGGGTGCTGAGTCTTCAACTCCCAACGTTAGTTGCGACCACGTTTGAAGGAAAAAAGAGTCGGGCAGCAAGCTTTGAACTGCCGCCAGTTGCGACAGCAACATAAAGCTAAAGGGGAACAACAGCAGCACAAGCAGCAAGAGCCGCAGACAAGTTCCATGCGATCTGTCAGGCCCCTTCTTAGGTACACCCTGTTCAGGTGTACTTACACACAAAATGGGGGCAGGGGGGAGAGAAGGGGGTGTTTGTGGAGAGCAAGACTTTATACAAGGCTTCTTAATGCGAAGATCCCGCGTACCGAATCGCTCGGTCTGAGCTGTTGAAAGCATGCGCCAACACTTCCGCAAACAGAAGGAGAGGCAATGCATTGTCTTTGTCCTTGTTGCTGCTGCTGCTGAGCGGTGCGACAATCCCGAAGACACACTTGAGAATGCTGCAGTGGTAGCTGTTGGCGCTGTTGTTCATCAGCAGCAATGCGAGCTCAGGCAGCAGCAAATGAAGAGCTAGGGCGGGAGACACCCGCTGCGGCTGCTGTTGCTGCAGCGCCGCAGGTAACTGCTGCTCGAAGAAAGACTCCTTGTCGACATGGCTCTTCATGGGGAACGAACGAATAAACAAAAGCAACTGGCAGCAAGCGTCTCCTGCCCGCAACAAGCCCAAGCAAGTCAGACGCATAACAGGAGCTTCGCGCGACGGTAATCGCCAGACAGGCAAAGACTGCCCCAACAAGAGGGTAAACAACGAAAGCTAAAGCCTAGTACACGCCATCCAGATACCACCTTCCGCCTCCCACGCGCCAGCAGGGGAGAATAACGGAGCCAAGAGACAGCACAAAGCGTGCGATCAGGCCCGCATCTCACTGCCTTGCGTACTTCAGGTATGAAACATATACATATGTACATATATGAATGCATGTGCGAATGCATGCGTATGTGAATTTATGTGCATCCGAAGTGCAGGTGCTCCGTAGTCCCCGTGTCTCTGCCTGCCCTAGAGAGCCGCACCGCACGGATGGTGGAGGCGTAGCGTTTGTATGACTCCCCTTCGCCTACCTGCAAAACATGGGTTGTTTCCCTCGGCAAGTTTGACGAGGGGGGGAGCCGCATGAGTGACGCACAGGAGCTGCTGCATTAACCGCTGCAGAGGGCCAGAAATTCTCTGCATAGCCTGCCGCAAAAAGGCCTCGTTCAAGCGAATAGACACCCCGCGAACTGCAGAAGAAGCGGCTACAGTCGAGGCGTTCCCGTGGAGATAGCGGCCGGCGCTGTACGGATCGCGTCGGCTGTCTAGCCACCATGCAAAAACCGCGCATAAACCCCATCTGCAACGACACCGCAAGCAAAAGAAATGGTCATGCAAGGAGACACATACATACAGATATACACACTGATATACAGGTATACAGGTATACACAAAGATACACAGATATACATACAGATATAGAGAGATACATGGATATATATACCTAAGTAAATACACACATCTACATATACATCTATACATATGTATACATACATTCATACATATGTATACATTCATACATACATACATATGCATACATACATTCATATGCATACATACATATGCATACATACATTCATACATACAGATATATAGAGAGAAAGGGGGGCGAGTCAGCCGCCGCGAACGCGCAGTAAGCAGTGCAGTCAGAAAGGGAGGGGCGTTGCGAGGGGGCGATTCGCGGATGGCCCCTTCCCGAAGCACCGTCGGGAGCAGCGGCATGCAAACACAGCAGCCAGATGCTCCGCGACATCCGGATAGGCCGCCGCTCCACATTAACGGGCTGGCCACGTCTCTGCAGGCAGGATGCGTCTTTTGCATGCACGAGCGCCTTGTGCGCTGACAAGACTCTGCAGCACGCCCTGTCTCACGCCGAATGGCTGAATGTCTGCCCACTGCGCTGTGTCTTTTTAGAGTTACCTGTCGACGACATCTGGCCGAGCGTCTGCATCAGGCCTCGGCGGCTCCCAGCCCTGCGCCACGCTGGCGCTGGCGAGAATTTCGGAGTAAAACAATGGCCAGTGCACTTTTTCGAAGGGACGAGACAGTCCTAGGCAGCTCAGCTTCCACTTCCCTGAATAGCGTTTGTACACAGGAGGCGTGCAGGCGGAGCGACCTCATGAGCATCCCTGTAGAAATTTGTATTGTGGGCTTCCCCGCTCACGGAGCAGCACGTGGAGTGCATACACACACGCAGATTCGCATATTTGACTGTCAAGAAGCGCTTCCCCATGCGCATGCAAGGGGCCCATGAAGGAGGGCGTGCTGCCTCTGGAACTGCATCCATGCCGTGCCGTCTCTACGACTGCAGGAGCTACCACTGGACATGCGGATTCTGCACTCTTTTAAAAAGTCGCTCACCGCTCCGCCTACCCGCGGGTTCATGAAGCAAAGCACTTTTTGAAGCAAATTCATGAATATGCATGCAGAGCTTTCTGAATCGCACTTAGGTGACAGCCCCCCTCCAGCCCTCCCTGCGCCTACGGCGTATGACCAGCGCGTTCCGAACTTTGAACGTTCACGCCCTTCGCCGGTGCGTGATTGCAAAAGAAAAGACCGCAACAGGCGCTTTCCCTACCGTGGGGTGTGACGAAGACAGAGAAGGGCGAGACCTCTCCATGCGCTAATTTGCACTGATCGTGCAAAAAGGAGAGTCCTTGCAGCAGCTCAAGGAGGTTCCAGCAGGAAGCGCTCGCTGCAGCCGCAGCTGCAGCCGCGGAAGTGCGCAGACTTTCCACCGCTTCGGCAGCCGTTGCTGATGAAGAAGATGCTGGAGGAGGATCAGCGGAGCACTGCTGCTGAGGCAGTGAAGCCGGTCGCTTCGCCTCCAGCTCCTGCTCCTTCTGCCGCTGCTGGCTGAGGTACAGGACGTAGGGAAGGGCGAAACAGCACTCAGTCACAACGTACAGTGCGTTCTTTGTTTCGTAAGTCCCAAGAACCTTGAGCAGGTTGGGATGCAGAAGCGTCTTGCACTTGGCGAGGTGATTCCTCGCCTGGTCGAAAGAGGCCTGCGACACTGTGCCACGGGAGGGAGAGAGGGCAGTCTGCTGCTGCTGCTGCTTGTCTCTCTTGAGCGCGAAGACGGAGACTTGTTGGGCATTGCTAGGGTTCAACAAGGCCGCTAGAGTTGGAGAGTGGCGCGCTTGGCCATCTGCTGACGATGAGGGAACGGCGGCGGAAGCTTTGGCAGTGGTGTTGGTGGCGTTGAACTGCACGAACCCGCCGGGGAGCTCAAAGCTGTATGGCACTGGGGAACCCAATGTGTAGGGGAAGCTGGCAGGAAGGTCTCCCCAGGAGGAGAGGCTTTTCCACAGAGACTGCAGCATGGCGGCGCGTCATGAGCAGCATTACGTAAAGGAAGGCGCGGCGGAGGAAGGGCCCCCTGGTGAGAAGGCGAATCAGCGGCGGCAGAGGCGGTCCGGGGATATGCGAAGGAAGTTGCAAAAAAAGGGCGAGGGGAGCGACTGTGGCAGAAAGCTGCCGAGAAAACAGAAGGACAGGAAAAAAACGGTATAGGAAAAACAAGAAAAGTTTAGAACGACGGAGCTATGGGAGAACGATGGCGATATATGGGAGGAAGCTCGTGGAGGGCATCAGAACAAGTGAAGGCCCATGTCGCAGGAATGCACAACAACACAGCGTTTCTACACATGTCCGTCTTGATATTACAAAGACACCGGGAAAGAAACCGGCAATTGCCGTTTCCACAAATTCCCTGGCTCACCATGAGAAAGGGGGGCCCGGGGCCCCCTGTGCAGATCGGAGCTTCAGACACACCCAACTCCACTATAGACTCTTTTGAACGCCGCACTTATTATTTTCATAGCGTTTGAGGAACTAGCTGGTACCGCTTGTTCTGCTGGGCACGTGTCCGCTGGCTGCGTTCAGCTGTCGTTTCCTTATTGGTCTGGCGGTCTACCGCTATCACTGTCTCGTCCTGTGCTTTTCACTTTTCCCTCCCTTCTTCTCGAGTAAGGCAGGCATCAAGAACATGTATATTTGCCTAAGCTATTGAGGTGGGAGCGTTGGGGAGCCCGCGAACCCGGTATTTCCATTTTTCGCGGTTCTTGTGAATTTGTCAAGACAGCTAGTGCGTGCGCCTCTGGTATTCGCTGAATCTCTCATGCAAATTAGTGGCATAGAAACTTCTTGATTTTGGTGCCGGCCCCTGTGGAATATAAGGGTTTCTTCTAAACAGCTTTTCGTGCTCTGCCTCCCCTTCAAAGCGCTATTCCAGTAGGCCAAGCTACGCTTCGCCTTTTTCTCTGTCAAGGGTTCCCCTTAAACAAGAGCGCTCACAGTATTGACTACTTCTTTTGAACGGTTGCATATGGGATATTTACAGAGGACAGTTGTGTACATGCGACAAGATTGAAGTCCGTGTGCCTGTGCACTATGCTACGATAAGTTCAGCGGGCCAGCTACACGCACGCAGTTTCCAGTGCACTAGCTTTATTTGATGAGCATTGGTAAAGTATTGAATAGTTGGCTTCTCTGTCCGTATATCCTGTTTCGTGTACAGTAAGGTTAGCTCGATATATGCAGACGCAATGTTGCGTGCATGTACGCCAGACGCTTCGTGTGACTAGCTCTGACTGGTAAGAGTGCTTTGAGGGTGTAACTACGCTCCCCTTATGTTTTTCTCTCCCTCATATCAGCAACTCTGAGGATGCAGACCAAGGGGACCTAAAAATAACAAGGGAGGTCTTAGAATGCAGCGTCAAACTGCAGCTGAGTGGGAAATTCCGGAATGCCCGTAGGGTGCGGCCATGCGAGCCCCGGCTGTCCTCTGCCGTCGTGTGCGACTATTCCAGATTAAAGAAAATAGGGAGCGCGAGAATTTTTTGGAACGTGCGCAAAGCTACCTCTTAACGTGAATTTAAGTGTGAGACTGTCAGTGCGGCGACCATAGTAGAAGCGCTTCACCAGCTACCAATAGTGTTTCATGTCTTCGCGGCACTAGCTTCAAAACATATATGCAAAGCATTCTGTGCAAAAGGAAGCAAAACGATTATCATGTCCACGACGTGTAGCTGCACTGAGTAGTAAGACTGTTCTGCAAGGCGTATGTTATACACCACTTTGCCTGCCTCCCCGAAACGCATACTGTACAGCCATTATCTTATCGCCAAACTACTCTAGCCATATCATGGGACCCCAAAAACGCAAGAAGAATGAGCAGGAGTCCATAGTTAAAGTACAGAATGTATATTACACGGAGGAGCTGCTATTTACAAGGTATACCAGAACTTCCTCTGAAAGAGGAACTTGACGGGGCGTTCACTCCATCCTTCCATTTCATTCACGCTTCTGCCAAACGCTATAAACACTAAATGGGTGAACATCTCAACCTAAAACTTGAAGGTGGATTTTTTTTTGTAGACCGTAATTTTCTGGATTTCAATTTTCCAAAAAAGAAACTAACTCCCGTAAATAGACTCTACAGTCTTAGCACCAGATTCCATATGCTAAACTCTAATTTCCATGGTCTGATGAAAAATAATTTCGGTTTTACACTGTAGACTCGCACTGAAGGGAGAGTCGTGAGTGATGCATTGTTGAAAGGAATTGAATTCCTAGAAAGCCACATAACTCTACTATAAATAATTATTCTAAAGATATTACTTCAGTTTAGTAAACCTATGAGAAAATTGTCGTACGGTAAACCCTATCATCGAATCCCTAAACAGGAAGCACTAAAGGAAATAGCACTTACTAACACATGTTACAAACTGCATCCAAGTTGTTGCCCTGTTAAATTATTGAGACGCCTGCCTATCGCTCGCACTAACAGCTCTTCAAGAACGCAAAGACGCTTCCTTTTTTGAATTTTGTGTATAATGTCATGCCCATAGGAATCACATCCTCTCATTCATTTTGTTGGTGAACCGTCATACCCTGGAGCTACTGTCATTTACCTTGTGCCTGAAAAGCTCAGACTCACCCGTTTGCTAAAAATGGTTTCTCCAAATTTTTGTTTCTTCCACGCATAGTTACCACAATGTGTTGTTTCGGACTCACTGAGATTTTTGTAACACGCGGTAAACTGTTCTGTTCTATGGCTTGTCAAAAAGCATCAACACGTTTATTCGGGCATACGCTCTTCAATAGATCCATTTAGCAGTATTCCATCTGTTTCTATTGCCCGTAGAATTGTTACCTGTCCATGCTTACGAGCACGTTCAGGGGTAAGAGCAAAATAAAGTCGCTTTCAGAGTACATTGATGCACTGTTCAGCAATACTAATCAAAGGCCTTTCCTGTTATTGTCAATTAAAGAGATTGCAGAGCTAACTACAGTGTCCACTACTTTATGACTGGCTCGCCTGTGGTGGGCGTAGTCTGCAAGAGTAGATCTGCCAGTTAAGCCCCTCTCCGTGTTTTCCTGTGCGTGGAAATTTCTTTTCTGTTCGCAATGTGCGTTTGTTCGAATGCCCTTTGCATATTTCTTGATTGTAGTAGCGACAAAAAAAAACGGTGACAAGACATGCTGCAACTGCCCAATGCAGCGCCTCACGAGGATCTTCATTTTAAACACAAAGCACATATGTGTGTGGTTCAGGAGCTCCAGTCTATTTTTAGAGTCCTTTTTTCAGCAATCTGGCTACAGATACTTAGGAGCCCGTGTTTCGCCGCCATGACTAATTGTGAGGTGCCTCTAAGGCTGCATTGGGCCTGCTTAGACACACCAGAAAATTTACTTGCCAAAACGGCGTAGAATTTAAAGACGAGAAAACGACACGCACAAAGGCTTTAATGCCATACCAAATATTCCGAGTGGTTAGACAAACGATCTTGCAAGCTCATTCTTGCACACGAATGGGACGCCGGTCATTTCGTATGCTCGGGTTTCTTGTGGTGCGGTGCCAGCTTCTGTGCCCTTGCAGTCTACGCAGTTTTTCCATTCGTGCTCCCTGTTTCTTCATTTGTAACCCGTTTTCCGTGTGTTTTCCTCTAAAAGGAGCTTACTGGGAGGGGGATTCTCAACCCCGGCACGCGGATGTAGGGGCCCCCGGCAGGGGCCCCCTCGGTATGTGCACATTCTGGGAGTGCGTTTTCCTACACACTGGCAGCCTAGCAAATGCGTGCTAGAGAAAGCAGCCCTCTCAGCTTGAACAGGGACCTAGCGGGGACTTTGTGAGGAATGTCGAGTCTCTACAGGGGCCCTGCTTCTCAGGGGTTCCTCTTGCGTGAGCATCACCAGTCGTGGCGACTGCTTTTCCTGCTCTTCGTCTTGAGTCTTCCTGTTTCGTCCTCTTCGATCCCTGTATTAGGGCGGCCTTCTTCCCTCCCGGAGCCTCTAGGCACTCTCTCTGGAGCAGCCACACGCTCAGCGATAAGGCCCTCCTCCCTCTCACTTCGAAAGCCGACACCAGCCTTCCTAGCTGCTGCCGTCAACTCAAAGCGCAGCAGTGGCGGCTCAGCCTTGAACCGGGTACTGCACTGCGGACTCCCGAGCGCCAGGAAGCGTCTCCTGCACGGCAGTTCAGTGCCTCATTTTGAATTTTTCCAGGGAGGCGTGACGCCCCTGCGGGCCGTTCTGGAATGCCAGCACCCCTTGGAATTCCCCTATAGCAGACGCGCACATGTTAACTCGGGGACCTCGAGCGTCTCTTCTAGAATCCACCCTACACTCCATTTTTTAGAGGGGGCCTTCCTTGAACGACAGGGGGTTCTCATTGGTACAAGAGACTCGTGTGTCGCGGGAGGGCTCCCACAAGGATGTGGAAATACACCCAATGGCTCCCTGCATCTGAGGATGAGGGCACACGTGCATCGGGAGAGCAGGCTGGGGAGACCCCAATCACACAGGAAGGCCCTCCTAAGGAATCTTGCTACTCAGGCAAGTTTTGTAGAATCACATTCTTCGCCGATAATCATGGCCTCCTTAAAAATGTAGTGTATGCACACCCTTTTTGTGGGCTGCTCTTGTTCCTGGAAGCCATTCGTTTGTTGTGCTTGCGAGGCTGTAAGTCTTTGAGATTGTTGGTTTTAAAACATGAAACTAAGGGTTTAAAAATGCTTCTCCGTGGATCCTCTTGGCTGTGCGTTTATTGCGCTCGTCTTATTTCGCTTGTGCATGAAAGTCAAAGCTTCCCATGAACATGGGGATCATCAAAAGACACAACTGACCGGTTCCACCCTGCGCAACATGCTGTGACCCTGCAGCCTTTCCTGTGCTCAACAGTGAAACGGGCATATCTATCTCACACTATGTACTGGGGCAAAAGAACGTATAGAAACAACACGAAACGCATTGAAAAAAGGTCAATAGGCCTACTAGATGGCTCCCTATCACCGCTATGAACAACTTTTCGGGGACAGGGGACGCATTGCCTTTTTGTAGCCGTCACGCTCTAACGCATATAAAGACTCCACCGCTTACGTGCATCTGAGAAGGGAAATACAGTCAAGAGCCATAAGGATTGATATCTGTCGATCTACGCTTGGCCTGAGTGCCACGTATGTGGCTTTTTTATTCTGTGTGAATGCAGCTCATAAGACACGGCAGCATCGTAACAACGGCCGCTCGAGGAAAGGCGCTGTGCAGCTTAATGGACTCCAAGCTTCTCTTGGCAAAAAGAGGGGGTCTCCATAACTACAGGAGGGCCCTGGGATTCTTCTATGATAAAAAGCTTACTAGGGAGCTGTTTAAACAGGTGAAACATCACCACAAACGCAGCAATGGGCAGATTAATTCATGGCCTTCAAGTTAAGGGGGTTGGAAACGACGTCCTGCAGTATTTGTGGACATCAGAAAGTTATGAATACTGAATGCAAAGTCTATGGGTGTGGAACACAGCAAGCGTCCCTTGTGACCGCCACACTAGACTCTAAAAGCGCTTTATTCCCACCTAAATGGTCATTAGGTAAGCCGGAAACAACCTATTGCTACAGGTGCCCCACTTGGACTTCACAATGCTGCCTCTGTCCTTCTTGCACAGGCCCCCCATCGGTTCGCGCGGAGGGAAAACGGCTTCTGTAGGAGGAGGCGTCTGCCCTTTCCCCGTCTGGGAGATGCTGCGAAAATATGCAAAGTAGAACTAATCGATTGAAACCCTAAGCCAATTATTTTCTGCTTTTTGTGTGCGGCGTTCAAAGTTGTTTGGCTTGAGGTATCGTAGCGCTTTTATGTGTGGTTTTCAAAGGGAGACAATGAGCCTCAAGTGTAGGTTAGAAGTCTGGTAGATGACCATCAATTGATTGTTCTGAAAAGCCCTCTCTCGGCTGCCGGTGCCTTTACGCGCCTCACAACGTATAGACATGAGGGGAAAGAGGGGAGCTGCGGTGCATGTTGCAGCATGCTTTGAGCACCCTACGGCCATTCAGTGTACCCAGTTCCGCAAAGCATGCTGTAGCACGCAGACAGTTAGCGTTCTAGCCTACAGCACCAAACTAATCACCTCTGATCTTTGATATTGGCCTTTCCGGAGGGCCATACCAACCAGTTGACTCATGACTATTTGATAGAGTATACGGGTGCAATAAGATCTGAAGTGTACCCGTTGGCCCGCTGTAGGCACGGGGTCTCATGAATCCGTTGGGGCTCTAATGAGTAGAAGGAAAGCTGAAATTTTGGAATGTTGGGGCATCGTGGAATACCACATCTGATAAAGAGGGGGCCCCCCCACCACAGAGATGGAAAGCAAAAGCTCATATGCGGCATCCAGGTTTTGCGCGTAGCTCCCTTAAAAGGCTGGAGCGACGAACTCGTACTTCGTAAAGGGCTCCACCTTGGGGACTAGCTGCAGCCGTCCAAGGCACGCGTAAACTCGTACAACTACAGTCGCTATGCTAAACTGTGGACTAGTAAATATGGACTGGACAGCGTGTCCGTTGAAAGATCTTATTCTGTTGTGTGAGGTTTATTTTGATAAAATAAGACTCAGTGCTGTGTGTGTCTGTACCCTAGAAGCTGTGTAAAACTAGCTGTGAATGGCCGGAGTGATTTATGTGCTGCCACACGTCCCCTCAAAGCTGCACGCCACCCCGACCCTGAGGAGCGCGGAACAAGGGGAAGGCGGGAGTTCTATTGAAACTTCCAATAAATTTGTAAGAAGTCTGCATCGAGTCTGGGGGTGAGTGGCTCCTGAACGTAGGCTTGGATGGAATGTTACACCTACAGAGTGCTGGAATACCCATGCGTTGAAACTGGCGTCGTATTCTCATGTAAAGTCCTCGCGGCAGAGGGCTCGACAGGCTCAGGGATGAAAGTGAAGGAAAGCGAATGCCCGAAATAGGAAGCCTTCGCAATTCTGGCCCAGGTTTTGCCTCTTGTATGTGGCTTAAAGTGTCTCCCTACACAGACAGTTTCGCGTTACGCAAACAAGAAAGAAGCTACATTAGACTAGCACCAGGGGCGGCATTTAAAGTGTGGGTGTAGAAGGTCCCTATGTGCAACAGACTGATATAGTTTCATCATTTCTCTTAGTTTAGTAGCTGCTGGAGACGGAAGACAACATTTCTGTAGAGTCCTGTGATGGTTGCTCCAGTACTTGCGAGACAGCGAACCGCGCGTTGTATTGCTCATCGGCATTCTGAAGAAGGCATAAGTTGAAGAGCAGTGAGTTAGACACAAACAGCAAAAGTGGGGAAAGGCTGAATGAGGGACTGGCTGGTCTCTGTTGGGGCTGCCTGAGGGCGGCCCGCGGTCGTTTCAATGTCTCGCCACACTACAGAGCCTTCAATTGTTTTAATCAAACTTCTTGGTTTTCTTTGTTTTTTGATGATGCTGTTTCATCCACAAAATTTTGCTTCGTGTACATTTCTCTATTGTTGAGCTGCCGCACCGTCACAAAGCACGGCAGTAATGTTACACAATAGCAAAACTGCCAGCTCTTGATGTTTCCGGTGCGATGTCCTAATTCATTTCCAAGTAGCAGCAAATTTCAATGAACCCTTGTACGTAAGAGCATTTCAAAGGGGATAATCGCATAGATCGGATTCCTTTGACTGCAACTACGCAGCACAGCCGACTGGTTCTCCCTGGCGATCTTCTGCCACCAGTGCTGAGAGATGTAATAAGCTCCACGTCTTGCATGTTTCAGGTCATATCGCATTCCCTTGAGTGTATTGTAGCGGCTCCACGACTCTGTATGCTCCGATTACCGCACCCTAGTGAACGCACTGTCTGACAAACCGCTATCCTTTTTCGTCGTAGCCTCGACGTCGAACTGCCACCAGCGTAAGGCGTCAGGATTTGTCCAAGTGTGGATGGGATCCAGCTCAGCCAACCGTAGTATGAGACGGCCTAAAGGCGCCCACGAAAATCAGCTGCGAAGGGATTACAAGGTTTAGACATACAGGAAAAGGGTTAAATGCAACAAAGTAAAGCTACGCGAGAAATAAGACCCTGCACTACGCTTATAAGACACAGTCGGAATCGTGGGGAGAAATCAGGACTGGAGAGGCGCGATAACGTTTATGGGGAATGTCTTCTGTTCCTGAACTCAAGTCAGATCGGCTGCGCATGCAGCTGAGTACAGTTGGAGAGAGATTTGCGGGCTTCAAATCAAGTATTGCTGATGACTCGCGGAAAAGGAGACAAGTGGATGAGCAGCGATACCAGGCAGGCGCTTTACTGTTTATGCCTTACCGCAGCGATCTAGTTGCCCATCTCCTGCCAGTGTTTCCTTTTTCACTGTCCATCATTCGCTTTTCCATATCCTAGCCCTGCATCTATCACATTCCTGTATAGCCTGGGCATATGCAGTGCCATTTAAATGGCTATATCTATATATATGTATACTTATCTTACAACGCTCACAGGCACAAATACGATGAGGCAACTGTCGTGTTTTCTCTTCCCCCATCTGCACAGGAGATAAGGGACTCGATCGTTGCTGTAGAAAAGACCTTAAACCAAGAGATAAAGCGGCGGGTTGATGCCAACAAGGCTCTTCAGCAGATTTCTGAGCAAACGGCGAACGAAATGCTGGAGAGGCTCCAACTGAGAATCGTCAAGTACATCGAAAGCCTTACGGTACATCCCGTATAGACCTCGCATGAACCATGAACTTTTGTTCGCTCTTTTTGTCACTTGAGCGGCTCTTAAGGTAGTCTTTTTGTGCTCGTTTATATGACTTCTTCTATAGCCGCCCGTTGGGGGCGCAGAATGTGCCATTGGGCTGTGCTGCATGGACGCAGCATTGCATCATTCCGGGTGTCTGTGCATGAGCCTCCATGTGGGCACACTAATTAATACAAACCATGCTGATGTGGCCGCTGTGGTGCACCCCAAAAGAACTCCAGCATGCTATGTACCGCGTGGCATGGGGCGTTGGATGCATGTGCATACACTGCAGTTGTCGTTGAGCGCTCGAACTGATGGCAAATGCACAGCCATCGACATCTGCGTGCTCTTAGGCATCTATGGACATGCTGATAACGCGATGCGAAAGCTTGGAACAGGGCCTAGCGCAAATGAAGGGAGAGATTCCCAGTAAACTGGCGGTAAGCTGAGGGAGGGTGGCATCCGTTCGGCTTGGTCCCTCCCTTTATGGTGGCGCGGACCTTGCTTTTGCCGTGCATGGAAAGAAATAAGATATACGTTAGAAACAAGTCATTAAGGGGCATGTGTAAGCGGTAGAAGCGGTTCGCAGCTGATACAAAAAACAAAAGCTACTTTACTTGGCAGTGCAATTAGCTGCGCCTCCTTGTTATGGGGTGCTGGCCATATGTGCCCGGTCTTAAGGTCTCGCTCGCTATTGGCTTGTGGCATTTTGCTTCCTTTTTAGCACGACTTCGCCACGCTGCAGAAAGACGCCGTGGCTCTTCGCCAGACATTTAAGACCGAACTCAAAAGCAGGAACGACAGGGACACCCTTGCATGCAAAAAGTTGGGCGAGCTTCAGCTTCTTATTGACTCCAAGTTTGAGGCTGAAATTGCAGTGCGGCAGGAACAACTGAACCTCATCAAGAGGGAAGTCGAGAGGCTTGTCAAGTAAGCTAGCACTTGTCCTTACGCGCCGCCACATCCACTGTGTCACTGACTTCAAGGCGCCAGTCTACGTTCAACCGCTTTTCTCTGGACTTTGAATTTTCAGTTTCGTCTGATGTAGGGATGCTTTCTTTACCCTGAAATGCTGGGCTTCCCTGAGGGCTGCCGCTAGGGCTGTTGGTGCCATCCCCATTAAGATACATTTAGATGGCTCCTGTTTGCCCTTTCCGCTCTTCCATTTTGCCCAGGGGCGACGAAACTCAAGAGCAGTTTCACGCCTTCATCATGGAAGAGTTAATGTCCCTAAAGAATGGCCTTGCACTCGCAACGCAGGCAAGGGAGCAATCAGACGACGAAATCATACAGGTACATATAAATCTATCCACCCAGCGATCCTTTAATCAACATCGAAAAGTTGACTTTGCGAATAAGCGCATAGCCAGCTACGCAGACGGATGGGTCGTTTGGTTACTGCCTGAGTCCCCCGTATGTATATTGCACTCTGCTGGTTTTTACGGGCACACGTGGGTAGCATCCTGGTTTTCGGTGAAGATGTATGTGCTCCTTTTATCATGGAGACCATGTTAAAATACGCTTTTGCGGATGAGTATACTTTAGTTTCTCTGTGTGAGTCGCTCATGAGTGGCCCCTATAAGCACAACAGCAAACAGTGTGCATCTGCTACTAAGGAACTATGCTTTTGATTCTTTAGAAAGGTACGAAAAGCGTGCTATCGATTTGTGATTCAGGCAATTAATCAATACACCACAGCTCTTCAGAAAGGTCTACGAACGATAAATGCGCTATAAGCCTCTTCTCGAGGTCTCGGTCTCCCTTCCCGATTTACAGTGCAAATGTGTGCATGTATCTTGTTCTAGCATAGCACTTTGTTTACTTGGTGCGGTAAGAAATGCCCTTTAGCAATTTTTTGTCCTTTACCGGCAAGAACTCTAATCGCCATAGCACTCTTGATGAGGGCAGGACACAATGCTTTTTTTCGATGGAATGGTCTACTGAGCCAGCGCTGCACTCTTTTACCTCTGGATAAAGGCGAATTAAGTATAATACACATAAAAGCTTCATCTACAAAGAAGCACAGTAAACGCAGCTGCGTGGAAACACTGGATGCAGCAAGCAACATGACAAAATAGCAACACGACTAACCTACACTCCATTTAGAGAAAATGAACTGTACTCCACACAGGCAAATTGAATAACTCCTCTTTTATAATATAGTACAGATTATCAGATGCAAGGCCTTGCTGCTTTTGGCGTAACAGTTCCTAGGTTCTCCAAAAGGCCACCCTCGGCAAAAAGTTTGTTCAAAGCATGACCTCATTGCTTGTGAGACGTGCGCTTTGAAGAGTTTCGTCCTGTGTGTATCTTCACCCCGCATTCTTAAAACATGAAGAAAGCATCTTATACAGCTCATACCTAACAGGATCTTAACTATATACCTTTTGTAATTGCAACTACCTGTGCATATCTAGGGCTGACACAATAGGGTGTGCCGAAGGATGTTAGAGGAAAAACGCAGCGCAGTCTGCAATACACATGGAAAGTTTCTTGTTGACATGCTCGAGTTCCCCTCACACGAGGCTCCGAATAATACATATCTGTTAATTTCTTTCCGTCGTCCCTACCCTTAAAGGTATTGATATATATACATATATGCTGCCCACACAGTAGAGTCGATGTGTTAAATCTTGCGCGTACTATGCCGTGCTGCACTGAATTAGAGCAGAAGCCCTGTAGGATCTAGGATAGGCTCACTATCGTCTTAGCCCTGCCGCTGAAAGAACAGGAGAATTGATCGAAACGGAAACATAAGGCGAAACTAGGGCACATCCATCTGCAGAAATAACTGTATTCTTTGTCCCATTCCGGTAGCAAAACTATACACAACGCTTTGTTTCTGTTCTCCAAAGAGAACAATTTACTTTGAATATCTATTAACCTCTGAGCCTAACCTCCTTTTTTTGCCGTTTTAAATGCATGGACTGCTGCACGTCGGCAGCACCTTGACAAAACACGTTTGAGGAACGAAAAAAGAGTGATACTTTCTACATTTTGGCTTATTTTGTTTTAAAAATCATAAAGCCTGTGCTAATCTGCTTTAATAGGTGTACTTCAAGAAATTTCTCTCACTGAGAGGGCTTCCCTAACGGCCAACAAGCCATGGCCGACAGGACAAATCGAGTGACTGTAGACGTACTTCGTGAACGCGCTCCAAACAAAGGCTCCAGAACAACCAAACTGCCCCCTTTTGTTCCTTAGATGATAATTCATTCTTTAATCTGGATACTCTGAGCACGGCGCATGCGCATTAGTAGGTTTGCTTGCCCACGCCCCATTTTGGCTGTGCGACTCACTGGCGCCGCTTGGTGGCGGATGTCCTTCTGCTGCCTCTCACCTTTTGTATTTGTGGCTTTGGAGAAGGTTTTGTTGAAAAGAAAGTGTACAAGTGTAATACAGTTAACCTTTCGCTCTGAACTTCTTCCTCCCCTAGTTCTACTTTATTAAGGAACCTCAAGGACGCAAGAGCGATACTCGACAAGGAACAGGCAGCCATGGAGCAGTCTGCTTATCCATCGCCTTACCCGGCTTACACGGAGACTTACCTCACTCCTGACGGGTATAATCATGGTAAATGATACAAAAAACACGCAAAACAGTTCATCGCAGCACCAAGAGCCGCAATATCCGCGACAACCTCTGTCGCAACAGCCTAACCTGTCCGTTCCCTCTTTCCTTCCTTCATTGCGGTCCATGCCATCGTCCATTTCAGTTTCATGCAAGTACATCCAAAATGATGAAGGGCGGAAGAGAATTCCTTGCCCATGCCGCATTCATCTAGGTGCCTTACTGGCCGAACCCGGAGTCTCCTCGACCAATGTTGTGCTCTTCAGTGATCGAGGCACTGAACCCCGCGCTCTTTGACCAAGCTGTGTTCTGCATATCTAATAAAGTTTCCTCTGTAGACGTCAAAATGTGAACAGCCTATTTCCTTCATGGTTTCCTTCCTCTCTTCGTTCGAAGCGGCTGCACTTTCCCCCGTTTTCTATTCCAAGTTCACCGTTTCTGTGTGTATTTCTCTCTGTCTTTCTGTCTGTCTGTCTATCACCTCTACCGCTTATTGTGCGCTGCCTTCTGCATTTCCTGTCTGAGCTTTTACTGTGGACAGCGGACTTTCTGTCGTCGCCGCTTTGCACACCTCCCCCCCATGGCTCGCATGTTATAACTACATGCTTTGCACGATTCCTTCCTGAACCATCCATCCAGCCTTTCCCCATTTTCCGGGTGTCCAAACAAGACACGATTGGCCTAAATATGACTCTGGTTGCCTTTTGTGCCCTTGTGTTTGCAGGCGGCAACATGAACAACGGTCTGCAAATGAACGCCATGGCGTATTACGCCGGGGGCCCAGACCCCTCGCTATCTTGTGCTCCCTCCGTGGGCTCCATGATCAGACAAGGCAATGAAGTAGAAGTCCACAGATTCGATCCCACGCCTGTATACAATTATCAGCCGTCCTGCGCTCCCCCGCTCTACCAACCGGCCCCAGCGACCTACGGTTCCATGTACACGGACCCCAGCATGCAGACTTTCTCGCAGGCTTTCGAAGGAAACTTTCCTTTCTATGATACTCTCGCAAACAGCGGGATGCCTCAGGGCTATCATATAGCGATGCAGGGCTTTCCCGAGGCCGTAGAGGCGAGAAAGGCCATCAAGAAGCAAATTTCGACGCCCGCTGAAATGATCCAGAAAGCTGAACAGAAGAAACCACAGCAGAGAAGAAGACCAATTGCCTGCTGTTAGTTGCTCAGCAAACTGAGCAGCGACAGCCACACAGAGCTACAAACAAATTCATATATGTGTAAATATGTGAAATTGTGTCTAATCTATGCATTTCTGCACGCTCTGCGCCTGAGACCACTCCTTTCAGGCCGCGCGAGAGGAGCGATTCCTCAGAGGCACATGCATACAGCCAACTGATTTGCCTCTCATAGGTGAGGTCTCTCAGGACACCCTCCTACTCGATTCGACGCAGCAGAGGCCTCACCCCTTACAGGCCTCCAGAGGGCTCCTATACAGACGCGTCTACTTTGCACAGAATATCATGCTTTTTCCACGCTGTATGCGCAAATTGCTAGCAGCTTGAGCCCGATGCACTTCATCCACGGCGTAGCCGTCAGTGCGCTAGGAAACACTACAGCTCAGAAGGGGCTGCAGCCCTTAAAGATATCTCTTGCTGCCTCACTGGACCCCCTCAGCAGGCAGCAACAGACCATCAAGGCCTTGCAGCAGCTGCTTTGTTGGCGTTCCGGCTCCCGTTCACGCACCAGAAGAATCGTTTCTAGTATAAAGAAGCAACTTGCACATCCGAAATAGTGTATGATGGCGTACTTGCCTCCGCTCAGGTGTAAGATTGGTCTTCAGTGCTCTACCAAGCCTAATTCCGAATCCTTGTGGATAACTCTGCCATCTAAAGCTCCGCGCTTCCATTTGCCAAACTATGCAAAGGGAGTCCTGAGGGGAACTGTGATGAATACAACACGGGCTGAAATATAGCCGACGCAACGCCCCTCTCATGGTCTTTACACGCAGAGCATTCGCCCCGCCCCCACACAAAAGTAACAATACGCTCAAGGAATTTCATAGGCGCGTTGCGAAAATGACTTCCCGCCCTCCGTGCTTGGCCCGATAGCCTTAGCATAGGGCCCTCTTGCTAAAGAAGAGGAACATGGCGGCCGGGGCACGAGCAGCTGCAGCTTCTGAACACTCCGGGGATGCACTTGCACAAAACAGGTGCACACTAGACCACCTCCACCACACATTATTAGGTGCAGAGTGGTCACATATCTAGGGCATGCAGCTGGACCCGCCATGAGATGCGTTGCGCGTACGAAATTTCATTTGGATAGCCGGTCAAAGTTGAATGCAACATCGAATAAATATAATCCCTCACATACATATTGCCCCTCTACAGTGTATCCCTGGCCTCCACTATTCGGGCGCTTCGGGTGTCTTCTCGGGAGAGGCATCCATCAGGGCATGCATGGGCCGCCCCGACAGAGACAGGGAACACATTCCTAACAAGAGGAAAAGTGATCGATTTTAAGGCTCGGAGGCACCGAATTCGCATGCGCTGTGCTCCCAAGAAGCCGTGCACATAGCAGCCTCTGGGGGCCACGTGCAAATCTTCGGTTCAAATGAAGAGTCCAAAAAAGGCTCACTACATGCACGCGCGTTACTGTGCGCCTTTAGCAGCGTTAGGGGAGCTCTAGAAACTCTCAAACTTTTTAACTTCCTCCTCGGTTCCGCAACAGAAGGGCGTGCGATGATCCATTGCTTGCAGGGGCTGCGCACCAAACCACACACTTTGATCGCCCCGAGTACCACCCACCCCGAACACTCATGCACGTTGTAACGACTGAAGGATGCCTACGGAATGATTTTACCCATGATGAAACACACGAGAATCCTGATCGTGCGCTTCCGAAAACGCTAAAGAGGCGGCACACTGGAGGCGTCCAGTTCAGATTGCAACGCAGTGCCCCTGGAAATGCGATTTTTCGACCCTTCACCCAAATGCATGAAATTCTCTCCACGCGAGCGACCCCCTCAGCGTCAAACCATGAGACGTCTCGCACACGCTACTGCAACCTTCCACCGCTCCCACCAGGCCCCAAAGGCCGCCTTCAGACGGCGTGAACTCCCCCACTTCCCCCTTTCCCCCCCCAAAACGTGCTCCATTCGCTACCCCGCCTCTGATGCGCTTGCAGTTACGTACAACGTCAAGAGCCGATCCACTGCCAGTGCTCGTAGCGCCTCCAGCCGCTTCGACAAGGAAGGCGATGGGAGCAACCTCATAAGCCAATCGCAGCTTCGCGGGAGCCGCAGGACTCGCAGGATTGCAAAAGACGCCTTGGCTCTTAATGAACAGCTGATACACATCCGGCCCAATGCCTCCTGCGGACAGGTGAAGGTACACACGCGCGGAGTGGCGAGACAGACAGAGAAGGAGAGACAAATGAACGGCGTGGCAGAGAGAGAGAGAGACAAATGAACGGCGTGGCAGAGAGAGAGAGAGACAAATGAACGGCGTGGCAGAGAGAGAGAGAGAGATGGGCAGCACACGCTACTCTTTCCCCCATAACGAAAAAAAGCACACGATAAGATCGAGGCCTTTTCCACGCAGCGGAACTGGCCAGACAGAAAAGAAACTGCGCCGCTTTGCGGATTCTTTGAATTGTGCATTGAGAAGGTCACCGTCTCACCCGTGTAGCGAAGTGTGAGACGGTCCTTCATCCACTGCTGCAGCAAGGCGTTGTAAGCGGGCAGATCCTGCGCTGCTCTGAGATTGGCGGGCGAGAATATCTTTGCACCCGTCTTCGAAATCGTGCAGGGGCTCTTAACGACCACGGGAGACTCCCCGCTGCTGTCAGCCAACTGCAAGTCAAATGTATGGCCGCAAACAGAAAGCAGCGCTGTTGTACGCGGTCCGTAAATAACCAACAGGGAACAAACCTGCTGTCTGCCTGAGAAGATCAGCCGTCACACGGTCTACTTTGCACACATGTGAACATACATATATACACATGTCAATATATGTATATACATACATATATACACGGGTCAGTATATAATATGTACATGGACATGTATACATCTATAGAAACATGTGAATATAAATGAGATACACATGCGAATACATTTAATACATACATGTCCATATATATATATATATTGTATATATACATGCATGCACATTAGGAGACAGATCGACAGGCAAAGGGTCGAACGCAGCTGGTGTTTTTGTATAGGCCGTAGGGGGTGTTTTTGCACGACCTGTTGCGCCGATGAGGGTGTTTTCGCCGTTCCAATTTAAACCCTTTTGTCCAACTTGCCAGATGCCGAAGATGGAGGCGACTGCCCAGTTGCAATCAACAATGCTGCTTCCATCCAAAGGATCCCAGCACACCACTAAGGAACCTTCTGCGTTCATCTCCTGAGAGAGCAAGCCGCCCGCATCCCCAAGGAGCACACACGCACGCGCATATGTGCTCATTCGCATGCACGCAGGCTGCATCTCCAGAGGGCAAGCACTGAAACTTGTGTGTGTGTGTGTGTGTGTGTGTGTGTGTGTGTGTGTGTGTGTGTGTGTGTGTGTGTGTGTATGCGCACAGCGGTTAGGGGAGGGGGGAGGAAACGAGCGTGAGAAAGGCATATTTTTATATGCGAGAAAAAGCTTGCGCGGGTAGAAACGCGAAAGTGGTTTTTTCAAGGCCAAAGAGGGCTATGGAGGGACACATTTTTCTTTCGAGAGATATTAGTCGAGGAGACACTGGAGATAGCCAGGGAGAAAGCGGTCAGGATGAATAGAAACCTTCTAAGCAGCAGCAACAGCAACAAGCGCGAGGGCACCCCCGATGCAAGACACCGCACGCAGACAGAAGGAGAAAGGCAAGCAGAAGAGGATGATGTGGATTTGCATCGTCCTCGGGCACCTTTTCTGCACACAAGCGCTGGAAGTGGGCAGCCTGCCTCACCTTCAGTTGGGTTGCTTCTTCGCTGCTGACGGCTCTTACAACAGGGCACCCTTTTGCCCACTGCATCAAGAGTTCCTGTGCCTCCAAGTCGACAGACAGCTGCTGCTCTCCAAAGGTGTTGGTGGAGTTGGCAGCTGTCACGCGTGTGCTTCGAAGGGCACGCGAAATGTCTCCTGAACGGCAGCAGAAATACAACAGATGCCACTGAAGAGAAGCCTTCGCTATATGCACGGTGTGCTGAGCCACCATAAGGGCATGTCGTGCTGGTGGTGCAGTTATTATCGGATCCGACAACAGCAACAACCCTTCGATGATGCGCAGAGCAGCAGCACTTAAGGCCACCGCGCGATGCGCCTCTTCCACCAGGCAACACGCGAACGGAGGGGGGGAAAAGGGGAAAAACAGCCTTAAGAGGGGCTTCTTGAAGAACATGGAATGCAACGCTCAAGAGTGCCTCCCCATCTGACGGCAGCGGCGCCTTCCCATTGCAGTATGGAGGCTACGGCTCTCTACGCAGCTAAGCAGGGAAGATCTTGGCGCGGTACGTAGGACGCCTCCAAGTCTAGTCTAGGAGGGCAGACTTGTGTGGCAGACGTGGTGGTTAGAAAGGGGTAGGGGGGGAGTGCACACCCAGAAACTGCTGCACTATGCCCACCGCATTGCTCGAGAAGCGTAGGGATTGCGGTTTGAACATCCGGGTGTGCCGAGAGTTCGCACAGCAGTTCGGGGACACTGAGTCCAACATACGAGGCCAGTTTCGACATTTTGGACGTTGCAGAGCTGCGGAGAAACGCGAAAAAAACAGATGCACTCGCGAAATCCAGCGAGTTGCATGCACGCTCCCCTGTAGCGCGCAAGCTTTCAGCACGGCCAGCTGAAAGCACGGGGACGCAAGGGGCACACGGGCATTTCTTCTGTCTGGAGGCAGTAAGAAACACTAAAGCCCCTTTACAACCGCGAAATTTCAAGCTTCTATGCGCAGATTTGGGCTCACAGGCGGCTCAGGTGGAAAACCTGTGGGGGGGGTGGCTGTACACCGCACGACGTTCGAACTGATTTTCGTTGAAAGTTCTAGGAATTAGATGACTTCGCACAAGGTCGAAATTCGGGAAAAGAAGAGCGTTTGGCAACACAGGAGTAGGGGTGCACACCGGCCACGTGCGTCCCCGGGGTGACTGGGGGATGCTTGATCGCCCGAACACACTGCACACGGGAGGGTCGGGGCTGTTTCGTGGTCTCAATAAGGCGCCAAACGGCCTCGGCAGATCCTTTTTCCTCGAGTATTTTTGTCTTGTTAGAGGGTTTCCTTTTGCCGGCGTCGGCGATTTGATGGCATGGAAAACGCAGTGCGGGGTCCCCCTGAAGAAGGGGCAAGTCGGCTCGCCGTGAGCTGCCTAAGGGAAGAGATGCGCAGCGTGCTGCGTGATAATCAGCCAGAGCACAAGCCGTGGTTGCGCTGGCCGGGTACCTTCGAAGCGATTCTCGACAGTGATATGCAGAAGACGCTACGGGAATTTTTGACTAGCCCTTTGATCCACAGGGAAAGAATCAGGGAGGTAGGCAGGCTGCAGGAGGCTTCCTGAACAGGATACGATGCGCCAGACTGGCAGGGCGTTTTGGGAGAAGGCTGTGTCTAGGGAGGTGGCTGCTGCCCCTCCTGAGCTCCGATCATGGTTCTTCGTCTTATATCGAGAAACACCGAAGGATTCATGAGAATATACGTCATAGATGTACGAATTTACGTCTGTGTGCACGAACGTGTATCTGCTCAATGTGCTCTTGAATGTCTGTTGTGTGGGTGACTGGCTGGGGGTGTCGCTTCGGCGAGTGACCCCGATGAGGAGGGCCATGACATGGCCTGGAGTTTGGTTTCATTGGACTATGTACATGGTTTTAGAGCCGCTGCGCCTTTTCAGATACCTTTTTTTCCTTTTATCTTGCCAGCTGCCTCGCCTTCCTCTGAATTATCCTTGCTTGAGCCTTCCTCGCTCGAACGCGGTGACAACGACCGCAGATCTTCTCGCACCCCTGTCTCGATGCTGCGCGACGGCTCCTCCTTTTCAGGTTCAAACTAAATTTGCAAGCATCGCGGAGGCATCCGGAGTGGCATCAGAAGGGCACGCAGTTTTCCTACAAGGAGGAACTTCGGATGAATGGAGCCTCTATTCGTGTACGCCTCTTCTCGTTTCAGAGCGCGCGTTTCACAGCGTATCGTCGAGATGCATCTCATCATCTCATGAATGGTCTCCTGAATTTCCAATAGGGGATTTCCCTGTACCCACATATGTCTCGATATATAACATATCTATGATACAATAAATACTATGCATCCACATATTCATATTTTTATTCATCTGTTTACGCGAAAGGCGTGTTGGGAACGTGTTTTCGATGAGCCTTTACGCAGTGTTTCGAGGTGTACGTGTGAGATGCAATAGCACGTCTAGCAGCGTGTGCTCTGCCTCCTGCGATCTGCTGTCCCCCTCCTCCGCTATTTTCGCTTGTTTCGCTGTCGTGACTCTCCTGCGCGCGTTCTCCTTAGCCGACTGCACCAAGTGCCCCTTCCGCCAAGAGGCCTTCTTCCAGTACCTGTTGGGAGTCAATGAGCCGGATCTGTTGGGGGTTTTGATTCTGTCTCGCAAAGAAGTTCTTCTTTTCGTTCCTCGGATTTCCAAGGACTCCCTGAGGTACAAAGTTTGCGGACTGTCTTCCCTGCCTGCCGGTGTACACGCAGCTAGCACCTTCGCACATGTTTGTGCAACGCCTCTGTTTCTGGCAGGCTTCTTCCGTTTTGCGTGGCTACATAGCCAGGCGAGGATTGCATGCAAAGGAAGCTGCGATCCTCCCCTAGGAACGCGAAAAGCCCCCCAAAACGCATGCACTTGTTCTTTTCTGCGCTTCAGGTTCGTAGGCCCCCCCAAGAGCGTCGCCTTCTACCAGGAGCGCTATGGAGTTTCTGACGTCATTCCGTATGAGCGTCTCGACGAGGTCGAAGTGGAACTAAAGGTATGTGTGTATGTATAGCCCCTCCCCCCTCCCCCCCCAAACATATTACTACGAAAAGCACACAGATAAAGCCGTTTTCTGTAGACCCTCAACTCCCCTTTTAGGATACCAGTCTCGAGCGAGCGTTTCGTCTCCTCTAATGCTTTTCTTCGCGTCTAGTCCCCTCGTATCAAACCTCTCGTATTCTTTTTCTTCTCCTCCTCCTGATACTCCCCCTCCTACACCCTCCTACCCCTCTACCCTAAACCTTGCCCGTCCCTTTCCTTCCCTCCTTCCCTCTTTCCCTCCCCCCTTCTGCCGTACTCGAGCCACCCCTAACCTCCTCCCTGCTTCTCATATTTCCCCGTCTCTCTGTCTGTCTTTGCAGAGCCGTGGCGTCCACACTCTGCATGTTCTCCACGGCATCAACTCGGATAGCGGTTCTCCTGCGGGACCCCCCAACGCCCTCAAGAACTTCTCTGCCTTTCGCATTGACACCGCGAAGCTGCACGGCATCCTTGTCGAAAGCCGACTCTACAAGGTGTGTTAGGCAGGGCGCTTTGGGAAACTTTCTCTCGGCCTCCAAGCGGCGTACGACTTCCCTCAAAACTCCCAGCCAGTCGTGGCAGGTGCAGCCCCTTCGAAACTGCGCATGCGGAACTACTCCTGTCTGGCAGACACCCCTGGAAGCTGAGTTCTTGACCGCGGCTGCCTTATGTGCCTCGCAAGCCCACTGCTTTGTGGGGCGTCGCATTGCCAACTACGCGAGAGGGAGTCACCCACAACTTCCCCACAATGCCGTGCAGAGTGAAACCGAGGAAAAACGCACAAACAGCGGCTGCGAGACACGGCTAGTCGAGCTGCACGGCGAGGCCTTGTTCAAGGCTTTCGTTGGCGTTGCAGGAGGTGCCAGACACGTCGCTTACGACTGCATCTGCTGGTAAGAGCAGATGCTGCCCTTCCGCGGGTGTCTTCAAAGCCTGCTCTCTCAAACCGCCATCCAGTTAAGCCCCTACAACACACCAAAACTCTTTGCCAGCCACCCCCCAGACACACACACACACACACACACACACACACACACACACACACACACACCTACAAAGCCGGCTCTACGAAAGAGAGCACCTCGGACAAATTTCTGCACCAACATATATATGTGTATGAATACATATACATATATATTTACATATACTTTTATGTGGGTGTACGTGTATTTATGTGCATAGATGTGTGTAATGGCCTTAGTGTAAAAATCCGCGACCCCTGTCTAGACAGCTGGTTCCGTGATTTCCTATGTTCTTAGCTTCTTAATTCCACATCCTCTAAAGTGTCGGTGCAGTGCCTTCGCCATGATTGGCTGCATCGTATCGTGTCATGTCGCATCGCGTTCAAAACGTCTGCCTCCTATCAAGAACTGCTATCCTTGTCCTCTGTATTGCTTCAGTGCCGGCACACACGCATCAATTCTACACTACGGTCATGCAGGCAGGCCCAACGATGGCCTTATTAAGGACGGAGATTTGCTACTCTTCGATATGGTGCCTGTCTCGCATGCATGCCCTTCTTGCGTCCTCTTCTTCCTGCATGCATGCATCCTTGCGTGCTCACCTGTGCTTCCTCTGTGTCTCGCTTTTAGCCCTCTGCTTCGCGTTGCGCGATCTCCCTTCCGCACAAGGCTCCTCTGTCTTCAAGTGTATATCCACGTATATACTTTCGTTTCTGAATGCAAATGCGAGCCGCCGGGTGTCCTTAAGGCCACCCGTGTGTTTGAATGAAGGTGCATTGCACATGTGTATATTTATGTACATGTATGTGTTTTATGTGTGTATTTATATATATTTCACCTATATTTATTGCATATATGACTCTGCATACATGTATACATCCGTACGTATACATTCGTATCTGTGCGTGTGTGTATGTGTGTTGGCGTCTGTCATGAGGTTTTGAGTTTCCTGCTTCGTAGTTTCTGTTGTGCGCTGCTGTGTTAAAAGGGGGGCGATTTTTCTGGGTATGCCACGGACATTACTTTCACCTTCCCAGCAAATGGCGTCTTCACGGAGATGCAGAAAGCGATTTACTCAGCAGTTCTGGATGCGCAGCAAGCGGTTCTAAGGAGGATGAAGCCCGGTGAGAGATGGACAGCGCTACACCGACTAGCGGAACGCGTCATCTTGAAGCACCTCAAGGTAACAACATCGCTTCATTCCAACCTCCAGCCGCTGCTGCATCAACGCGTGAGAGACAGGAGCACGCAGCGTGACAGGCGGATGCTTGCGAGGTGGAGGATTGCACTTTTTCCGTCCACTAGGCACTGCAGACCGGCTCTCTTACGTAATAAAATGCGCATATGTGGCGTGCTGCTTCCGTTGCCACACGCACTCTCTTTTATGTTTCCCAAAGGCAGCCTGCGCGGTGATCCGGGAAGGCTTCCATGTGCTGCTTCGAAAATGGCTTGCTTCCGTATGACATACAGATTGAGTTGTTCTCCTCTGCTTACTGCCCATTTCGTGCTGCAGCCCGCACTCTTTCTCTCCTTCTCTGTTTCTGAGGCCTTCCAGCTCTGCAGTAGCATGTCTTCCTTTCTTGCAGACGGGAGGTGGGGGCAAGCGCCACCATCCGGATGCAGAGAGCACCGCTGCATACAGAAAGAATGCGCGACGCTGTACATATATATATATCTATACATACATATACATACGTACATATACATACATATACATACATATCTATTCGTACATATCTGTACATACATATACATATGTATATACACATGCATATGTATACATACGTATATATATATATATGTATACATACATGCATATATAGACGTACATTTATATACATGCATATCTATACGTACATATATAGACGTACATATACATACATACACACATATACATATAGATACATGTATATTCATACACATCTATACATACATATGTATACGTACATATGTATATATATACATTTATATACATACATACATATACATACGTACATATACGTACATACACATATACACACATATGTATGCATACGAAACCCTATCTGTGAGAAAAAGATGACTGAGAAAACCCTGCCTACTGCGCATCGTTGGAGGGCAGCCCTTTGACGCGCCTTTGTCTTTTTAGAGTTTGCTGCCTGCTGTAGTGTTGGTGTTTTTCAGGATCTAGATTTACTCGTTGGCTCGCTGGAGGCGTGTGAAGCAGCAGCGTTGGGGAGTGTCTTCATGCCACACGGTTTAGGGCATTTTCTAGGACTAGACACACACGACGTGGGAGGTTTTACGGCTTCCTCGCCTCCGAGCAACGAGCCAGGCCTGTGCTACCTTCGAACAACCAGAATATTGGAAGAAGGCATGTGCATTACAGTTGAACCTGGTAGGGAGACGGTTACATAGGCTCAGCGAGGCTTTTCTCCCAGGCGTGTGCGTGTGGTGTAGGAGGCAGTGTGGGTCGGTAATGCGTGGGCATCCGTGTCTCTTTCTCTGTCTCTTTCTCTTGCTGTGCGGAAACGTGCGTCGTGCGTGTTGTGTTGTTTTGAGTGATCTTCTTCGCTTTCTGCGGAGGAGGAGAAGAACGGGGGTATTCTGGAGCAGAGCACAAGTCGAAAGACGTGTCAACCCTCTTGTCGAGGGTTTTCTTTTGCCTGCCGCGTTCCCTTTCAGGCTGTTACTTTGTAGAGCATCTGCTAAAGAAGGCTGCAGCCGATCCGACACAGGCCTCGTAAGGCACCTGCACCTGAGTGCAGAGGGGTGGGAGGGGGCAACAGCGTTTGCTGCCTTGGCACTCTCGCCTTCGCTGCGGCGCGCATCAGTTTTGGGGTATCGGTGCCTCTGTCGAATCGAAGCGGGCAGAGTTGCGAGCAGAAATCCCTTCTAACGCTGTGGCATCTCCTGTAGAGAAAGGGAGAGGGAGAGAGAGAGACAGAGATATAGACAGACAGGGAGAGACAGACAGACACAGAGAGAGACAGACACACACACACACACAGAGAGAGAGAGAGAGAGTCAGAGACGCTACGACTGACAATCGACGACTGTTTCATAGGTCGCCTTGCGCGCTGCCTTAAGGCATGCCTGCTTCCTTTCTCGCTGCTACGCGGTCTGACTGAAACCTGGCTAGTTGTTGCTTGTCGAATTTCTTGCAGGCTCATGAACCTCCCGGAAATCCAGAAGTATGTGCATGTGGGAGGCGTCCGCCTGGAAGACGATGTTATTGTGACCAAGACGGGGATCCTGAACCTTACAGTAAGCTCTCTTTCAACCCGATAGAGTTCAAGTCTGCCTATGTATATATGTACATATATATATGTATATATATATACATATATATATCCTCTCTGCCGTAAGGCTGGCTTCGAATCACTTCCTATCCCGCCAGCCAATGACCCCTCAAAGCAGCCAGCCTTTTCTTGCGTGGAGCTGTTTAGCCTTTTGTGGATACAAAGCTTCTTCCGTCTCTCCTGCTCTGTAGCGCCCTTCTCCTGCCCTGGAAGTCTGCTCCCTGCAGCGTTGTTATTCTACCCTGTTAGGGATTTCCGCAGGAAGCCTCGCCTCGTTCTTTTGCGACAGCGGCGCACACGCCGACGGCCTCGTGTGCTCTCTGCTACGGGTGCCTGCAGGTAGTTCCGCGTGCAGTCGCAGACGTCGAAGAGTTGCTGCGCCTTGCCCCTTGAGCCGTAGCACAGAGGTGGGCAGAGACCGATAGAGGGAGGCCTGAGATACGAGAAACTCCGCCTCCTGCCTTTTTGAATCCACACGTTCAATTCGACAGCACTCTCACGGGGACAGATGTTTGTTCGCATGCCTTCTTTTTGACTCCTAGCTGCGTCGCAAGAACAGCTTTAAGGCTAGCAAGCCCACGCACACTCCCCATTTTGCGCTGCACTCATCAAGGGAGGCATAGGGAAGAAACCGACCCGCTTACGCGGAGCCTCAGGCATTCCTGCGTTCTCCAACTCCAGCAAGGCCGGTAAATAGGCACTACGCTGTAGATGTGCTGACTTTCCAGCAAGCGGCGGGCTGCCTAATGAGCCACCCCTCTCTCGAGAGTCTAATTACCTCGACTCGAAGATGCTTCCATACGAGCTGGCTAGTCCTGCGAAGTTGTTAGCTCCAAGAACGAAAGAAAAAACCAAGGGTGGCCAAAATAGTGCCCCTCCTCCTAGCTAGCACGCATGCTAAAAAACCAAGCGTATAAGCTTAGATAGGTGCTCGGCCCGCTTCTTGGGCCTTTCTTACTAGAAACGTCGCCCCTATCCTAAAGCGTTCGCCTGCAATAAAAGGAGAAAGGACTCCTGTTGCCCCCTCCCCACCCTCCCCCGTTAAGCCGAAACTGCTGGCAACAAAAGGAAATCTTGACACGATGTCAGAGAGTACAGTGCCGAATACATACAGTCCGCGCTATTCAGCATGCACTCCTTGCCTCGCGCACAGTATATATACATTTCCGCGAAGCGGAAGGGTCTTCCTTCTCACTCTCCCTGTCTTTGATAGTTCTCAACTCTTTGGCGTGCTGCCCACTCGCCTTCTTTTGCAACAGTGCCGACAGCAGGAAGAACGACCTACACGCTAATGGAGACAACAGTGACTGGACAAGTCAGGGGCCCGTTGTCTCGGTGCGTGCTCTGCAGACTCCGCGTGATCACGCCGCGTTTGTTAAGGCGGGTCGAGTAGGCGTGTGGGGGGTTGGGGAATCTTGTGCTATTGGCCGTTCTTCTTAGCGTGCAACACACGCGGCGGAGGGCCGTTGAGCAAAGAGACGCATGCCATGCAACACGAGGTGGCTTTCTCGTGTCAGTTGCCTCAGATAAACACAGACATTCCCAAGGAGGCCAGCCTCCCAGGTCCCCGCCTACTGTCCCTGTAAGCACCAGCAACAGCACAAGACCACCAGGGCAGGAGCTTGAATCGCGCGTTCGTGGCTCCGCTGCATGATGTCTCTTCAAGCCATAGGAATCGGCACTTCCTCCGTCTTGTGAGAACGTCCCCCGCAGCCACACATAGAGCCCCAGAAGCCGGGGTGCTGGTCCTGCGCGTAAAACAGATGACGCATCAAATCGAAGCAGTCATTCGATCAATTTTTCAATCGAACGCCTTATTGGAGGATGCACGCTTGAGTCTGCTTCTCGCCGGAGGCGCTAGCAACGAGCAGTGCCTCTCTATCGAACAGCTGACAAGGCGAGAAATTCCGGACGCCACGCGCCTCACCAGTCCAGGCACGTCATCAGATATTACGACCTTTCAAAAGCAATGAGCGCAGGCAGCAACGCACAAGACACGAAGACCATCGATCTGCGAAGCTCCATGATTCGCACGGAGCCAGTACAAGTCTGCTCTTTCCTGAAACATGGGAACTGCCTAGCGTGGGTGCGAGCCAACTACTAACTGGCAACGGCTGCTCCCCCTGAAGAAGGGCTGCAAAGCCTTCTAAAAGTGAAAACAACGAGACTCTCCCTGTACCGGAGCTAATGTGAACTGCCGTGAATGTGGCCGTGCAAGGAAGGCCCTCTGTCCGGGGGCGTTAGCTAAAGCAAGCAGACCTATTTTTACTGGCCTGAGCCGCGCTGTAGGAGCCGCGTGCCTCTCTCACCACTTTCGGCAATTCGTCTTCTTTGCCACTGGCAGGAGGAATCTCTGGATCGCGAGCTTCCGGCTCAGGCTCAGGAGGGGGCGTGGGTGGTTTTTCGGGTCGTGGGGTGGCGCCGTATTTTACAAGCAGCTCATACACTGAGAACGCGCGTCGCATCCGCATGCACGCCACGAGAGAGAGGAATTTGCATAGCCACTCGACGATGACACGGAACAGGCCATGGAGCAAAGCGCACTTGTTGCTCCGCTCAGACAGAGAGAAGGAAGGGTGATGAAACTACTGGGAGCGTCCGTATGTGTGGCGGTACTCAGAAAGGGAAGCTACTGCACAGCGACTGAGCGTTTCATACAGAAAGACGACACAAAAGGCAGCACGCAGACCAAACGGAAAGGATACACACACACTGCAGATGGAGGCATTACGCAACATAGTTATTGTGGCATTCACAATCAGATGTACAGGCACAACGAAAAAACCGCAAGACGGCACTTCCTCGCTCTCCAACTTCTCACTAGGGGAGCCTTTCTCGCATCGATCAAGGGCCGTTCGGCCTTCACTATCCTCATCATTTATACTTTTACTCGCTCCCCTTTCCAGCATGGCTTGCACCCAGTCTATGGGCACCTATAGAAAGCCACAGGCACAAGACCTAAAGAACACGAAAGGGCTCTCAGAACAAACACACACCAGCTGGGAAGGAAGAAGCAGGCACGGGCAGATCAATAGAAGCCTTGCCACACTGATGCTTGTTCAGACACTTGCAAGACTGGCATATAGTGTCCTTTTGCCCTCAACCGTTCTGCTGCTGTAGCACTTTGGTTGTGTAGATCGATAGGTATGCCCTCTATTATGCTACTCCCTCCAATTTGAGATTTCTTCCCTTGGATGCTTGCAAATGGGGGAGACAGGTGGCTTTAAAGCGCTAGATACCTGTTGATCGCACGCCGTCATGAGCGCGGTGCTGCCATCTGTTGCCTTTGTGTTCAGATCCAAGTCTTCTTGCGGCAGAAGGTATTCAATGACTTTTTTCTTTTGCAGCATGATAGCCATCTGTAGAAGAGTATACTTTGAAGCGTTGGAGCTGGGTAGGCGGACAAAGAGAGCGACAAACAAAGGCACAAACAGGACCGTGGAGTTTGCACTATCAAAGAAAACCCCACACGCATTCTCTTCCAGCTATTTTGCTCTGCCGCCCTTTCATGTAATGCTTGGCCTCTCTTGAGACTGGTTGCCGTCCTTACTTGTCTTCCATGTCTGACACGGGCTGATTCCAGTACCTCTTCATGGCCTTCACCGTTCCCAAGGAACCGTCTATAGGGAAGAGCACCATACGTGCGCCATGAGCCTTTCCTAACTAGACTTGTATGGCACTGAGAGCCACGTTATGGAGGAGCTCCGAATTTCAATAGCCAGTACTAAAGGCGTAGGAAGAAATGAGAGAGATAAAGACGTTATAGCACAAGTGGGGGCATGGAATTGTTTTCTTCTTGGAAATCGGATTCACGGATATGTTTGCTCGGACACTACACTTTAATGGAATACAAGAGAGACTGTGCTGGCTACAGAGCTAGCACAGGAGGACGCGAAGGAAAGAGGGAGAGTGAGAGTGCGTGGCAGGGAAGCTGGAGGAAGGGGAGGGGGCACAAAGATATGCCCCTCTCCATCTGTCTATACATGTGCATGTACTATTGTTCGGATTCACTTGGATTCTGGCAAATTGCATGAAATTCTCGGGAATTAGTACATTGATTCAATATGCAATACACTGGCCTCCTTTGACAACAAAGCAGTTTATCCTTCTTACTGGCAATAACTGATTTCTCCAAATGGAAAGTTGCCATTTTGCTTGTCTCTCTTCTTGAGCAGACAGCTTCAAGGATGGTCTGCTGAAGGGTGCGACGCAAAAACACAGCAAGTGAAACATATCCACACACCAGAAACCCTCGAAGGGAGTAACCAAAACTTCGCAAAGAACAACAGAATGGGAAGCCAGGAGGTCGTCTTGAGGGCCACAGAAAGCCACACGGCGGTTGCAGATAGGCTGAGATAAGGGCAGTCGCGGAATTACAGAAGAAGCTGCTGCGCTTATCGCGGCTGAAAGGGTACCGAGGCAATGACGCAGAAACGGGCTTGTAGGCTAGGCGTTAGGCCCCGACGTAGATATTCGCCCGGTACCCCATCAGAATAGTACAGGAAGAGATAATTGAACAGTTGAACCTCACCTTCTAATGAGCGAGTCCACTACCCTCGGTTTTATACGATAAAACGCTTCGATGCAGCGGGTGACGCGTTGCTGCCGTCACCGCCGCTTTTTTCGCTATTTGCCACTGCTGTACGCTTGAAGGACCTTTAGCCTTAGCAGTCAGAAAACATAAATAGCCATAAAATGAGGTAGGCTGTCTGTGGTCTGCATCCATGCTTTCCCCAGGATCTAAGCCACCGGATTAAGGCCCCGGGAGCCAGCGGTGGTGGCTCGAGGTGGGCGGGGAGCAGAAAAGTCCTTCTATGTTATTACTGGACATGAGAAAGTAGGTTCAATTCAATTTCTTTCTCAAGCGAATTGAGCTTTCGTGAGTGGCTTTGTTTGGGGGGTCCGAGGCAGCCATCCCCCAACCAGCCAACACTGAATCTAGATGGTACAGGCATGCCTCGTTGAACTGCTTCACACGGTGGTGTTGTAGCGGGTAGGCCCCCAACCTGTTAAAGCAGAAACAGAACGCATCCATTATTTGCTTTCTTGCCCTCCCTAATCATCCTTTTCCTGGTGTTGTGCAGCAGAATTGACAGGATGAAGAAGCATAAATACGCTGCTGTTTGCATATTACATGAGCACCTAAATGTAGAACCACATCATGAATGAAGCGTGTTCATCTTCTCCTTTTCTTCCACCGAGCCAGCCAATGTAGAAGTATCCCTAGGGAGCCTTCCACTGGTGAGAACCGGCGATACGCTATAGGTGACAGGGGCTTCCGTTGTTTGGCGCGCTAGATCTTACCATTTAAAACCCTTTCACGGCATGTGCGCACTTACAATATAGATGTCCGCCTCTGATGACCTCAACACATTGACTCAATCGTTCTTTACAATGGCTTCCTGGTTCTCCCCGCAACTTTGTTACTACAAGCACATCTCTACTATTTTCTGACCATCAGAGAGGCCATAATGTTTCCGAACGCAGAGGGTCGCATTAGCCTCCATTCTAGCGGCATAAACCCTAAAGAAAGTGTAGTTTGCAGCTAGTATTCTTCGACACTGAATATACCCGTACACTCCAGCACTACCCTTGTAACGCCCCATTCAAAGTCTCTGCAAGGAAACCGTTAACTACAGAGTTGACACAAACATAGTAGAAAGTTCTTGAGTCTTTTCCAGAAAACTCTTGCGATACTCTCCTTGCGCCTCTCAGAGCCAGTGATATGAGGGGGGAAGTACAACTCAGGTGCGCGTGGCTGCACCCTCTATGCACTTTGGGCTTTCACAACTAGTTGCACATGCAATCTAGGGCACACGCACACAACGCTAAGTCTTCTAGTGTCAAGCTAGCAGACCTCTGCGATAAATCAAATTTGTGAACGGACAAGCCAACCAGTCGGTTCTTTATGGATCCTTAGCTGAGCACAACCATTGATGGAGAAAATCTTTGATTGTACCTTATCCCGCCACACCTTTCCCCCCAATTCAACAAAACGCCCTTCTCTCTCCTACCGGTTTATAGACACGAGGTGCACACAATGAAGCGGAGTTATCGCCCTACTGCCATTCCCCGTGCCCGCGGAAAGACCAAAACACTCAATACGAGAAGAGCACACGTGTATATCGACAGCTATAGTGAAGCCAATGGAGGGCAGGTACGCACACTGGCCAACAGAAAATACTGGACGAAACGAACTCGCCTATGACAGCTTGATGCCTAGCTGTCGTTGGAGCGATGAAAAGTGTGAATGGGTTCCTGCTACGAGAAAACGGAGGGCAGAAGTGTGAAGGGGATCAAATGGCGCTAGTTCAGCAGTGCTTTCGCGCCTCATAGATCGATTTGTGCATGCCTATAGAACACTTGCATGCAGCGCAGTCTACTGCAAAGCCCAATAAAAGGAGCAAGGAAGGATCTACGGGCAGCTTATCTGATAGTGCTCGAGTAGAATCTGTGTGTACAAGAAACCATAACAATGATAATCGGCAAACTTCCAAGCAATACATACTGATAAAGGTAGCTCCCTCAGGCATGGCATGCGCTGGGAAAGGACAATCAACAAGGGTTGCAAGGAACACCGTTTATGGCAAGTCGAGTTGTTAGTTGAATAGCGTCGCAAAATCTCACGCGAAGAAGCTCACAACCGTTCCTCCAGGAGCCAGTAAGGTTGGTCTTTGCTCCTCCGTTTCACTGGTAAATTCCGTCTGGTGTTTCCCTAGCTCTGATTATCCCAGGATCCAATAATTCTACGGCCAGGAGTAGAATGTCCGCCTCCACACGGGTCACCAACCTGCGCAGCAAGGTCCGCAAATACTTCAATGGTATTTAGAATATCTAAAGGGACATTTTATTGACAGTTTTACACCTCCGAATGTAGAGGAAATCAACAGAATGAGGAACATCAATGATTCTCGAAAGAATGGCAGATGGCTCTATCTGCCTGGCCGCAAAATTCTTCGTGCAATAAGGGACACCTTCTGGTGCACGTCGTGAAGCATACAGGTCCACCAGGACCTAAACTCCAGGCTCCGAGAATACAGCCGACTACCAGTTATCGTAGTTCCGTCCTTGTTTCTCGAGCTTTTGGCATACATTTGCGTGCACTCACCGGCGGAGTTCTGGATCTCTTCATCGTAAAGGGTGGCTGCTCACCCTGAACCAGTAGGTTCTGGCCCAAATGAGAGGAAGGCTCCTCACGGTGAGTTACGGATGCATATGGGTAACGAGTAGAAGAGTGTAGTATCAGAAGCCTACTCAGTACAAGGACGACACTCAGGCCAAGCAATTGGACATTTCTGAACATACAGTCGGAGATACTTCCGAAGAGTGCGGTTGCACCCGGTGTGCAAATCGGTCTCGGGGTGCTTCTTTGTGGTCATATTATGCCCAACGTGGAGGTGGGTAATGAATGCACGCAAAGTGCACCAATGAGCACGGGATGCCAGTACGTAATGATACCGCTGTGAAACATGTGGAGCCTTCAAAAATGAGTTCAGAGTACGTGGGCGACTTCCTGAGGTGTGACAGCGCTGGAACATGATATTGTGCAGGCATATGTGGTAAGCGCCCGGAAAACTACGTAGATGCTATTGTGATCATGGACCTTAGGCAGTCGAACAATGATGTCCATATTGAGATCAGTTAAGGCATTTTAGAAACCGGGACACTTTGAAAAATGCAGGGTAAAGGATATGGGTTAGCTGCAGCTGCTGTCAACCTGAACCTGACAATGCATACTCCTCTCCCATTGGACGCATACCAGGACACCAGGAGGGCTATGAACTCCTTTTCACTATAGTGTGCATTGCACTCTCCTGAACGAACATCATGTGCATTGCGCATAACATGACTGGAGAGCGATCTCGCAATGTAAAAGTACGAAGTTTTCGTTCTAGTTGAATCACAACAGTCCATTTTTCACGAGGTAGTGCTTCACCTTCTTGCCGTTTTGAAGCTCTGCAATGCTCGCGGATGTATGGGTGTCAAGAGCATAGAACTCGCGCAATGTTGATACAAACTGAAATCATTATAGACAAGAGGAGATGCCCATAACATTAATAAACTGCGGAGGCGTCGCGAGAGCGCTTTGCTACAACGTTCGTGATTCTAGAAGCATACTTTTCTATAATGTTGTGCTGCCGTTGGCGTCCAGGCCAGCAAACCACTCTAAGAGTATCAACATACCCACAACTCTTTATAACACACTATAAGGACTAATGGTTAGTCTGCGCAGCATAATTGCTGCCTTCGTATGAAGGGTTCTACTATTTTTCTCACCTTACGACACCTCAGAGAGGTTTATACCTCTCGTTAATTTTGGTGAAGCGCTGAGGGTAACCAGCAATTACACGGTATTTTGGAAGACTCAGAGCCTGCGAGGAGAAAATAATACTAACGGGCTATCAGTATCAATTGCAAGTAAAGAAGGCGCTCGCAAGCGGACATTTGGTTTACATTAGCGTGCAGGCCGGCTTCTGCCGCCCCATCAAGCGTTCCACCAAGGTCAACTTCCATAGCCAGAGGATATTTTTCAATGCTGTCAAATATGACAAGGCTATTGAATCACCAAATGGCGTTATTACGCCCCGGCAACTGCTCCAGGAAAGCGTGACACCCCACTACATCAAAAGCTTCGAAGAGCGGGGAACAGGTGCATCGGGCCATGCGATGCTACCAATTGTAGGATCAAAGATCATTACTCCGGACTAAATACAAACTTAATTGGGTTTTACTGGATATATTTCACAGCGCCTCCATCCTTTTCTCTGGGTGTACCCCTTAGAGTTCCCGACACTAGAGCCGAGGGATAGGTGTGGTCCTGGTAGCTGCTTCACGTGAGCAATCCGAGTATTCGCAGCTAGTTGCACATAGCATCTAAAGCATCTGCACACAAAAGCATTGCGTCTTCCTGTACAGAGATAAACTAGGTCGGCAATAAAATTTGGTACACGAACAAGCAAGCCTACTACATTTTGGGGTGCTTGTTTGTTCGTATACCATGCATCAGAGTGTAGGCTTGTCCGCTACACCTTTTGTATTCCCATATACACAAAAAACATACGTTGCAAGCTGTTACCTCTGGGAGGCCTAAAACTCGCTATACGCTGCTGTATATGTTGTGTTGCTTTTCCTTTATGCAGAGCCTGGAAAGGAACAATCGGCGTGCCTGCTTTGAGACATTGAAATACCTCAGGGAAGCAGCCTCCCCGATGGCAGCTCTGCATAAGGGTTGTGCCGATTAAGCTCTGTCATCTTTCCTGTAGTTCACTGGTGTTTAATGTGACATTGCTTCACCTGTAGATGCAAGTGTACTGTAGTTAGAGCCTGGAGTTGCGGCGAAGATCCTAGATGCGCGTATGTGGTATCCACAACAAAAGCACAGATTCTGAAGATCTGTCCTGCTTTGGTTATGGGTGGCGGCTATAGCACGCCTCTGCCGCCTTGTCTGCCAGCGATGCTTGGGCATGGTATGCACCGAGACAATGGTACTGAAACTATTACGTGCGATGTCTGCCGTTCTGGATCTGCTTCTGATTGCCTGAATTCTTGTTCCTGGGGGATTGCATACACTTGCCTGCGTTTCTACTGTTGCGACCTCCATGACGTTCAGTGTATACGCCACGTGGTCACACTCATGCTGCAGTTACCAAAGAGCACTCCGATTCACTGTATCACATCAAGGATTTGCAAGCTTCCTTCAAATTGCATTCCTGCCTGTAGCTAGTACACTGCTCTATAAGTACAGCTTGATTCAATTACCACCATGGAACCAAAGTAAACAGGGTGCTCGCCTTCGCTGTGTGCACTCGTTGGTCTGAGCAGTGTTTGTGCCACATGTGCCACAATCCCCCGAGAAAGGCCAATGGATTTGTGGAAGTTCTATTTGCCGAATTTAAGCCTAGCAAAGTGTTTTAGTTAAAATATGTTAGGATTAATTATAATTGATTCTTGGTGAAGCAACAGTGTGGCGCCCTCTTCTAGGGCAGGGCTGTGCTCTAGTGGTCCTGTGCCGATGCAGCAACTAGCTCGCACCCTGTATAGCATATTGACCTCAATCCGATCCTGGGGAGAGTAACGCATGCCATTGCTGTGTTATTTTCTTTTAATAGTGTGGTCTCTTTAGCTGTTTTACCTAAACGCTTTTCCCACCACAAGTACTCCAAGGCGGCGGCAGCACCCAGATGCCTCATAAAACAGACAGTGTTGCGAAGGTGGGAAACGGGATGTGCCCTTTGTTTTCACCTCCTCATTTGTATTTCGTCGAGTACAGTCTTCCTCCTATGGGTGCTTGGTGAAGCTTCGCCTCTTACTTTGTGTCTCGGGGACAAATTTGTTGCGGAAGCGGGTAAATCCTTGACTTCGTGATGCGTCGACCGCTTCTTACTGCTTGCGAAGAAACCATAAAATGGACACTCTTCTGGTAGGCTCCGAAGCACGTGCTTCATTTTAGCGTCTCTGCGAAGCCCGTGCAGCGTAATCCGTAGGCTCATGGAGTGTCCTAGCATTTTCACATGTACCTAGCTCAACAGAGCTACAGTTTTTAAGCGCTCACAACAACTCACAGGAGGTAAACAGACCCTTCATGCGAGTGGAAACCATTCTGGAATTGCGCGTTTGAAGAGAGATTATTCTAGCTGGGGGCTACATTGTTTCGGGAAGCCGTGGTAGCGTTTCAGATTGCAGCGCAGGGAAATCGCTGGATGGGAGCAAGCGAAATTCGAAAACGTTTCTCCAGGAAATACAGTTTTTTATGCTCTGTTCAGGACCCGAGAACAAAACACCTCTACATTAGCCCGTGCTCGCCGTTCAGACGATTCGTAGTCAAAACTCCAACAAGGCAAGAACTCTACGATGCTGTGGCCGGTGCGCAAATGCATGTTTCGAGCATAGTGCCTACGTGTTTAGGACGATTGATGAGCCTTCGGCTATGGCCAGTAGGCCTCGGAGCTTTGAAACTTTGGTGACGCCACCCAGTGAACAGAGATCGCCTCCATCAATTGCTGTTGTTGCCTACACCAACAGCCACAGACGCGCGGTCCTTGGCCTCTCTCTCCTGGGATGTTGGAGTCTCCAGCCTTCGCGACTGATTCTTTGAACTCGCCTTTAACACTTTCTTTTGCGCTGTAGGAGGAAACCTCGAGGCATTGCGGAATTACAGGGCTCATATAAACACTCCAATATGCACCTATAGACAACCGTAAGCGCACCTCGCCCCATTTCCACTCTCTATCGTTCTGTGAACCCTCTTAGTCCACTTCTACTATGTCCATGTCATCCGTCATGCATCTCTCAGTAAGACTGCGCAGATGCATCCCGCGCGTTACGAACCCTCACGGCTCGCGCTACCTTTTCTACTTTGTACAGTTGACACCCGCCTTTCTTGCTGGTCCAGCTGGTCTTCCCTGATTCCTCAGCTAAAGCGGCTCTTCGTTAGCTTGGCTGTTGATAAAACTTTGCCGATATGCGGGCTGGTAATAGTTTCGTCACTGTGTCGTTTTGAGGATCTAATTCCTCCGACCGTCGCTTTGCATCCGCCTTGTTGTGCACCCACCATGCGCCATTCGCAGCGGATACGGAGAGCTCTTCACAACGCCACAGCTCTGTCTATTGCTGCAACAAGACCGCCTGCTTAACTATCTTTTGGCGGACCCTTTCACAGATGTCGAGGCCAGATCGTATCCCAGTGGATGGACCTTGCTGATGATTGCATGCGCCGCCGAAGTAATGATGCCTTAAATTTATTGCACTATCCTATGCATAATGTGTATCTTGTAAGCCGTCCTGTGCCTCGCTAGGTTGTGTGCGTATGCGTGTACCTCCGACCCCTTGTGGCGTACTTTTCACTTTCTCCCGACCGCTGTTGCAAGGTTAGCCCTTCTCTACTGCTGCCCTCTCTCTCCCCATTGCAGAGCAATTCTGTGCCCTGCTTCCTCATCAGTTGGGTGGTTTGCCAACTGTGTACAATATGAAACACCAAGACATTGCAGGATTCCTTTTTGTGTGTGGCGTCTGCTGTAGCACACTGTTATCCTACCCCTCGTCTTATGCCACATTGTCACCGCTCCCCCTTTTGCAGTGCCGAATCCCTTCGGTTCTTCTGCTGAAACGAGCCCCAATCGTACCAAAGGCTAGCCTTCCCATGTTGCAGAATGCCACTGTCGTTAGCTTTCCCGCTTCAGCTCTACAATTGCTCGCTTGCTGCGCCGCAGGCATCCTTGGGCATCATTAGCCTCATTATTCAGAGGATGAGGTCGGAGGACCATATAAATGTCCTTTGCGCCTACGGAACTGCAGCCTTGAACCTTACGAAGCCGGAAAGTAGCGGTAAGCAAGGAGCTTGTAAAATTGAACTAGCAGACACAAGTGGAATTAGGGTATCCCTTTCCGGCCGATGGAGAAAAAGCCCAGGGAGACAGACAAAAAAAGGCACTGGTTGCTCACAGAGGATGCCTGCGTACCTCGAATGAATTTTTGGCAGTATCCCCTGGCTAAAAGCAGCTAGATCAAGCGGTTGGTTTCTTCGTTTTTTGCGTGCTTTCAGCGTACTTGATGTTGAGGGCTCGCGGCGCGCTGAGGGCCAGCGAGATACTTGGAACAGGGGAAGCCAATCAGGGCGATTCAGAGTTGAAAGATAAGGACACCCAGAAAGAAACACAAGACCCATTCAGAGCATTTAAGAACGACATTGAGGCGAGAAAGCATACTGGAAAAGCCAGACTGCAAGAACTGGACGCAGACAGAAGGATACAGCAGGAACAAAAACTCGAGGAAGAAGGAGCAAACCAACGGACTCAAATGTGGGGAGCCACACAGAGAGACGTGGAACAGGAGAAGGGCAAGCAAAAAGAGGAGCCGCCTCCCGTTGGCAGTAAGCCGCAGAAGAATGCAAAGCGTAGCAAGGAGAAAACGTCAGTGCAGACATCTGCCGCTGACAGAAAGCTGCAGAAGGAGGAAAAAGGGGGCAGAAAGAAGGCGGCAGAGCAGGTGCCTGGCGTAGACACGAAGCCGCAGAAAGAGGGAAAGCGCGAACAGCAAGAGCCAGTGCAGGCACCTGACGTTGACAGAAAGCTACAAAAGGACGAGCGAAGGACCGTGGAGAAGGCGGCAGAGCAGCCGGATTCCGTTGGCAGTAAGCCGCAGAAGAATGCAAAACGTAGCAAGGAGAAAGAGTCAGTGAAGACATCTGCCGCTGACAGAAAGCTGCAGAAGGAGGAAAAAGGGGGCAGAAAGAAGGCGGCAGAGCAGGTGCCTGGTGTAGACACGAAGCCGCAGAAAGAGGGAAAGCGCGAACAGCAAGAGCCAGTGCAGGCACCTGACGTTGACAGAAAGCTGCAGAAGGAGGAAAAAGGGGGCAGAAAGAAGGCGGCAGAGCAGGTGCCTGGCGTAGACACGAAGCCGCAGAAAGAGGGAAAGCGCGAACAGCAAGAGCCAGCGCAGGCACCTGACGTTGACAGAAAGCTGCAGAAGGAGGAACATAGAGGCAGAGAGAAAGACAGAGAGGGGAAGCAGTCAGCATCCGGACGGCCGAGAAATGGGAGCTCTAAGGCCAAAAAGGATGCTGTGGTTTTGCGACAGCACATCGGCAGTGTAGAACGCGTCACATTGCTTCCTCAGGGAGAAGGGCAAGAAACGAAAATAGCTGAAGGTTTCAAAGCTGCAACGACAGTGTCTCCTGAGCATTCTAACACCGGAGCTCGCATCCAGGTTGAGACTTCCAGAAAGCTACAGACGGCATCTGGAGGCCCTGACGATCGTCAAGGCAACAAAGGAGGCCTCGGAAGTCGTAAATCTGCTTCAACAAGAAATGTTTCTGCTTCTTCTGGGATACAAAAGCCCTCGTCCTCTGGAGAGCACCTCGACGAGGCAATCCAGCCAACGGGGAGGATAAGCAGTGGTCAGAGACAAACCAACAGTAGCTTTACTCTTCTTTCAACTCCAATGGACGCCGCCCCCTCTGAGGCTCGCGAGACAAAGAGCCGTAGCGAAACGTCTGCATTAGCCTATGTAGGGGCTTTCTCTGCACCTGATTCTACAGCAGCGAAAAAGGCTTCTTCAGGAGCTCAGGTTACCGAGCAGGCAGCTACTCAATCAGAGGCACATCTAGAGTCGAAACGATCCGGTGGCGCACTTACCAACAGGCCTGTGGGTGTCGCTCCAAAGGATGCAAGCTCTACAGGCTCTTATACAGTAGATGGCAGCGGGAAAGGTCTGGCACCGTTGGGCCCTCGGTTCGCAGGCAAGCCTACTAGTGAAAGTAGCCCCCTGGAGCAGAATAAGCAGGCTGGGCCAAAAGGGCAGCTTCGCGAATCTAAGAATAGGAACCTTCACTCTGCCAGCGCACAAGACGGTTTGAGTGGCCTTCCGACTGCAAAGGAATCTTGCAATCCTGAGGGTTCCCCACCTCATGGATTCGAGGGCCGTAGCGAAGGCAGAGCTTCCTTGACGGTGGCAGCAAAGCGCTCGGAAAAAGATGCAAAGGAGACAGGCACTCAGAAGCTGCCTGGAAGGAAGCAGGAAATTGAGTGTCTCGCAAAACAAGAGGCAAAGCTATCAGGTATGGAAAACACTGCTACCGCACACAAAACAGCAGCAGCGCCTCCTCGTGAGTCTAAGGGTGGCCCTCCCACCTCTACAGCTCTATCCGCCGCTGCCTCTGGGGCGTCGCATTCAAGACAGGAAGATCAGCCAGCAGCAACTGCGTCTAAGCAGCTGGCACCGAAAGCGGCACAAGCAAGGAATTTTAGAGAGGGCAAGGACGCGCATTCCGTCTCGGATGATGAGGAAGCCGTCGAAACTGTCCAAATCAAGAAACCCATTCCTGCACACGAGAGGCCTTCAAAGAGAGAGCCCTCGTTCCCTTCGCCCCCCTTAAGGAGCGCAATCAGGCGGGAGAGCTGAGAGGCAATTAAGGAAACTTAGATAAGGGCTTGTAATTCTCCCTCCATTTCATATCCGTGAAGCTTTCGGAATTGGGTAGAACGCTGAAGGGACTAAATGGTTGCGACCCATAACGAGACGCAAGTGGACCACTGATTACTTGGCTGGTCATCATGTTACGGAACGAAGTGGGGTGATAATGTTTTGAGAAGGTATCAATTGAAGAGATAGCTGTTCTGGCAAACTAGCCAATAACCCATATCCCTTTATTGAGGTGTATAGGAACGAACAGTTGACTGCATTCGGTCAGCACAACGCTGAGAGCAGACGCTTTGCTACCTTTTGAGATTTGGTTGTGTCGTAAAACAAGCGCTCGAAGCACTCTGTACTCCGGGTTAATGTAGGGCTGTTTGCATTGGTGCTTCTCTGCAACGGGCAACCCAGTTTCTAATCCCGAAACGCACTACTTAAAAGGCGAGATCAGAGCAGCCCGGCTGAGTTGACGCAGGGAGAACTGCACTAGCGTCACACAATTCTTTTCGAGTGCTTTTCAACGTGTACACCGAGCTAAGAGGACAATTTATTCTAGACACACACGCCGAGTACAATATGTCTGCGTATGCAGGTACCGTTGACGTGCCACCCATACGCACCAAAACTTGAAGAGCGTGAAAAGTATTCACTGGATATTACTGTGCCTGCTCCCCTGCATCAAGTGCCGCCCCTTTTCGCTCCCTCTTAGGCGTAGAGGCATTGAACGTGAGGCCTTCTCTGCCCCGTTTCCTCCCCGACGGAGTACCATGCTTTTGTGAAGTGCAATCCAGCTCCCCTTCATCTTTTCTTTCTATTTTCACTGCTCTGATTCCTTCTTCTTTGACCCCTCTGTTCTTATTGTGTTCCTCTTTTCCTCTGGAAGAGGATACATGTACCTCTCTTTTAAGTCTCTTAAAAGTTGAAGGGAGATCTGGAGAATGGAACCCCCCAGCCTCACGACCAGACTCATTGCCTTCCAGTTGCAAACATGAGGATACAGACCCCTTTGCTGCATTTGCTGCTTCTGCTGCCGCCGCTGCTGTAACACGTGGATGATGACCCAAGCGTGCACAGGCTCCTGCCGCCGCTGCGGCTGCTGCTGCAGCAGGAGCGAACCACAACCGCGGAGAGCGCCTCCTATTGAGCCAAGACAGAGGGATTGTACAGCTAGAGATATTACCTTCCTCGCTTGCTGAAGGCTCTTGATGCTGTCGCTGTAGTATGCGAAGCTGGATTCTGTTCCCTGTGCTGTAAGGGCTAAGTGTCCACCGGTCCCCGCGCCTGCTGCTCAGCCCGTCAAAGCCGTCTCCTAGACTTTGACTTCTCATGATGAATGAAAGCACAGTGAGCGCTTTCGTATCAGCACATCACGGGTCCTTGCCTCCGTAAGGAGGAAGTGGATGCTCACTTCATTCTCATAAGGGTGTCAGTTTTGGCCGAGTCGCGCGAGCGCTGCATGGAAGAAATGGGACCAAAATTGAAGGCAGGAAGAAAAAGATATCAAAATAATCGTATTTGGAGGAAGAAAATGCGGAGGGAAACAGCATGTACACGGTGAAGACAGGGAGGGTACGCCGCATTGGAGGCTACAGGCGAAAATCCATTATTAAAGCCCTAAGCGTAGGATCCTTCCTGCTAATGGCATTTACTTGAAGTCTGTTGAATGAATTTAGTGATGAATGGACCAAAAAAAATGTTTTTTGGCAGATCATCTAGGAGATCTCGCTTGTCGAGGAGCTGCCGCCGCACAAGGATGCATGAAACTTCAGTCTCAACGAAGCTTAGAAAGATTGATAGTAATCCATGAAGTAAGTCAAAGAAAAATGAGGAAGGAAATGCAGGGTCATGATTCGAGCATACAAAAGTATGAGGAACTTTCTGCGGGAAAGGAGTTGGTGTTCTGTGTGGCTGTTTGACTAGTGTGTCCTTCCACACTGGTGTGGAATGTGCACACATCCACGACTCGATATATTACTAAAGATGTGTACAATTTCTTGCAGAGAAGTGACCATGCTCTTTCCCAGTCAGTCCCACGCAAGAACACGGGCTTAGTTTCTGTGTACTTCTCCGGCCCCATGAGCGACTTCTCTCGCCGGAGTTGTATGCAAAATCAGTTGCAGTCCCTCCGGTTTTTTTTCTCCACACTGGCGTGCAAATTACGCCATCTTCTGAACACAACCATTTGCCTCCTGCTCTAGGGCCCAGAACGCCTGTTGGGGTCACCAGCAGCTTGCGTTTGTCAGTGGAAAGAATACGAATGAAGAAATATAGCTTCAAACAGCTGTTCTTGTTTGCTTTTGCGCGAGTAAATATCGTTTCTTTCATCCGACTTTTTCCAATAGGGAGAGGAGGGTATACAATTCTTCGTCTTCAACACATAGTGCGTGAGTTTATTTCATGAATGAAAGAAATGGAGAACACAAAGAAACAACAATATCCAAGTAACTCCTTCACTCCAACAAGCAGGGCGGTGCGTGTTGGTTGTCGTGGTGCACTCTCGATGCACCCCTTTGCTCGCTCTACACTTCCTTTGTACCTACTCAACTTCAAGCATTTTGCATTGTTTTGTTTCCATCAACTTCTACTTCTCTACCAGACTCTCACACCTATTACTCCAAAGCGATATGTTCTCTCCGCTCGCTTTCGATCGTGGCTCATTCCACTTTGTGCGTTTTCTGGGATTCTCTAAGGGATATTTCAATGTGCTGCGTTTGTCGTTAAGCACGAACAAGTTCTTTCCCGCTTCCACTAAAAAGCAGTTGCTAACAGACCCGATGCCATGTATTTTTTTAGAACATGCCTTAGCACCCCTTGTATTGTATGTCTTGCCCGCTTCTTGACATCTGATTTTACGTGTTTCGTTCTGACAGAATGAGGCCTCACACAGAACCCTGTTTCACCCGGACAGTATAACGAAGATGAGCGACAGCAAATACACCCGCAGTCCAAATTTACCCTCTCAAACCCAAGGATTGGGTAGGGACCTGTCGTCGAGGGCAGCAAATCAACAAGGCATTGAGACGGCGGCATCGGTACCTGTAAAACGCGTAACAACAACTGTGAGTCTACCGACGCAGTACACGTTTGTTTGCTGCTCCCTGTACACCCGGTCTGCGCTGCGCGAGCAACGGTAGCACTTCTCGCGTTCTTCAACGTCCCTAGGCGTAAGTTTTCGTGGAAGCTTACCATACTTGTGTGAATTTACTTGCAGATTTTTGCAGCTCCTCGGCTCTCCCCAACATACATTGACGTTCCCATCCCAATCTACGTTCCGAGGTACGTTGAAGTGCCTGTTCCGGTCGCCAAGTTGGATCCACAGATCATGCGACAGGTGCGGCAATAGCTTGCTCTTCATCAGCAAAGAGGAACGTGACCTTTGATCCAGGGAGGAAAGCTATGAGCCGTCTAAATAGCTAGCCTTAACGATTCTCCGATTTCAACAGTCATGCACCTGCACAGCAACCCTTGTAAATGCAGCAGCACCAACGACGAACTGCGAAGGCAGCCAAAGCCACAGTGTGTCCCATCATCTTTCCGAAGTATGTATCAGTACAAAAATCGGAAAAGGGACAAGCCCTTTAAAAGGTTCCATATTTGGTTTTGTCGTGGCGCGACTGGTGCCGCATATGTGCTGTGTTGCGATTGGTTGACTAGAAGGCCTTCTAAATCTGTGACCAGCTACGCAGAACTTATGCTTCCCTGATCAATTTAATATTCCAACGCAGGACAAAATCAAGTGGGGACACAACAAAAGGGCGCTGCCATATATTTATAGGAGATGAAGGGCCTGGATGCGTCTAAAAGGCAACCCTTTTTGAGTTGTATCGGTTCATCACACTCTTCCAAATACCGTTTGGGATTTCTCGAAAAAGCCAGCATGAGTATGCTTTGATCTGCTGGTGCCGAATCGCTCGCTAGAGTGTTTGCCGAAAAGGCAGATTGTAAGACAAAGCGTGTTTGACACTTTTCGTCTTCATGGGGTACCATGAAATGACTGAAGCTCATTATGCTCTTCACTCAATACAGCAACAAGGAACGCTCAGAAGGCATTAGATACCTATTTGAAAGTCAATGGGTGAGATTTGACTCAGTGTGTGTTGGGTCTACAGAGGCATGCAGCAAGACTCCCCAAGAACGGCAGCCTTGCGCAAAACACCGGGGTTAGCGCTTTCTCTTCTTTGAAGCAAAAATTGAGAGTATCACAACTATGTTATTCTAAACGTTGTAAAGGGACACCATATTTTGCTTTTATCCAATGCAAATATATCATGGTCGCCACGCAACTCTAATCCTGGTCAGGACGCAAGAGTGTCAGTCCAGCACTCTATAAGCCCTTAGGAAGGCAAACTCGGATTTTATCCAAGCTAATGACGAAACCTTAACAATGCAGCCGCCGGTGGCACGCAAGAAAACAGTTCTGGCCTCAGCGGATGCAAATATCTAGAGGAAGTGACCCCCGTGCCTGGCAGCTCCTCAAAGGAGAAAGCAGCAAATATAGTTTGATTAATGAGGAGGGTTCAGGAATTTTCTCCTCTTACCTCTTTAATCAAAAAGTTTTATTATAATGGCACTAATCGATATTCGGTTGCCCCAAAATGCTGAGGATGTTTTATTTCTTCGGATGCAACGGAGATCTTTTCTGCGACTCAGTGCCGGCAGGCAACACGTGTCCAAGCTCCCATAATACCCCACTCCAGATCTCATCCCACGCACGAGGTTAACTGTTGTCTGCAGCTCCAGATATATCGTGTCTTAAAGCCTATGATCTAGGTTGAAGATATTTCAAGCTTAGGAAATGGACTCTCTGCCAGTGTTCCACATGCCAGCATAGTCCCCACCAGGGATTTTCAGAAATGTTTCAGTCTTTTGCCGTTTGCTTCTTCTATGTGATCTTCGTCTTTCATGTCTCAGGATAATTTTCCTGAAAATTTTACTTGCTAACGGGTATACCTTTTTTGCTACATCAGGGCAGCCCATGAAGGGCCCTGGCGAGGGCGCACGCCACCGTGCTTATGCTGCTGGTGGCATTCCTTCTAGGCGAGCTGAGGCCCTCCACTCCTTCCACGACTCTTTCCTGTTTTTATTTTTATCATAGTTTCGCTCACTCTGCTTTCCCTGCTCTCTTTGGCCGCTTCCACCCTCATCCGCCTTCTGCCGTATGCTGTCTCCTTCCCAGAAAGCAGCTTGTTTCAATGTGGAATCTGCGGCACACACGGATCACACTAAGAAAGGTGGAAGTATCCAAGCTTTTAGGCGAGAAAAAGAGCCAGCAAAATGGTTTGCACTGATTCGTCTTCCCGTGTACAAGTTTTCGTCAGACTGAGGCCCCTATCGCCTCAAGAAGTATGTGGCCTTGTCTGTGCTTTGCCTTGTTTTGCTTTATTTTACCAAAGTCATGACTGAGTTTAAAGCCATACTAGTTCGTCAAGGAATATTGTATGCGCCGCCGCAGTGGAATAGACAGATTAGAGCTCGAAACAATACAGCTGCTCAAAATTGCACAATTGGAGCTAGATGCCAGTCAACGGTAGGGAGAGATTCAACAGAAGCAGGTGTCGAGTTTACTTGTCTGGTGGTGATTAGGAGTCACGAGGCGTGGAGTGTGCCTGGTCCGTCTCTTCTAACAAAAAGGAACTGCTACTTAAAGAAAAAGAGGACAGCGAAGCATCCAGACTAAGAAGGCTGCCCAGTCTTTCCTTCAGCGGGTGCTTTGGTTGTGAAGGTAAGATCACAGGCGAGAAATGAACGGTGATGAGACTGAGCAGAGATAAGGGCATGAGGAATAGAGTAATATTAAAACTATTCGAACTAACGAGAAGAAATCGCCAGGAAGAATTTTCTGCATCCAGCAGAGAACACAACAGACACGTTAAGCCTTAGATCTTTGTAAACGCCTTTCGTTGTTTATAAACAGATGACACTGGAACGGTGTACGAAGATGCTGCCCTGCCTTTGGTGAGGCACGTGATAGCAGGCAAGACTAGCTGGATCCCTTAGCCCTAATTCGACAGCCCTAAACTAAGCCTAACCAAAACGGCGGCAGCTGCGTCATCGGGTGTTGCGCCGTCGTAACATAGATGAGCTAAGCGGAGAAAGCAGGGGACCTTTGAGTAAACCTTTTAGCCAATAAACAGATGGCATGAAAATATAAAACAATGGCTACCAAGAGAGCACAATGGAGCCGGCGATGCTGTGTATGACCGATGCAGCATCATAGTGCGTTGCCTCTAATTCAGGAGCTGACTGCTGTTTACTTGCCTACGGGCAAACGGGGAGTGGGAAATCCTACAGCGTTTTCGGGGATACAGAAGAAGAGGGGATCCTCATGCGGGCCATGCGAGGTACTGACGAATACTCTGTGAACACGAATTTCCTCCTATTCGCTTAGTTATGCCAAGAAACGATGTAGATACCAGGGACACAAAAGAAAGGCGTTACGTCAACTTTTCTTCCCAATAGGCGTTTTCTGTGCACAGATATATTTGGTTTTATCGAAAATCGCCAGCAGAAAGTTTCCCATTTGGCTGACCCTACAACGGCACTCGTAAGCTGCTAGCCCGTTACCCTCCCCCAATTCCTACACTGCAAACCCAGAGGCACAAATATAGGGCTTTACGGATGTTTCGAGACGCTTTTCTGCGGCACTTAGCAAAAAGCTAGCGCTTCATGGTTGGAACAGCCCCTCTGATTGCCTGTTTCGTGCATAGGGGTCCAGCATAATGGGGTCGTACAGCGGTAGGATCAAGGGTATCAAATTCCAGCGTGCGTGCTGTTTTGATTGCTGCAGCACTATGACGTCAGGATCTCTCTGGTAGAGGTCTACTTGGAGAAAGTGTTTGATCTGCTGCGAACCACGGAAAACGAAGACGACCATCGGATGCCACAGCTGCGTGTGCGTGTACAACTATCGAGGGCCACGTATCTCAATGCTTTGAGCATTTTAAACTATGGCGCATAGAATGAATGGCTTGCTCATCGGCCATGGGTTGATATAAAGGCAGTGACTCAATGCCCCTGATCGACTACTGTGACGTCCGTTTTACGTAGAGTCTTGATGCTGCAGTGGACACCCACGCCTATAAGCCGCCGTGCGCCGTCAGTACGGTGTGCTGAATACGCGCGTTACGAGACATGTATAATTTTAAAAAGATATAGCTCCGGAAGAACACCAAGCGCGCTGTCTAGTATGTAGCTGGCGCAGGTGAAAGAGATGCCGCACACCGGCACATTCCAGGTCGAGGATTTATGCGAAGTGCCAGTAACAAACTGTGATGAGCTATCGCAAATTTTATTTCAGTAAGGGGACCTATTAAGACGTCCAAGCCAGCTGTGGAGGAAGTTTTAGCCTTTGATTATTGCCCCCTACAAACTAGCATTTTCAGTGAAGAAGAGACGAAGGCAGCAACATAGCCACTAGCAGATTGTTTGGGATTGGAAAGTCGAATGCATGACTTCCGGTTTGACTGCGAATGGGTCTGCATGCCGTGCTAGCGCTGCTGAAGTGGATGGAGGGTGACATCATTGATGCCGTATCTTTACAAGACTTAACGCCGCAGGCTACTTCGTTTGTCGAATACACGAATGCATGCATGCACGTGTCTTCATCTCTGGTGCTACTTAATATAAAGATAAACCGTATGTACAAAATAGAGGAAGCATCTCCACCGTTAGAATTAGTAGGCTAAGCGTAAATGCGAAGATATGAGAGTGGAGTGTATACACATCTGCGGGTGCACTTCCGGCGTGGGGTTTGTTGGAGTGTGTTTGTACTGGTGTCCAGGTGTGAAAAGAGGCGGAAGGTTGCCTGCACACATCACAACAGTAACTCTTCTCGGTAAGGCTAAATGTCGATCCTGACGTTTTATTGATTCGTGTAGGATAAAAGCGTTTAGACCAAAGCTTTTGGAGCACCCGCTTACCCTAATGCGAATGTCGATATGCACGTGCAGACACATTGCAAAAGTAGTCGGCATTTCACCCCTCTACCCTCCTTCGATGGGTCTAACCCGGCTGACTACAGTGCTTCAGGGAACCTCAGTTGCCTCATCTGCAAAAGTACTTTGGCGGGTGCTTAGTGTGTGTGTGTTTGCACCTTATGCCAACCGTGCGAACCTTGCTGCCTCTTCCGAGCTTATCCTCCCCCCCTACTGCCAGTTTCTCTCTCTCTCTCAAGATATCCATCTGTTGAACTAGTTTCGGGGTGTCCGTGCAGCTCCCATGTGGTGGTGTTTGCCCGTCTGGTGGCTTCCTCTACTCTGTGGTGTACGGGGAGGCTCAAGAGAATAGAAGTGGGCAGTAGTTCGCTGACTTTGGTAGACCTCGCCGGCTCTGAAAGAATGACTCGATGCCCCGCACGGAGACTGAGGCAGCCGGAAGGAGCAGCGGATTTGCATGCTAAAAAAGTGAGTGCGTTACTGGGACAGTGCTGAACGCAACAAAGAGATAGAGAGAGAGTGATATCTAAGGGCAACGCTTAGTGTCGCAAGGATATAGACAGCTGTGTTCTCCCAGTAAGAATCCGGGGGTGCGCCCCTCCAAGAGAAGGAAGCAGCACATAAGCTATTGAATGCATCAGTTACTGGTAGGTTAGAGGGCGTCCAAGGGGCTGGTGGGCAGGTTGAGAGGTCTTCGTTGCAGCAGCCCTCTAGCTGCAAATGCGCTCAAGAACGCAGACAGCTGCATCTTGAAAAAAAATCGCGTTTGCGCGTAAAGGTGGCGCAAAAAGCAGTGTGTTGAAAGTCTGAATCCTAGTGTATATGCAAGGCAACACGCTGCAGCGAGTTAGCTTCGGCATCTTAAAAGGCCTGAAAAATGTACATCGGCTACCTCAGACTGGTGCTCGGTTGCAGCTGAGGTGCGCGGAGAGCACGGGCATCAACAAGTCCCTCTTCTTTCTCAGGTATGGCCGCTTACTAGCTGGCCGCATAGCTGCCAGCACTTGGCACTTTGCGACAGTTTGAACCCGTGTCAGCTCCTCATCCCGACACGTCCCCGTAAAGCTCCTCGGCGAGCAACCACTAAATCCGTTGATCTGATAGAAGCAAAAATATCCGGAGCTGCCTACAAAGTCTGCTACAAAAGAGAGAATTTCTGGATGCTACAAAACAACCAAACCGACACCGCAGCTCTCTTGCCAAATAATACACCCTCATTCCATTGGCGCGCTTTACGATGTGGCCCGCTCAGCCTCTGTTTCGAGTCGCTCGTCAAGCAGGAAGAACGACGAAGAGCGGGGGTAAGGCTCTCCTGAACGAGAGCAGAGCAAACCAGATCAAGCGGAGAAGACTGACACACGGGTAGACGAACTGAAGTTAAAGCGCAGTGTTTGCTGTTTAGGTGTACCTCAACTGCGCTGCTTTTCTCCAGTTCGAGAGCTAGAGGCACTAAGAGAGAAACAAGCACATTCTGCATAGTTGCTGCAAAGCATCCGCTGAGTAATGGAGCAGGGGTCTCTGGAACCAGGAGGCGGTTCACAAGACATGCGTATGTCTGTATCTGTTTCCCTCCAAGCTACACGGGAAACAGAGTGCGATCGGATGATGCTTGCAGGGCACGGCACAAGCACCTGGAGCTGGGAGTCGGGTAACAGACATCCCTATCCCATACCGCTACTCAAACCTGACGCGTATCCTGGCTGTAGGTACACATGGAGCTGCACAGCCACGCAAGAAGCCCCTTTTCGCCTCTGTCTATCAGTTTAACTCCGTCCCCGTTATCGTCTTTCCTTTTATTGCAGCCCTTTCCGGCAGCCTCCCTGTGGTTTTCCTTCTCACGAACACGATTGTTCTCTCCCTTCTACACACGCTTTAAAAATATCCTCAAAAAGGTTGAGATGGCATCTCACAAAATGTTAGATGCTCTCATGGCCGTTTGGGGATCTTTTCAATCCTTTGCACGCTCGACATATGTGGCATATTACTATGCCCTTTTTATGAGCGGGGGCTGTAGCTCGAACGCTAGCGAAGGGACCAATAGACAGCAGAAAGGTCCTGCGCCATCCTGAAGACACGTGGTGAACGTGAGCTTTGTGTACATTCCGGTATCTCGCCTATAGAAGTGCGTATACATATGTATTCTTGCTGTGTCTGCTTTCAAATTCAGCGGAGTCTGCAAAGCGACGCCAGGATTGTGTTGCTAGTCACATTGAATCCTTCCTACAGTGCGACTCAGCTTTCTCTGCACGCCATAGAGTTTGCACAGCGGGCATCTTGCCTGCGCGAGCGCCAACCGCGGAAGGGCGAGGCAAACAGAAAGCAGTTTCTTCTAAAGCAGCATGAGCTTCTGAGACAGTGAGAATTTCTTAAGGCGTCGGTCCCTTTGCGCCTCCTTTTGCATCCGTTTATCTAATAGAAAACGACAACAGTTTTTGCCTAACAGCTTTATACTGGACGCGTGTTACGTATGCATGCGAACCCGGTGTGGGATTCGTGTTATGTCAGGCTGAAACGCACAACAGAGAGCTTCACGGTGACGGTGCGTCAATTCAGTAGCTTGTGGAACCCTACACAAAAACAGCGGCCAGCACACCTCGAAATACACCTCAGCCAGCACTGTCGCGGTCCTCTGTTTGGCAGGCGCTGCAGATGCAGTGCATCTAGCGGGCGTTTTTGTTTGATGCAGCAGTGGCCAAGTGCTGACTCTGGGAGTCCTGTGGAGCTCCAGAAGGCAGCCCAGCAGCTGCAGCAAGAGATATACCATCAGTTAGAGCGGCTTAGTGCCATTCTCTCGCGGCGCACAGGAATGCGGCCGTCATGGGGGGGGGGGAATGGTCTGTCTGATGGTTTTTACTCTCAGCGCAGCTCGGGGATGCGGGCGGGTGAAGGGTCTAACGCTCTAAGAGAGCAGCAAACAGGGAAGGAAGCAGCGACTGCGCCTCTACTGCAGCGGGTACTGTCCACTTACCAGGAGCCTTCAGGAGGCGGCCAGGCATCCCAGTTCCCAGGAGATGCCTCGACTACTCAAGCCTCCTCCTGTTGTTGCGCCCTCCCTGCCCCCAACAGGCGCAGGCTGCCGTCGTGCTCCCGAGGAAGCGTCTGCTGGCCTCTTCCGCGAAGGGTTCTAGGCAACAGGGTACGCTACAGCGCTTCCTCCCCCATCAGAGTGCCACACGCATTCTCAAGAGACGAGGGTGGGACGCGTCAGCACGAAGGGGCATCTTTTGCATGCGAATCCAATGCCTCTTGAGCTCCTGACCTGCACCAGCGCACGCTTCGGCGTCAGGAGAGGAAAGGGGCTTTTTGGGGGGGGAACAGTGGAGGGAAGAGTCCACCTTTCTCTGCACACGTCATTAGAAGCGCCGTCACAACGTGCCCTCGATCCTCCAGCCCCCTATGTGCGGCTTTCCTGCTGCAGGCTAAGGGGCAACCCGGGCTGGCCTGCAACGAAGAGGGCCCCTCCATCAGCACGCAGCAGCAACACACCCTCAGTCAGTGCGACACTATGCCCTCCATGTGTTCCAAGGAGGGAACGAACGATGGCACCGCGAGAGCGGGCTCAACAGAGTCCAGAGTTGCTCCCGCTGCGCAGCAACAGGCATGCACGATTCCAGTTGCGGATTTGTCTTGGGGATCAGGGGTCTCGCAGGCTTTCCAAGAGAATCCGTCTTACCCCCCCACCCCTGGATGCGCACCGCCTAGCGTTTGCCTCAGCAGCCAATTGCCCAATAAGACCTCTGGAGAGAGCCTCTGGGAGCGCCTTCTGACTTTCAAGGAGGCACAGGGGCACAGCAGACGGTTGACCACCTGTGGACTGCTGCCGAGCAGTCCACTGACGCCCTTTGCACTGCAGCAAAAGCTGCCCGTATACGTCAACTTCCTCGACCCCCAGCTCACCCTGTGGCAGCAGCACCAACAGCACCAGCTCCTGCTCCTGCTGCTGCATCAATGGGGCACGTTGCCTGGCTGGCACTCTCCGCAACCCTGGCCGCCCTGCTACAGGGCGCAGCAAACGTCTCTGCAGCAGCCGTCAGCACACGGACTGCCTGTGCAGCAGCAGCAGCATCGACACCACGTGCAGCATGATCCAGGCAGCAACCCGTTCCCTTGTGCACTCTCTGCGTATCCGCCACGTGGAGAGGGGCGGCCGCTCGAACAAGTGCTCTCGTCTGCACGGCAGCAGAGTGGGGAGTCTTGCAGACCCTCCAGACTCGCAGAAGAGCTCTTTGCGGGGCAGCTAGAAAGCCGGCTCCCATGCATCAGACCCCACTGACGGCTGTCTCATGAAAAATTTCCTCCTGTGGCAGTCTTCACGGTTGCCCAGTGCATTCGCCTCTAAAGCCTCCATGGTTGACGCAGAGGGGAACAGAGGAGTATTTGTAACCCGCCCATGTGACAGCGTGTCGTAACGTAACTCTGCACCCCCCGAAACACGCGGACAAGTGTAGAGGCACACTAAATACATAACGGTAGTCTGCCTGGAGCAGGGCGATCCGTGAGGTTCAGCACGTCGTTCTCCACAGACATCTGTGAATAGGCGTCCACCTTTCATGATGCGGTCTCCGCGGATATCCTTTACTAGCGAATTTCATGGAAGCTCCTCTCAAGACGAGCCTTATCCTACAGTGACTCACATATCTTTAGAGCTCCTCAGGGGCACGCCACCGTAACACACACTCCCTCCACAGAGTGCCTTTTCGCAAAGGCCTTAATGGCATGTGGTCCTACGGCGCTCGCTACATCCGCCAGTGAAGGCACACAGAAAGGGGAGATACACAGTGGATGCCAGCATCCAGACCGCCCCCCAAGAGGCAAAGAACGCTGTGCGCGTTTCTGTGCTTTCCTCCCGGCCACATGTTGCACGGCTAAAGTTGTTGTAAATGAGGAGTCTGCTCTGTCGACTGACCAGTGCAAGCATCCTCGTCTAAACTGCCTCCACCTAGCCCTGAGGGGAGAGGCCTTGCAATCGAAACGCTACTGCTAAGGGAATCTACAGGGGCCCTCCACAAAAGGCGAATCCGGCCTTGCCGTTCGCTGGCTAGGCTCCAGTTCGCGTCGTCTCTACTCCTACACCCGACCCCACCCTCCCCTGCTTTGCGCTTCTCTGCGCTAGTGCCCTCATATCCCTCGAACCCTTGAAATCCTAGATCCGAATGTGCAGTGACAGTAGGGGTGAAGGAGGGTGGTGGTATCAGATCTGCTGCCCACGGGGGCACACTGCCATGCAATGCAGAAAAGGCAAGCACAAGAGCTGCGCTGATCGAAGGGCCGCAGCAGCGCTGTTGTGGGGATCTGCCCTCTTCGTGAATGAAGTCACAAGGGAAAGGTTTTTGAAGCCACGTCAGGATACGCTGCAGATAACGACAAGCGCTCCTTCTCGGGAGAACTGCAGTTGGTTGCATGTAGGGGCTGCCCGTGGAGAGGGCCGTCAAGAGACTCTCTCCACGGTGCTCGGGAGGAGGAGAGGCTTGTTGAAATAAGCCTGATGGGCTAAGCCAAAGAAAAGGGACGACAGGGGAGTGCCACTAGAGGAGGAGGAGAATACCGCTCATACGGCTAGAAAGAGGGCAACTAACTGCTCTACCAACTTGGGGTCCTCACGCCAAGACGCATTCTCCCGCAGAAACAGCAGCATCTTGTGCAGTTGCGCTCTCCTGCAGAGGTAAACGCGCAAACCGCAGAAAAGCACCTTCTCCGGAGAGTGCACAGCGGCTGCCGTGCAGGCTTCCTACAGAGCCGCAGCAGAGAGCGGGTGCGAGAAGAAAGCCTTTGGCTTGAGCCACGCCTCACCTTTGTGTTACTCTGACCTGCGTAAACCACTGGGTATGCCCAGAGCGCCGCTTGCTGACGGAGTGTGGGAGGGGCCCCCAGCGACAAAATTGTGTTTTTCGCTCTTCCTTGAGCCCGACTGATGCGGTTGCAGCAGCAACGTGCGTCGCAGCAGCAGCAGCAGCAGCAGCAGCAGCGGCAGCGCCTGAGTCTTGCTGCTGGGGAAGGTCGTTTGGAGGCTCGCCTTCGAATTTGAGGGGGTCGAGAGGCGCTCGAGATCGACACGAGGCCTTTGCAAAAGGGAGCAGCCGCGAAGGCGCCCAGGGGGCCCCCCCCAGGGGCCCCTCCCCGTCTGCTTCGCGGCTGCTGCTGGGCATACCCGAAGGAGCGGCGTTCGTCTGCAGCTGTGCGTGCCGCTCCGCAGAGGCAGCATCGGCGAGAGAGGCGTTCGCGACAGCGGCGCGAAGCTGCCTTTCAGGCATGCGAGGAGCCATGCGGAGGGAAAGCAGCTGCTCGCGCGTGGCTCCGGGGAGGCGGAGGGGCCCCTGCTCCTTGCTCTCGCCGCAGTCGCTGCTGCCCACGCTGCAAATAGCCATACACGGGCAGCTGAAGCCTAGAGTCTGCTCCAGCAGCTGACGTCTCCTGAGCATCGTCTCGGGGGGATCGCCCACTCCGAGGTGCGCGTGAAGAGCTGTTGTCGGAAAGCCGCTGCTGCCCTGCAGCCGGGTGAGGCTCCCGTTTTGCACCTGCGAGAGCCGTGTTGGTCCTGCGAGGATCGTTTCGATGGCTTCCAAGTGGCTTGTCAGAAAGTGTATATACTCCAACACAAAGACGCCACAGTCGTATCCGTTTTGCTGGCGCGGCGTATGCATTGGGCAACTCAAGGCGTCTTCCCAGCAGCAGCTCTCTGCGCAAAGCTCCGCCGCTTGCCCCGTTTCCAGTCTTCCCCCACACCGAACTGCGAACTCCTAGAAAACACGGAGAACCCACACACAGACACGGAGAGGGAGAGCTGTGCATGCACACGGCGCTGTGCCCAGCATAGGCACAGGTGTGGCGACTTCGGCACTGCAGGGGAAAGCGCTGCAGACACGAAGAAAGCGCCGGCAGAACGAAGGAGCAAGCTGCGCCATGCGGGAGGCGGAGGCTCTGACTAAGCGCGACCTCCTTTTCCTCCCCCTAAGGATCGCATGCCAGGAGCCCCCTGCAGCATCCTTAATATTTATTTCTCACATGAGAAATAAATATTTAAAAGAAGAAGGGCTTTGCCATAGAGTCTAGATGGATATGCACATATATATATATATATATATATATATATATATATATATATATATATATATATATATATATATATATATATATATATATATATATATATCTATCTCTCTCTCTCTCTCCTCTCTTTTATAATCTCTTTATTTCTTTAACATATACATAAAGAACCTCACACACCTCCCCACACAAAACATCCACATATCCATTTCCTCTTTCATAAAAAAACAAAAATATATAAACATAAGGATGGAGATTACACATAAATA